TGCTGTAAAGAGAATGACAAGGATACACTGTTGTCATGTTTAAGTATCATGCCAGAATCGACACCAATATATTCAAGTTGAACAGTACTTTAATGGTACTTTTTATCAGAACAAATCTGGCAACACTGGGTACTTGTGATGACACACGACAAAATAAAAACACAGCGTTATCTAACATCCTCTTTTATTACATCAAATAAATTATAAAGGTCATAGACAATAATTATTATTTATAATTATTATTATTAATAAGAAGCGCATGCTTTGCCGTCGTCGGGCAGTTTCGTCTCGACAGCGTCACATTCAGCTAGGTACGTAAATTAAAGCTTATACAATTATGGTGTTTATGTTCACGAAAACTAAGTTTTTAACTATTTACTAATGAACAATTATCTTTTTTTTGTTTGATATAAAGTAACGTGACAACGGAAAACCAACAAGAGTTCGATTATGTTTCCAACCTTTTTTTGGCCGTCTTTGCCACTTTTTAACACTTATAAATAACAAAGAATAGCACTGAATTTCGGACAGCTGAAACAAACAAAAAGAGTTTTCTTATGTTGCAATGTATAACTGTAGGGGCGACAGTCTAACAAAAAACATATTTTTGAACAGTTCAGTGCAAATGTAGATGTGGTTTTAAGATAAGAATAACATAAACCAAATTCGATACATTTGATGATACTAAACACGTGTAAATGTAACTTAGATCTACTTCATAATACTGTGAGATAGGTAATTGTTTATTAGTAATTAGAAAAATGTGACACCTCTTTCTCTTAACCTATGAAGAAAAATCTGCCAAAGAACTAAACTTTTTTGCACTAGCAATAAAACACAATAGTTAAAAAATGGCAGTGTTCAAGGTAAATTCTCGATAGATTTTTCTTTAACAAAAGTTGGGCAAATCTTTAATACTGACAATAATTAGGTCGTTATATGCGTTGTTTACAGTGTTGCCATGTTATAAAACTGTTTCTACCGGAAACGGTAGTAATTCAAATAAATAAGGAATGCATTAAAATGTAAAATATAGTTTTTTTTGTATAATAATCTAGTGTGTAATTAATTAATATTCTTAAAATCTAAAATTTACAATGTAGGCTAAAGCATATTTAGTAATAAAAGAGCAATAAATATTAGTAATTACTTATACTGTTTATACAAAAGCGGTTTCTTCTTGACGTAATACTATTAAAAGTGACATTCGTAAAATAATATTTAAATAAAATTAACTGCAAACATTTTTCCAGTTCAATTTAGTGAATAAATTTACACCGTGCAAGACAGGAATTTTGCCAAACCGTATAAAATGAGTGTAACGAACTGTCATATAATGCAGCAAATTTTATTTAACTATGCAATTGAAAGATATTAAGCAGTTACAAATACATTGTGCAAGTAGAATAGTTTTATTACAAATAACGCAAGAAAATTAAATTAATAATTAATACGAAAATAAAAATGGCAAGAAGTCGATGAATCTACTTTAAAATGATATTTTGTACAATGTTATCTAAAAGAGATAAAATAAACATGTCAAGTACAAATAAGCATCTGTATCATAAATATAGCCTCACAAATCAAATTCTCAACGTTTAAATTTAAATACAAATGTATTACAAATTAAAATAATACTTATATCTATCAGTATCCTATGTTAATAATACTAAGAGACTAAAAATAATATAAATACTTTATATAATTACAAATGAACACATATTTTAGTGATTAAATAAAAGGTAATTAAATAAATGCATTTTAATTTCAAATAACCTCGCGTACGTCGAAAGCATAGCTTACCTTACCCTAAAAGGACAGTTAAGTCTTAACAGTATAGGTACTGTGTTTTTACAAAAGATTAAAAAATCGAGGACATTGTATCATGGCTTTATAGGCAATGTTTCTATGAATCCTTCAGACATTACTTAAAATCTGTCTTATTTTAAATTTGAACAATAATATAGTATTTTTGTACGTATGACCAAGTGGTTAATAAAATGACAAGCAACAGGCAGCTCATTAGAATTAATTAAAATTCTAACAGTACCAAAAATGGGTACACTTGGATATTTCACTTTACCAAAGAAAACACCATCAAACAGACTTCCAGTAATATCTGACAAGTTACAATAGCTATCAACTACTCTATTTAAGTAAAAATGTTTATACAAACAACTAGGGTTTAGGCCGAGACTACACGCGTGTAAATACTTACTTCCCAAAGGTTAAATTCGTTATATTTGTCTACTTTATATTTAATAAATATGTAAGGTACCTTAAAAACACGTTGTTTTCCCTAAAAATGTTATTAAAAGCGGTGAAAGGCGTCGTCCTAATAGAACGCAAGATCTCAAAAACATAACGAACTCTAAACATAGTTTTTTTAGAATAGAACAAGAAGAATTTATTCTAGATTAATAAGGTTTGCAGCCGTGTTCGTACGAACAGAATTCGAGCGATTCGCGTTCAATTAGGACGAAGCCTAAGGTTATCAAAATTATTGTCTATTGCGGTCTCGTTGGTGTTGCCCCTGTTTTGATAAAACTACTAATTTGGTAGTTTTTACTGTTTCAACGAAAGATATAAAACTCAGTATATTATTATGTTATCTCTGTAATTTAATGGTCCGTAGTCAAATACAGTATTACTTGATAGTTTTACTGTAAAGCGAGTAAAAATCCACCGCTAAATTCCGAATTCGAAGGTTCGTTCATAGAACGCGACGCGTTGATTTTTTACTCGCCTTAGAGTGTTACTATATAGTAATACTGTATCCCCTTAATTAATAAACGAAGAATAAGCTTGGATATGTTACTCTATATTATGTACCTGGGGGCCAATCGCCTAACGGAATTGTTTTGGAAAACGCTAACGCTTACGATTTTATTTTGTTATTTCTAGCAGCCTGAGGTATTCAAATGCCTCGCGCTCTTTCTTTTGCATTGGTAATAACAATATTAAAAAAAATGAACGGTATTCGAAAACCTCAGGCGGCTAGAAATAACAATATAAAATCGTAAGCGTTAGCGTTTCCCAAAGCATTTCCGTTAGGCGATTGGCCCCCTGTTCATTGAATTACAAATGGCATTTGAGTGATATGAACCAGGGATGTTACGGAGCTTCGACTCAGATTCCGATAAGGCGGAACTTCCGATTATTATTACGCCATCGGTTCCGAATTCGGCTCCGAAACTTTTAAATCTGAGGTTTTAATCGGAAGTCGAAGCATAGCAGCGACAGCGGCCTGCGTCGCTCGTTACAAACTGGTTCATACCCGTTGCGTTGGGAGTCTGTGTTAATACTTTAAGTAAATTTAAATGAATAAAAGGTTATTTTATAATTGAAATATACAAAGGTTGACTGAATGATGTTTTTATTTGTCCTTAAATGAAAAATATATTTTTGTGCTGACTGTGCCGCTGACCCCGACTCCGGTTCCGACTCCGATAAATCAAATTTTAAAAACTTCGACTCCGACTTCGGTTCCGATAAATTTACCTCCGTTACATCCCTGATATGAACAAATCACGTTGTTGTTGTAACAAGTCTAAGCTTATTTCTTGTTTATTTTAAAGGGGGTTAGTGAACGGACCTTAAGGAATTAAAAAAATGCTGCGCATTGGTGGGAACCATGGAGGTTAGAGAAAAGGAGAACGATCGCTACGTATTGAAGCACTAGCCCGCCTGTCCCTGAAAATTTATAGAATTTATAGTTCATTTTTCAGCCACCAGCCGCGCTGCCGTCGGTAAGTAGTATATGTGAAGTTAGCTGTTTATGAGTACAAGTAGATGAAGTTAGTTGAATATTGTACAAATTTTCTTAGCGGCATTGGTCGTTTCAAATTAGCCAGCTTTTATTGAGACAACTTAGCGATCGCAGCGCCTCACTTATTGTGTCCATGTTTCTGGGACACTATTTTCTACAGCGATGGTTCTCCTTATCTCTAACCTCTATGGCAAGGGCGGATCCAGCTTTAGCGCCAGGGGGGGGGTCATATAGTTGTGGTGGTCACAGTGGGTACAGATTGTGAAGTGGGTACAGGTGGACCCAGCAGGGGGTCATGACCTTCATGACCCCCCCCCCCTCCCCTTGGATCCGCCCTTGCTCTATGGTGGGAACATTATGTCAATGTCATTAGTCAACTGCAGTTTAAGCGGGACAGAGATAGGGTGCGGCCAGAGTGCACTCAGATTCAGATTCTGAAAACAAGCGCGAGAAATAAACAGTGTAGTCGAAGGGTACGGCCAGAGTGCACTCCTGATTCATGATTCAGATTCAGACTCAGAAAACAAAGCGCGAGAAAAAGCAGGCAACCTGCTTAGACTACACTGTTTATTTCTCGCGCTTGTTTTCAGAATCTGAATCTGAATCTGAGTGCACTCTGGCCGCACCCATACGCGTTTTGAATAGCGTTGTCCTACTCTAAATAAACTGATTTGGTGGCCGCTCAAATTGTGTAATCATGATAAAGATTTGAATTCGAAATGGCGGATGGTTCTTACAAACTTACTACTTTTATTACTATGGCTTGGACTTTCACTAAATCGCTGCGACGTTGATGTTACATTTATACTGATATATTTTAAATTCCAGGTTTGATCTTAAAAAGCAAAAATATTTTATTTTTTTATTAATATGGAGTACATTTCCATAATAAAACAACAAATAATTTTATAAAAAATAAAAAAAACATGTGAATTCCGTAGCAAATTTACAGATGATTTACCATAATAAATTATTATTGGTGTCGATTCTAGCATGATTCTCTAAACCTAAACTTAAATTTGACAGCAGTATATCCTTGTCATTCTCTATACAGAATGAAAAGGAGAGACTGATGTCAAATTTAGTTTTAAGTTTAGAGAATCACGCCAGAATTGGCACCATTATCGGTGTTGCCATTAATTTGATGTTTGAACTACATTTTTATGAGGTACAAGTGGCAAACGAACTCCATATATATATTTTTTTTAAATTCAGCGTTTCTTTACACTGAAACGCATGATAATACTAATACTATGAGGGAAAACTAAAATAAGAACAGAGTTGTTACATTTTTTACACATAATGCATGAAAAATTGGTGTCGATTCTGGCATCATTCTCTAAACCTAAACTTGGATTTGACAATAGTGTATCCTTGTCATTCTTTATACAATTAAAAGGAGAGATTGATGTTAAATTTTATTTTATATTAATTTAATTTTCTGATTGATGAGGAGTTCGATGGGGCAGGTGGTTAGCGCGTTCGGCTGCCATCCTTGAAGTTAAGCAACTTTCGCAGTGGTCGGTCATTGGATGGGTGACCAAAAATCTTCTATTTCAAGTTCCTCCGTGCTTCGGAAGGCACCTTAAGGTTCCGGCTGCATCTGCAGTCGTTAGCACCCGCAAACCCGCACTGAGCCCGCGTCATCAAGATGGGTCATGGCCCAATCTCCCTATTCCATCCATAGGGAAGGCCTGTGCCCCAGCAGTGGGGATATTAATAGGCTGATGGTGATGTTAAATTTAGTTTTAAGTTTAGATATGATTCTTTAAACTTAAAGCTATGCTATGCTATGATCATGCCAGAATCGACACCTCAATTTGTGGTACAAAATTAGGCAGGATTGTATTCAGTTACTGTCGCAGCGTGATCGCGAGTGGGTGTTAAGGGTCTCCTTCAGTGCAATAGGGGAGCGGTGCGCGCGCATTTCTTACCGCAAGCGCATTTACGGACTATCTCTATCTCTTTCGTGTAACGCGTTCCATCCGGGCACACGAGGCGGATCTGAAACGGAGATATTTGTTTTAGATATTTTTTTTAATACTACCGGTGACCGCCTATCGCTTCGCTTTGCATATCACGCAGATTGTTTTTACTGGCAATAGGAATTGGGATCAAAGATTATGGCTTCATAAATACGTAGTGGTAATAGTAGTATTAGTGTTAGTGTCAAATGTTAGTTGTGTTTATGATAATGGAGTAGGTGGTCAGTGTTGGTAGTGTAATTTGTAAGTGTTACTGTGTCGTCTATGAGTGTAGTGTAGTGTTAGTGTCCATCTCAAACGTTATGACAAACGTTAGTTGTGTAAGTGTTATTGGAGTAGGTTGTCAGTGTTTTTGGAGTAATTTGTAAGTGTTAGTGTCTCGTCAATTAGTGTAGTGTTAGTGTCAGTGTCAAATGTTAGTTGTGTTAATGTTATTGGAGTAGGCTGATAGTGTTTTCGGTGTAATTTGTAAGTGTAAGTGTCTCGTCACTGACTGTAGTGTAGTGTTAGTGTCAGTATCAAATGTTAGGTGCGTTAGTGTTATTGGAGAAGGTTGTCAGTGTTTTGGTGTAATTTGTTAGTGTCTCGTCACTGAGTGTAGTGTAGTGTTAGTGTCAGTGTCAATTCTAACCTTCCTCTTCTTAGTCTTCCTGGGTGCGCAGCAGTGGTTGCGGGTACAAGGAGTTAGTGCCCTACATCTGGCGCCGCGTACGGCCCGACAGCTTTATGTTAATTGTGCTAGTGTTATGGAGTATGTTATCAGTATTATTGGTGTAATTTGTAAGTGTTAGTGTCTCGTCAATAAGTGTAGTGTAGAATGTTAACTGTGTTAGAGTTATTGGAGTAGGTTTATAGTGTTTTGGTGTAATTTGTAAGTGATAGTGTCTCGTCAATGAGTGTAGTGTAGTGTTAGTGTCAGTATCAAATGTTAGGTGCTGTTAGTGTTATTGGAGTAGGCTGTCAGTGTTTTCGGAGTAATTTGTAAGTGTTAGTGTCTAATCAATGAGTGTTGTGTTAGTGTCATTGTCAAACGTTAGTTGTGTTAGTGTTTTTGGAGTGAATGAATGAATGATTTATTTATTTTCTCTCACAAAGTCACAAAGTAACATTATAATTACAAAAGGGTATTGAATTACAATAACGGTTAAACAATGCAGTTCTTTGAGAGAGCTGGTGATTGTACTAGATTTGCTTGCTAATAGATTCTTTTGCATAATACATTTTTTATTGTGATCTACCCTAGATTATAAGCGAGTGTACAATATGTAAATGTTACATTGAATGTTACAGAACCATAGGAGGTTGTTAGTGTTTTTGGAGTTGGTTGTCAGTGTTTTCGGAGTAATTTGTAAGTGTTAGTGTCTCGTCAATTAGTGTATTGTTAGTGTCATTGTCAAATGTTAATTGTGTTAATGTTATTGGAGTAGGTTGTCAGTATTGTTAGTGTAATTTGTAAGTGTTAGTGTCTCGTCAATGAGTGTAGTGTAGTGTTAGTGTAAGTGTCAATTCTCACCATCCTCTTCTTTGTCTTCCTGGGCGCGCAGCAGTGGTTGCGGGTACAGGGAGTTAGTGCCCTACATCTGGCGCCGCGTACGACCCGTCGTCTTTATGTTAATTGTGCTAGTGTTATGGAGTATGTTATCAGTATTACTGTAAGTATTACTGGTGTAATTTGTAAGTGTTAGTGTCTCGTCAATAAGTATAGTGTAGTGTAGAATGTTGTGTAAGTGTGATTAGAGTAGGTTGATAGTTTTCGGTGTATTTTGTAAGTGTTAGTGTCTCGTCAATAAGTATAGTGTAGTGTAGAATGTTGTGAGTGTGATTAGAGTAGGTTGATAGTGTTTTCGGTGTATTTTCTAAGTGTAAGTGTCTCGTCACTGAGTGTGTAGTGTAGTGTTAGTGTCAGTGTCAAATGTAAGTTGTATTAGTGTTATTGGAGTAGGTTGTCAGTGTTTTGGTGTAATTTGTTAGTGTCTCGTCACTGAGTGTAGTGTAGTGTTAGTGTAAGTGTCAATTCTCACCTTCCTCTTCTTTGTCTTTCTGGGCGCGTAGCAGTGGACGCGGGTACAAGGAGTTAGTGCCCTACATCTTGCACAGCGTACAGCCCGTTGGCTTTATTTTAATTGAACTAATGTTATGGAGTATGTTATCAGTATTACTGGTGTAATTTGTAAGTGTTAGTGTCCCGTCAATAAGTGTAGTGTAGTGTAGAATGGTAGTTGTGTTAGTGTTATTGGAGTAGGCTGATAGTGTTTTCAGTGTAATTTGTAAGTGTTAGTGTCTCGTTACTGAGTGTAGTGTAGTGTTAGTGTCAGTATCAAATGTTAGGTGTGTTAGTGTTATTGGAGTAGGCTGCCAGTGTTTTGGTGTAATTTGTAAGTGTTAGTGTCTCGTCACTGAGTGTAGTGTAGTGTTAGTGTCAGTGTCAATTCTCACCTTCCTCTTCTTAGTCTTCCTAGGCGCGCAGCAGTGGTTGCGGGTACAGGGAGTTAGTGCCCTACATCTGGCGCCGCGGACGGCCCGACGGCTTCGGCACGCTCCTTCTGTTATGAATTCGCGCGTCGCCTCCTGAAGGGGTGGTCCAATGTAGTGCCTTATATTAAACTAGTTGTGCCCCGCGGTGTTTCCCGCGGTTTATTAGGGATATTTTCCCGCAGTAAAACGTAGCATATGCGTTAATCCAGGTTGTAAGCTAACTCCATACAAAATTTTATTAAAATCGTTCCAGCTGTTTAGGCATGAAGAAGTAACAAACATACACACTCGCACACTCGCACACTCACAAACTTTGGCCGTTATAATATTAGTGTGATGTTTTCCCCATTTGTCACATAGATGGAGCTGTATTAATTTGTATTCACGGTATGGTTTGGTTCACTTGAGATATATAGGGTTTTAATGATTTATCGAAGTAACGCCTCGAGGCGGGCCCGACTGATGGTGGTCGGGCATCGTATATATGGAGTGTTTGGCTCCGAATTTCTCTTGCGCGATGTAGGCTTCCATACGTTGTGAACGCAGCGCCAGTAGCGCCATCTCTTAAGGAGGCGAGTGACTATTTCCTCTACGTTCATTATATGTGGGGCATGTAGATGTCGCCGCCACAACGTTCCGGTATCTAGTTTTGGTACTACAACGTTCCTGCCTTGGGGGACGGGGCTAGGGGAGGAATATAATGACGAACGCTCAAAACATGTACCTACGCAGCTGAGACTGATTTCAATACAGTGCGACAACGACACGGTAATATGTATTATCTATACAGTATTCTATCATCAAACAAACGGTCGGAAAGCGTCAATACCTACGCCACTTGAGTTTGCGCGGCACCCGGTGGGCATCCAGTCGCGAATGCGCCGTAGCGACGACCGAACGGTGTCAATTGTTTTTATGCAGTTAGCCGTGCTTAAACGTGCGATTTGTATTGTGAATGTTTGCCTGAATTAAGTAGATACCTACCTACACTATAGTATGATAATTTACAAACTTTATTAATAGTACCTAGTAATGATTTCTTGGAGTATGTAGAAAAATGGAGGAAATATTTCGAACATAATTTAAAAAAAAAACATATCAATCGTAAAGTAGCTGCAAGTATACAAGTTAAAGATATTCCCTTTTCTGCTCCTTGCCAATGTTTCCCTAAAGTATTTTTAATTAAACTTTTAATACGAATTATTTACGTATTTAATATACTATTAAATTTAATAAAGCTTTTCGTACGTCTCAGTCGAGGCGTTGTCATTTTATCAGCGGCGTCTGTCTGAATAGTTTTCTGTCTCAAATCTATATATATTTTTTATTAAAAATTACCTAAAAATAACATGTTTTTATTGAACACTTCCTAATTAATTCACATTTTTTTTTTATATATAAAATAGAATATTTACAATCACAAAACTAGAAAGAAACTCAATAAAGTAGATGAAATTAAAATACTGTATGCGGGCAGCCCTACCGCGTGTCCACGCCCCGCTCGGCCGTAGGCAGTTATTTCAAGGACAGGGCCGAGTCACAATACTGTATAGATAATATTACCGTGACAACGATGATCATCTTTATCACCATTGAACATTTGCCTCGGTCCAAACATCACAAAAGACTCGAACATTTATAAATCTAAATAGAATTTACTAGATAATATTTGCCGCGGTCCACATATCAAAATGATGGCGCAACTGGTTAGCGCGTTCGGCTGCGATCGTTGAAGTTAAGCAACTTTCGCAGTGGTCCGTCATTGGATGGGTGACCAAAAATTTACTATCTCGAGCTCCTCCGTGCTTCGGAGGGCACGTTAAGCCATTGGTCCCGGTTGCATCCGCAGTCGTTAGCACCCACCAATCCGCACTGGGCCCGCGCGGTTGGTCATGACCCAAAATCCCTATTCCATCCATAGGGAAGGCCTGTGCTCCAGCAGTGGGGACATTAATAGGCTGATGATGATGACATATTAAAAAAGACACTTGATTTCGCTATCCAGGCGTATAAAAAAAGTATCTTTACAAGGATTTCGTTAAAAATACAAAATATGTAATTAATGGTTTCATCAAAACATGCGGAAAATTTACTTTAAAGTTATAATGTCAAAATTAAATTTCTAAAAATGTTGGAAAATAAAGGTCCATTCATGAAAAACCGTGCTTTTAAGTAAAAAAAGTTTTCATAGTTTTACTAATGAAAAGTGTTGCTGTGTCATTTGTTATTTGATGTTGAACTACACACATCAAAAGTGTCTAGGGATCAACATATATTTTTGCAATAACTTTTCTCCTGATTGATATTAATTAAAATTTTCTTTAAGGATTCATCAAATAAAGTGTTTTCGTTTGTCACAGTAACGATAAACCAAGTCACCTTTGCATTAATAAAGAAATTTGCCATTTTCCTAATAAAGGGATTTTTGACATTTGAACCACTAACACAAAAGTTCGAAAAAAAGACTGAAATAACAGTTTTCTCTAAAATTTTATTGGGTAACTTAAACAATTAATAATCCGTATTTCTACCGCGAACACTAACAACACAAGAACATCGGTTTGGCATACTCAAAATGAGTTCATCCAAATCACGCTGTGGAATGGCCGCCCATGTTCGTTGCAACAACAAAAAAAGGTCTTCTTGCGACTGGATACCCTCCATATTCGGCAGAGCTCTTCTCTGTAGCATATCCCATGCATGCTCAATCGGGTTCAAGTCTGGCGACTGAGCAGGCCAGGGCAGGACATTGATGTTAGCTGCGGCGAGAGTCTGTCTTACAACTCTTGCGGTGTGCGGTCGTGCATTATCATGCATTAACTGAAATAAGGGACCGATTTGCACTTGTAGAGGAACGATGACGTCTGATACAATCGTCTCAGCATAAATTTGAGCGTTGAGGTTGCCTCTGATCCAAATCAACTCAGTTCTTCCGCCGATCCAAATACCCGCCCATACCATGATGGTTCCACCACTATAAGGATGGACTTCCTGGCAGGATTTTAATCGCTGTTGGCGTCCAGGGGTTCTCCAGTGTCGTATACGTCTTGTATCCGGTCTCATACCAAAACGAGACTCATCAGAAAAGCAAACGAAACGCCATTGTTCTTCTGCCCAATTTCTGTGTTCAAGAGCCCATTGATATCGAATCCTACGATTGTGCATTGCTATAGGTGGTACCCGTAGCGGTCTTCGGGAATGAAGGTTCACTTCATGCAAGCGGTTTCTGACTGTTTGGTCGCTAATTAAGTTCCCTGAAGAGTGATGAAGCCTCACGGCTAACATCATGGCGGTTATTGTTGGAGCTCTTCGAGTTAAGATTTGAATGTATCGGTCTTGTCTCCGTGTGGTGCAGCGATACCGTCCTCCATGGCGCTCAGCCACGGTACCAGTGCTTCGGTATCGTGTCCAAAGTCGACTGATAACACTCTGACTTGTATTCAGAGCTAAAGCCACAGTACGTTGCCGGGAACCAGCTTCTATCATTCCCACGGCTCTGAGCATTTCTTCCCTGCTTAAATGACGTCGCCGCTCCATAATAACGTTGGTTTTAATCAGTAGTAGGGAAACAGTAGCACTAATAATGTCTTCAATGCGTTGTATGTTTTTATAGGGAAAATATTGATCTTTTACTCGAATTTGATTCACAGTTCCTGATTCAAATTATGAAATGCACCAAAAAGGATCCATATAAATTTATAAAATCATAAATTTATTACAAAGCCACATCTCAATCTCAAGAAATCCGCATAAAAATGCTTGATCCCTAGACACTTTTGATGTGTGTATTTGTGTCCTTTATAAAAGCATCGAAGGCATTGTTTTATCTTTATAACACAGAATATACGCAATATTGTTATATTGAGTGCACATGCAGCGTGTTCGAATGCCCAATTGTGACTAAAGCGAATTGTGGTCATGCACCACAATTTAAGAGGTACATTTTTGAGCCGCGAGTGCCGTATCTTTCCTTTTTGTTTTAATAGTAATATCAAAATGATCTTACCTTCCTGCAGCCATTGGGAGGCGACGATGATGGTGGCTCTGCCGCTATTTGTTGCTGCTTATGCGACGGCGCCGCTGATAAAATGACAATGCAATGTACAATCATAAAAAAAAATGGGTGCGTGTACTTATGTAGGCGCGTGAGAAGTTATCCTTCTTTGGCATCGTTTAAAATTAGTTTTTAATTGCATGCAAATAATTAATTACAATAAATTAATAAAAAGTCTCGAAAAGGACACAGTCAATAAAGTTCAGTTTTAATTTGAAAAAATAAATAAATAATCAAAATATTCAATTAAAATCGCTACTGAATATAATTTATTAGAACATATGTGATTTGCACTTGTATGAAACTCAAACACGTATTCCGAATATACAAACTAGAAACATGTGGATAAATATTATAAATATGAATACCTATAACTGTTACTTTATTACAAAAAATAAAGATGTGGTTTTTGGTTCTACTACACCAATGGTCAAGAGATGGCGCTGTAGTCTCCTGAATCGAGCTTTGGTTCCGTTGTTCCAGATTAATAAATACTTTTGATAGGTCTTCACAATGCAGTCGTTAGCACCCACTAAATAGAGATTCTATTTCTATTTTGTTGGTAGATTTTCTTAATGTGCGATAAACACAAAAGTAATGCAACGCTAAAGCGACCAACTTCATTATGTTAAATTTTTGTATTACAGTGATGCGCGCGCATCTTAAAATTTCACTCTCATCATTTTTTCATAACGCGCCTAAAGAAGTATAACTTCAAAAATTTAAAGTTTAGCACTTTTCCAAAATAATTAGACTTTGTATTGCCAAATCAGAAGCATGTCGGACGTATCTATAACTGTTGTACGAAGTTGAGCTCACGAAAACTATCATAGTTTTCGTAATTGCAAATTATGTTTTTATTATTGATATTAACGGGATGGTTACCATGTACCTTGTTTTTTATGAGTCTCCGATATTTCGGCACTGTTGCAAGCGCCATGATCACGGAGTAACTGAAGTAATTGCGGGTAGATGTTATTGGCACACATATCGGTCTACCCTCTGACGTCGTCTTTTACTGCGTTCGATACTACCACTACCACTGGTCAAATTCTCACTATTCTCACTCTCAACAATCCCGTTAATATCAATAATGTTAGTGACCATGAAAGTTTAAAACATTATGTTTTTATGTCCATTTTGGTGAAAACAACCTAATATTCTTAAAATTTCAGAAGACGCAAACGATTTAATGATAGAATTTAAACACTGTTTATTTGTATTGAAACGGAAACAATAAAATCAGTACCCTTAGTACGAGTGCGAGCTTACGAAAACTATCATAGTTTTCGTAATTGTAAAACTCGTACTAAGGGTACAGTACATTCAACTCGCATCATAGCGCGCAGTCATAAAATTACTTATTGGCCCAGTTTATATTGTGCAATAATTTAATTTATTTTTGTTCACATTTGAACACAATTCAAACCGAGTGTGCTCATACCATTACAATAGGGTTGATGACGGGGTACAGTAAACGAAATTCTATTTAGTCCGTCAGTTAGATGATCAAAAAATAATGGACACGTATTTTTTCTTTGGGAAATCAACCAAAAAATGACAAAGTTATAGCGCGTCAAAGTTTGGGAGTAGGGGCTCGTGACGTCACTTTTGAGTGAATTTGCACTTATAAGTGTACTCAAATGTGACGTCATGCGACTTTTCAAATCAATATATCTCTGCAACGTTTATATTGTATGAAAAAAGAAAAAAAATACGTGTCCAATACTTTTTGATAATCTACCTGATAAACGAAGAAAAAAAAATTAGTCATCATCCCTATTTACCATTTTAAATACATTGCGAAATTTATAACTAATTTGTGGGACTTACACCCTACAACATAGTTTAACTTCATTTATTTCGATCAAACACAAATCAACGCTCGGAATGCGTGCGGTAAAAAATGACATAGGTCCTGCCTCGAACTGCGCTGGCGCTGATCGGCGATAGTGTTGCCGATCGATAGTCGACTATCGATGATTAATCTATAGTCTATCGATAGCCAACCAATCGTATGACAATCGATCGACTTATATCGATATTATCGATACTATTGATAGCACAGAAAAAGCCAATACTATCGGATGAGTTAAATACTATCGATAGCATTGTAGTTCGTTATTAAAAAACTACTATCGCAACCATACTATCGAGAGTTTAACAATTTGCAATAGTATTGTTTACAATTTTTAGGTATCATAGTCAATAACAAACTTTTGTCTAAAACAATCGCTAGTATCGATACTATCGATAGTATTGTTGCAGATAAAATCAACAATATCGATAGTACTAGCGATAATTTGTTATTAACGAACTACAATGGTATCGATAGTATCTATAGTATTGCACTCATTCGATAGTATTGCCTTGTACGGAGCTATCAATAGTTTCGATACTATCGGTTGTGTCGATTCTATCGATAGGCCTATCGATAGGGTACATGATTTTTGATGTAAACTGTCGATAGTTTTAATATCGATAGTTCGGCAACACTAATCGGCGAGTAGTTGAGCACTGGTATATATTGCATTGTACGGGCGAGCGTCGCCGCGACTAATATCGGTTTTACGTGCGCCAAATGATGATTCACATCAAATTATTTTAATAAAGTATATAGTCTCACCTGGCGATGCTTGCACGTTGCTGATGAGGACGGGCTTGCGTGGGGGCAGCTTACTTTGCGAGATGACTGGAGCTCCACCTGTATATATAAAAATGGGTGCGTGTACTTATGTAGGCGTGTGAGAAGTTATCCTTCTTTGGCATCGGTTAAAATTAGTTTTTAATTGCATGCAAATAATTAATTACAATAAATTAATAAAAAGTCTCGAAAAGGACACAGTCAATAAAGTTCAGTTTTAATTTGAAAAAAAAAAAATCAAAATATTCAATTAAAATCGCTACTGAATATAATTTATTAGAACATATGTGATTTGCACTTGTATGAAACTCAAACACGTATTTCGAATATACAAACTAGAAACATGTGGATAAATATTATAAATATGAATACCTATAACTGTTACTTTATTACAAAAAATAAAGATGTGGTTTTTGGTTCTACTACACCAATGGTCAAGAGATGGCGCTGTAGTCTCCTGAATCGAGCTTTGGTTCCGTTGTTCCAGATTAATAAATACTTTTGATAGGCCTTGACAATGCAGTCGTTAGCACCCACTAAATAAAGATTCTGTGTCTATTTTGTTGGTAGATTTTCTTAATGTGCGGTAAACACAAAAGTAACAGCATGAAGTTGGTTAAAATTTTGTGTTACAGTGTTGCGCGCGCATCTTAAAATTTCATTCTCATCATTTTTTCATAACGCGCTTAAAGAAGTATAACTTCAATAAAATTATGATAGAATCAAATAAGACCACACGCCCTGATCGGGGCGCGCTACCCACGGGACTATAAGCCGATTTTTGTGATAGTTAGAGCTTACTTTTGCATGAAGAAGTTTACCCATAGATTAACTGGGCGAAATGACGTATCTCTAGAGCCGTAAATTTTAAATAGCCCGCATAAATACTGCTTATGCGGACCCCAAGCAGTTAACTCGTTTATTTTCAGTTATGAAAAGATTAGATAGGTACAGCGTCATCAGGGTATATAATGATATTGTGTTAATAACATATTGTATTATATTTGTATATATGTATATATTTTTTTATCTATTTATGATCAGGCTTCACAGGCCCATAGAAAACAACCTTATAGTCGAACCATATACACAGAATATAAAACATTGTTGTTAGTAAATAAAATTGGTAACTACGTAAGTGCCCTGTGAATTATGGCTTGATTTTTAGCGTTGCTATCAGGGTGTCAATCGTACGAGAATTCTCGTACAAATAAGAGATTACTTTCTTGTACGAACATTCGGTGCATCTTTAATTTAGTGAGTGGTGAGCGTGAAAACTTAAGAATCAAATATTGATATTTCTGTTATGAAATCAATAAAAAAAACGTGTGCGCCGGCAGCGGCACGTGTAGTCGGAGGGGGAGCCCTATATATATACGCACCGACGGAGGCCCGCAGCTCGCATTGTGCGCCGGCAGTGCCGGGCCGGCAGCGGCACGTGTAGTCGGAGGGGGAGCCCTATATATATACGCACCGACGGAGGCCCGCAGCTCGCATTGTGCGCCGGCAGTGCCGGGCCGGCAGCGGCACGTGTAGTCGGAGGGGGAGCCCTATATATATACGCACCGACGGAGGCCCGCAGCTCGCATTGTGCGCCGGCAGTGCCGGGCCGGCAGCGGCACGTGTAGTCGGAGGGGGAGCCCTATATATATACGCACCGACGGAGGCCCGCAGCTCGCATTGTGCGCCGGCAGTGCCGGGCCGGCAGCGGCACGTGTAGTCGGAGGGGGAGCCCTATATATATACGCACCGACGGAGGCCCGCAGCTCGCATTGTGCGCCGGCAGTGCCGGGCCGGCAGCGGCACGTGTAGTCGGAGGGGGAGCCCTATATATATACGCACCGACGGAGGCCCGCAGCTCGCATTGTGCGCCGGCAGTGCCGGGCCGGCAGCGGCACGTGTAGTCGGAGGGGGAGCCCTATATATATACGCACCGACGGAGGCCCGCAGCTCGCATTGTGCGCCGGCAGTGCCGGGCCGGCAGCGGCACGTGTAGTCGGAGGGGGAGCCCTATATATATACGCACCGACGGAGGCCCGCAGCTCGCATTGTGCGCCGGCAGTGCCGGGCCGGCAGCGGCACGTGTAGTCGGAGGGGGAGCCCTATATATATACGCACCGACGGAGGCCCGCAGCTCGCATTGTGCGCCGGCAGTGCCGGGCCGGCAGCGGCACGTGTAGTCGGAGGGGGAGCCCTCCTCCCTCACGCACCTCCCCCCGCGCGCGCACGGGTTCGGGACGCACGGGTCCTAAAGTCAAACAAGAAATGTACAACCCATTTTAATTATGTTTTATTAAGTTTCCATTCCGAGTCGATGCACTCTAAACAGCTGACACAGTTGAACCACTAACTGTTTAAAGAGCAATATTGTACATTATATGATAGTGCAATAAAGGCATTCACATCATATTGACGTATTTTAATAATTATCTCCCGACTATCGCGTGACGTCATTGACATATTGGCAGTCGTTAGGGTCCTAATAACGGTCCCAACAACGAATCATAGTCAGATGATACTACTTCATGCTAGTGTCGTCGACCAGTCTTACGCACGGGAGGATCTGCCCCCACCGGGATTCGAACCCGGGACCTCTCGAGTCGGCGACCTCATGAAATCCGGCGTACAAACCACTCGGCCACGGAGGTCGTCGTATTCTAGTCTTTGCCCAAGACTAGCTGTCGCTGACCAGTCATACGTGACGTGTGGGAGGAGAGACCACGACCAAGGGGACGAGGCGGACACTTTCTTACGCTCCACGTTCAGAATTTAACACCACGTCGCTGTTTAAGATCTGATATTGTTAAAAACCAGTTTTTACCTATGTTTACAGACCACGTCATTGAAAATCTCTTATCATTGACCCAGCTCGAAGGACCAATCATAAGGGTCTTTGATTGACGTGGACTATTTAATAACAGATTAATATAATATAATATAATAACATAATCCACAAACGCCATGCACAGGGGCTGGTTATACTCATTGGTCTTCTGCATAACCTGCCTCACTGTGTGAATGTGGTCTATGGTGCCATAACCCCGTCGGAACCCGGCCTGCTCTGTAGGTTCATCTTCGTCAAGTCTTCGTGCAAGGCGATTCGAGATGACTCTTGAAAACAACTTATAGACATGGCTCAGGAGTAGACTTGCAACGAATAGTATATTCGGCGAGGCCTCTGACCGAATATTAGGCAAAAGTATTCGGCTAGATTTTAGCGCCAAAAACTTGTACAGACGTGATTGTTTCGCGCTCCTTTGTTTTGTTCTAATCTGCCGTCCTCAAGCTAAAATGCAGCTAAATGATAAAACCAACTTTTGAGATATGGCCAAAAACGGCACGTAAACTTTAAATTATTGCTATTATGTAACCATTCATCACATGACTGAATGAATTAAAAACTGTTAACTTGTTTAACACAGAAAATGATTAAATTATGTACCTGTTTTATGTACAAATGACTACTTAATAAATTATTATAAAAGAAATGAGAACCTTACCCTTCTAAATTTTGATTACCACAATAATTCAAATACATAGAATTCTCCATTTTTCCAATTCAGAAGATGATTATGTACCTGTGCAATGTACCAATGACTACTTAAATGATTATATAACAGAAATGAAAATATGAATAATACGTAATAGTACAGTCATTTGGTGAGAAATATAGTGGTTATCTGGAAAGTTTTCCGGGAGTTGGTAATTTTATAAATTTTGAGGTGCTCTTTCCGAATTTTGACTTTGCCACCTCGTATTTTTGCCGCTCGCGTCGCTATATTAGAAAAATGGCGCCTAAAAGCAGTTTTTTGACAATATCTCCTTTCCAACTCATTTTACGATAAAAACAGTTATGTACAAAATAAAACTAGAGACAATTGCCTACAATTTATGTAACTACCTTTTTTTCATAAAGTCAATAGTTTTGGTGTACTCCAACGCACATTTTGGCCAAAAACTCATTTCCACACCACCTTGAGTTAAAGTGGCACGTTTTTTTTTTAATGTGGTATCCCCAATAGACCTAATCCACATGCAATTCAATGTGCTAAAATTTAGTGTACTCTCCTTTGCTTTGTTATTCTCCATGGACCAGGTGTTGAAATTCATCGTCCTACCAATCGAAACGTCACAGACCGGTATTTCATCTACATCATGGGTCTATTATAGAATAAAATAATATCTATAGTCAGTATAGTTTAGATTTACATTAATTTTATAACTCGCAAATCTAATGAGTTGAAATTAAAAGCCACAGGTTGCATGAATAGTGAGTAATGACCAAAGCGCGCGTTGGAGTACACTATGTGGCGCTGGTACGCCTAAACTATTGACTTAATGAAAAAAAAGGTTGATATAAATTGTAGGCAAATGTCTGTAGTTTCATTTGGTATACAATTGTTTTTATCGTAAAATGAGTTGGAAAGGAGATATTGTCATAAAACGGCTTTTAGGCGCCATTTTTCCCATATGGCGCGCGAGCGGCAAAAATCAAATTCAAATTCAAATTCAAATATTTTTTATTGCGAATACAGGTAATATTGTGTTGTGTTCAAGTATACAAATTATATTATGTTCAGCCATATTCTGTCTTGTTGACATGCAAAAAATACGAGGTGGCAAAGTCTAAATTCGGAAAGACCACCTCAAAATCTACAAAATTACCAATTTTTAAAACTCCCGGAAAACTTTCCAGGTAAAATTACCAAATGACTGTATTATAATCAATAGATTTTAATTTTTCAATTTACCAATTATTTCTCTATGACAAAATATATTATTTAAGTATTCGGTATTTGGCCGAATAATATGTAGATATTCGGTATTCGGCCGAATATAATAAAAGCAGCCGAATAGGCCGAATACCGAATAGTAACCGAATATTCGTTGCAAGTCTACTCAGGGGCCCAATTCTCGCGGCGTAGATATTATATCGTCTTCGAGATAATATCGAAAGTAGGGATATCTATTGAAAATATCTACTGATGGTAAAAAATGCTATTCTCGTGGATTTTCGATATTCCAATGATATTATATCTATCGTAGATATTCTTTCACTGCCGAATGCGTTCCGTTTTTCTCGATTAAGTTAACATCATAGTCTATATAAAATAATAATAAATTAGAGCAGAATTTTACAAGCAACAAAATGATATTTTATGAATTCCATTCATATTAAATATGAGTATACATTTTTTGAGTATAAGAAATCTCAACTTTACCTAAATTGTATGCGTTTATAATTTCAACGTTATGTATAATGAAACGTCAATATTATTTAAGATTCTCCCTTTTCAGGGAAGGCAAAGGGAACAATGCCCATAAAGCCTAGTCTTTAGTTATATTAATCTTCTTTTTTTTACATTCGAATGTCGGTGTGACGCATTCTAATGTTTTTTGGAGTGTTTGGCACGAAATTTATGGAGTTGGCTTTTTCTCTAAGCTTCTGTGAGGTATTCAACACTACAATAAAGTTCTCGAGTCCACTTAACCGGAATAGCGTATATTTTAAAGATTCCACTAATTCTTCAGTTGCGCAGACGGTTGTAACACCAAATCACACCAATTTTATTTCACAATATCCACTATGAACGAATTTTAGAATAATTAAAATAAGATGCCAACCGCACTCGCAGAAATCCCGCCAAAACTCCGTATCGTCAATAAGAAAATGGTGTCGATTCTGGCATGATTCTCTAAACCTAAACGTAAATTTGACAGCAGTGTATCCTTGTCATTCTCCATACAGAATGAAAAGGAGAGACTGATGTTAAATTTAGTTCTAAGTTTAGAGAATTGTGTCAGAATCGATACCAATGTCATTCATAACTTTAAAGATTTCTAACCAAATTTTTGTTTAAACGTAATTTTTTTATGAAGTCGGCGTCCCTCATTTCAAATGGGCCCTCTTGCTCTCACAACGGCGGCGCCTTAGCACAGCAGCAGCAATCACGTCATTTATTAAATCATTGACGAAAACATGAATCAACTCATCCATCGTTAATATAAACTGGTGTCGATTCTCTAAATCTAAACATAAACTTGACAACAGTGTTTCCTTGTCATTCTCTATACAGAATGAAAAAGAGAGACTGATGTTAAATTTAGTTTTAAGTTTAGAGAATCACGCCAGAATCGACACCATTGTTTACCTACTTCTTTATTTACTAATTATTTATGAAGGCAGTTAACAACATCTTGAGGTAACAATAATTGCCAAAGACACACGACAACACAATAAATAATAGGTAAAAAAAGTGGAAATAACAAGATTGACATGCCAAGATCCATAGATATTTATTTATCGAAGGCTCTTTACCAGTCGATGTATGTCTACTGATCATCCGTAGATAAATATCTATTGCGACATGGTGAGAATAGGGCAAAAAAGTTTTCCTTCGATAAAAGCCAGATCATTCGATATATATCGAAGGTGATATAATATCTATGCCGCGAGAATTGGGCCCCAGGAGTGAAAGTGGTCGATAGTTATTCAGTAAGGCCTTGTCGCCTTTCTTGAAGAACAATACGACCAAGCTCCGGTGCCACGCCCTTGGAGTTCTCCCGGAGTCTTCGCCGGAGGAGCTCCGGCGTATATTTAACTATGTTCTCTTGAACATAGTTAAATATACGCCGGAGCTCCTTCAGCACCGGCTTGCCGGCAGCTTTCAGAAGCTCGGTTATGACTCCGTCCTCCCTCGGGGCTTTTCCATTTTTAAGTTGCCCAAGAGCCGCCTCGATCTCTTCTAGGTCGATGTCGGGGAGATCCTCCGTCACATGGCGGGTTAATGCGGCTCTTGAATCTCTCTCATCCGACGTAGGGTGGGGCGAGTGCGACGTGTATAACTGGCTATAGTAGGTACAGTGGCGGACTAACAGGGGGGCGGAAGGGGCGGCCCGCCCCGGGCCTCCGATATTGGGGGCCCCCAAATGCCTCCGCGTGCCCCTGATCGCATCCTAAACTAGACTTTAAAAATGTGCTTAGTACCTACATAATTTCATCAAGATCAAAACACTACAGCCATCTAGACTTTTTACGCGGAACTAATATACTTTTGACTTCGCTGAACGCGTCCAATACGCTGGGGGAATTCCCGTCTCTGTAGCGCTTATACGCCTACATTTAATAACATTCACTATATTTACGTCGAAAAATAAACATTGGCCTCATTTAAAATCCGTTCAAAGTAACCTCATTAAAAAGTGTAATAGTGCTTTTGATTTTTGTTGCGGTATAAAAGTAAATGTCTTTAATAATCAATAATAATCAATCACCGACGTTTCTAGTCAATATGTACCATATTGTAGGTATGTATGTTTACTTAGCTTAAATAATTTAACTGGAATATAAATTTCACTCGCCAGATTTTAACGAAACAAACTAAGAAATTACATTTTTAAAGAAAATATAACTAGAAAAAATTCCACGCGGACCAGGCAGCAGACGGGACTCGAACCCGCACCCTTCGCAATCCGGGCGAATGCACTGACCAATTATGCTACCGCGGCCCTTACGGACCGCGTCGAAATTCTTTCTAGCTATTCTTAAGCTGCAAGGCAGCGCCATCTCTTCGCATTATAGGTAAACCCACAATGTCAAATGAATACTTTTACAAGTATTAAACATTTGAAAGAAGAAATAGCAATTAAAGTTATAATTTTTATTATTTTTAAAGCATGTAACTGCTTGATGTTTAAATCTAAAGAAAATATAACTAGAAAAAATTCCACGCGGACCAGGCAGCAGACGGGACTCGAACCCGCACCCTTCGCAATCCGGGCGAATGCACTGACCAATTATGCTACCGCGGCCCTTACGGACCGCGTCGAAATTCTTTCTAGCTATTCTTAAGCTGCAAGGCAGCGCCATCTCTTCGCATTATAGGTAAACCCACAATTTTTTCTAGTTATATTTTCTTTAGATTTAAACATCAAGCAGTTACATGCTTTAAAAATAATAAAAATTATAAATTACATTTTTTCTTTAAAACTGGGGGGCCTCGTTTTGCCGCCCCGGGCCTCTGACGAGCTTAGTCCGCCACTGAGTAGGTATAACCTTCCGAAAGAATCTCCGGTTTCGACGTGACGACTTCGCCATTTGTTTTGGTCAACTTCGTCAAGTGGCTCCTTCCAAGCTGTTGTACGAAGACTTTGGACCCCCGGTTCTGCACAATTGCTCTCTGTATCAATCATAATGATAATCATAATCAAAATTATTTATTCAGTTTAGGCTGCTACAAGCACTCATGAATGTCTGGAAGCTACGCCATCGGTTCGTAAATCTACGGCGGGAGACCTTGTACTGAGAAGAACCGACAAGAAACTCAGCAAGGGCTGTTTTTTTCTCCATGTTTTATCATTTACAGAGTCGTCAAATTGAAAAGTGACTTCAGAGATGATTCATGAAGTCACCTTTCATTACACAATTATTAAATATACATTAATTGTTTACCTGCATTTTGATTGCTGTGCCATACAGTATAAATACAAATAGTGTTATTTATATTAAGTGTGACTAAACATTAACTTCAATATTAAGGAAGTTGGGGCAGACTCATCTCCGCTGGCAGCACCCGTTCACGAGCATGACGCATGAACCAGCCATCGCTTCGCTCAACCATATTGTAGGGAACGTAACGACCCGCCTCACACGACACCGCCGAAGAGACTATTATGAGAGCATGACTACCCATAACTACCCATACTAACTACAACATATTTACTTAAATTAAGGTCATTTACCTGTAGGGGCAATATAATAGGTAAGGAAGTCAATTGCTCGCATTTTGGTCGTTTTGCAGCTAGCTACATTTGTTCTCTAGAGTGGGGCAACTGCCTCCCCCTGTCCCCCCTTGGCGACGCCCTTGACTACGCCGTTTTGTCAATCAAATATTCTTAAAATTATCAAGAGTGTATTGGATTTCGGAGGTCACGGCTTATCAGTTAGGAGAAGGACTTATTCAGAGCCCGTTGTTCTGATGAAGTGACTAGTGGATCATTTCGCCGCTTGTCCATTAGACCTAGAGTCTCTTTTCGAAAGTTTAGACCGCTTGCTCGTACGTCGTAGCTTTTCGTTCACAGAATTTCGCACCCTCGTCCCGAAGGATTTCTACCACTTGGTTTTGTTCCCCGTCGATGTCAACGTCAATTGTGGTTTTCAATGCAGCGAATCGATCGCTGCCTTGAAATTGCATCGATCCCATAACACAAGCCTCACAGTGCTTACTTTGGGGCTAGGCTAATTGGTGTGTGTGTTGCAAATATTTATTTTATTTATTTACAGTAGACTTGCAACGAATATTCGGTTACTATTCGGTATTCGGCCTATTCGGCTGCTTTTATTATATTCGGCCGAATACCGAATATCTACATATTATTCGGCCGAATACCGAATACCTACTTAAATAATATATTTTGTCATAGAGAAATAATAGGGAAGATGCAATATTTTTATTTTTGTTTTCATTTTAAAGAATTCCATGTAGAATAAACCACAGATATATTAAAAAATTAAAACATTGTGATTTATCGGAAAAAATGCGGTTTTAAATTGACAATTTAAATTTTCGCGCGAAAACGAACCTATGGTTGCGATGACGTCACTCCTGTCTGTCACTGGTCGTACTTGTTCGTCGCTGGCTTTAAATTTTCATACTTTTGCATATTTTTTCGACTTTCGAAATATTTTTTTGAAAAAATTTATATATTATTTATCATAACAATACCACTAATATTCCGAAAAAAAGCCGTGTTGACTCATGTTTTGTGCCAATCTACTTCAACAAAGTTTATAAATAAATTGTTTTTGACTTGAACTTCTGACCCAAAACTGAAAAAAAAAGTGGTTTCAAGCTGCGAAGTGAAATGACAATGTTTCTCCAAAGACCATTATTCGATGATCACTTTGACGTAAGTCGGCGAATATACTTGTTATATGCTTAATTAATCTGCTTGTACGTAAAAACGCATTAGTAACCTACCTAATACTTACAAAACCTGTCTATAACATATTTTTAATTTTACAGTTGGAGAATGAAGTCGAAAATTAGATAAACTTTAAAATGTGTGGCACAATCTTCACATTGGCAGGACTGAACCAAGCTTTGCGTTTCATTTAAAATAACTGTAACACGATAACCTTCTTTACGTACTTTATGCTCCGGAGAACTCGACCTTTTACTGTACATAATTCTCCATCTCTTTTAATTTGGCTATAGCCGATTGCATTATCGCCGTAAGATTTGTAGAAGCCGCTGAATAAAATACGAAGTTTACCAACTACGATTTTTACATACCGTAGTAATTTAGTCCCTTTCATTTCTACACTCAAAAACTCTGCACTTTGGACAAAAAAAGTTATAACCATGTCAACACTAACTCATGGTAAATTCCTGGAGTCTGCTTTGATAAACGCAACTTCCATTTTTATTAAATGTAAAAAACGCAATTAATATTCCCATAAAATAATATTTACTTTAACAACCATAACCTCAAAGAAGTTGTCATAACAGGAGTGACGTCACTAAACGCTGATTGGTGTTTTAAAATACGTTCTGTTTCAAGTATTTTTAATTCGTAATAATTGTTAAAAAAATAACATTATGTAAAATAAAAATGTTGCAGTGGCATTTCTTTTATATTTTTTTAACATTTTAATCATAAAATTTTCATAAATATTATATATGCATCTTCCCTATTGGTAAAATGAAAAATTAAAATCGATTGATTACGTTTGTATTCATATTTTTATTTCTGTTATATAAATAATCATTTAAGTAGTCATTGGTACATACCACAGGTACATAATCATCATCTGAATTGGAAAAATGGAGGATTCTATTGTATTTGAATTAATGTGGTAATCAAAATTTAGAAGAGTAAGGTTCTCATTTCTTTTACAATCATTTATTAAGTAGTCATTGGTACATAAAACAGGTACATAATTTAATCATTTTCTGTCCTAAACAAGTTAACGGATTTTAATTCATTCAGTCATGCGATGAATGGTTATATAATAGCAATAATTTGGTTTAGTCATTTAGCCGCATTTTAGCTTGAGGACGGCAGATTAGAACAAAACAAAGGAGCGCGAAACAATCACGTCTGTACAAGTTTTTGGCGCTAAAATCCAGCCGAATACTTTAGCCTAATATTCGGCTATTCGGTCAGGGGCCTTGCCGAATATTCGGTATACTGCCGAATATACTATTCGTTGCAAGTCTAATTTACAGTACTAAGAACTGGTGTATATATGACGACCTCCGTGGCCGAGTGGTTTATACGCCGGGTTTCATGGCGTCGCCGACTCGAGAGGTCCCGGGTTCGAATCCCGGTGGGGGCAGATGTTTGTGTGATGAATACGAGCATTTGTACTCCAGTCATGGATGTTTAATATGTATTTCATATAAATATACTTATATATGTACAATATATGTATTCTATCCGTTACCCTAGTATCCCATAACACAAGCCTTTACAGTGCTTACTTTGGGGCTAGGCTAATTGGTGTGAGTGTTGGAAATAAATATTTATTTATTTATACATATATACCTGCGAGTGTTAGCATCAGATTGGGCTGCGAATGGACCGGGAGCATATATACAGTAAATATATACCTGTGAGTGTTTAGCATCAGCTTGTGCTGCAACTGGACCGGGAGCAGGCAAGGTTTCCTCTTCCCCGCATCCGGGCGCGTGTCGTTGCATCCGCACAGCATTCCCGTAGTCCACACGCTTGTGGTTTATCCAAGCTTCTTTCAAGCAACCTGTTGCCAAAAAAAATCATTTTACCAATTATGTTTTCATTTATTTTTAAGCATTTAACTGCTAGATGTTTAAACGTAAAGAAAAGTTTACTAGAAAAAAATCCACGCGGACCAGGCAGCGGACGGGACTCGAACCCGCACCCTTCGCAATCCGGGCGAATGTACTGACCATTATGCTACCACGGCCCTATTGGCCGCGTCGAAATTTTCTTAGCCTTAAGCTGCAAGGCAACTCCATCTCTTCACATTGTAGGTAACCCACAATGTCAAATAAATACTTTTTCAAGTATTAAACATTTGAAAGAAGAAATAGCAATTATAGTTATGTTTTTATTAATTCGTAATTAAAATTATATTTGGAAACCGGCTCGAAGGACCATTATTTATTTTTTAGGGCGAGAAACGAAGTGTTATTAAAATTATGTCGCTATTAATGGAGAGCGGCTGCCAATGGTATTGTTATTACAGAAATCAGAAATCAATATATCTTTAAATCAAAAGAAAAGTTTACTAGAAAAAAATCCACGCGGACCAGGCAGCGGACGGGACTCGAACCCGCACTCTTCGCAATCCGGGCGAATGCAGGCCATCAGGGCCGTGGTAGCATAATTGGTCAGTGCATTCGCCCGAACGGGACACAAACCCGGGTCGGTGTCTGCTGCCTGGTCCGTGTGGAATTTATACTAGTAATATTTTCTTTAGACTTTTGAGTAAGTTCCCTCCCTCTTACAACCTGGGATCCTTTAAAAGAGGCGTGAAGAAGCAACATGCAGGCCGGCAAGGTGAGGATGGCTGGTGTGGCAGGTGGAACTGCTGTATCAGCTATCTTCACGTCTGGACTTCACCGTCACTTAACATCAGGTGGGTGGAGTCATTTGTCGGATTTATCTATAAAAGTCTTCCTTGCAAGGATAGCATTGGTCTTTTATGTTTTAATGCCACAAGGATATTGTATGGATAATCTAAAACAGTGGAGAGGAGCTCGATGGCGCAGGTGGCTAGCGCGTTCGGCTGCGATCGTTGAAGTTTCGAAGCAACTTTCGCAGTGGTCGGTCATTGGATGGGTGACCAAAAATTTACTATCTCGAGCTCCTCCGTGCTTCGGAAGGCACGTTAATCCGTTGGTCCCGGCTGCATTTGCAGTCGTTAGCACCCACCAATCCGCACTGGGCCCGCGTGGTGGGTCATGGCCCAATCTCCCTATTCCATCCATAGGGAAGGCCTGTGCCCCAGCAGTGGGGACATTAATAGGCTGATGATGATGATGATGATGATGATGATGATGATGATGATATGATTAATATGTCCAATAACGAGTGGTAGGGAAAAAAAATGTTTGGACGATTTAAAAGTGTTGTACTGTACATCCAATTTGAATGAAGATATATTGATGTTTTTATTTATTTTAAAGCATTTAACTGCTAGATAATATAATATAAAGAAAATTAAATATAAAGAATAATAGAAGTTTAAATATAAAGAAAAGTTTATTAGAAAAAAGTTAAATGCCTAAAAGTAAATAAAAACATAACTATAATTGCTATTTCTTCTTTCAAATGTTTAATACTTGAAAAAGTATTTATTTGACATTGTGGGTTACCTACAATGCGAAAGGATGGCGCTGCCTTGCAGCTTAAGGCTAGGAAAATTTCGACGCGGCTAATAGGGCCGTGGTAGCATAATGGTCAGAGCATTTGCCCGGGCTGCGAAAGGTGCGGGTTCGAGTCCCGAACGCTGCCTGGTCCGCGTGGATTTTTTTCTAGTAAACTTTTCTTTTGATTTAAAGATATATTGATTTCTGATTTCTGTAATAAAAATACCATTGGCAGCCGCTCTCCATCAATAGGGACATAATTTTAATTACACTCCGTTTTTCACCCTAATAAATAAATAATGGTCCTTCGAGCCGGTTTCCAAATATAATTTTAATTACGAATTTGCCGTATGATCACTTTATGAGGTGTATGTGAGTGCTTATAATTTTTAGGCTTAGTAACTGAAAACTAAAAAGTTGGTCCTTCGAGCCGGATTTTAATTTCAGCACTTACCTCTGAAGCTGGTTACGTTGCGCAGGTGCCATCTCCCGAAGGCAGTCTTGGCTATATCTTCGGGCACTCCTCCCAGGTACATGGGGCTCTCCAGCCGAAGATATTCCTTGTTGCCTGCGAGGTTAGACTAGGTTATTTTTCATCGTATAATCAATAAATGTTTTGATGATAACGCGTTGTCCTTAATTAAGCTCAGTTTACATGTAAAAATGCGAATATTCCTATAGGGATGATGACTAATATATTGATTTGAAAAGTCGCATGACGTCACGTTTGAGTACACTTATAAGTGAAAATTCACTCAAAAGTGACGTCACGAGCCCCTACTCCCAAACTTTGACGCGCTATAACTTTGTCATTTTTTGGTTGTGTTGAGAAATAATAATAATAATAACTAACAGAAACTCACGTGCATGTTTTACATTGAGATATTTATTTTTATTAATTGCAAATACAGAAAAAATCTTTTGACAACTGACGTAAAAAACAAATTAAAAAGATCACCATAACCTATTGTGATCAAAGGAGTTTTCAACATTCTCTACACCCAAAAGCTGGGCGTTGATGACTAACAGAAAAGGGCATCTAATATATGCCAAGACGGCTTGGCATCTTGACTATCCGACCACTACTAGTTTTCCGTTGAATTATATTGCTAGAACAGGCTTCGGACGACACCTCTAATGTATAAAGTTTTTGTACAGGCCTTACCTTGATACCTAAGCCGGTTTTCAATTTTGCTAGTCTTTGATGTCCATCCCTACCCTTACAAACTTCAATAACTAGCCCGAGTGGCCATTTCACTCTCTTTTCTGTGGTTTCTAAGATTACAACATCTCCTGTTTTGAGTTCTTCACTTTTCTGGTTACCCTTTTGTAACAAGCATGTTAAATGTTCCGTAAGAAATCTGTGTCTAAAATCATCGCGTAATTTTTGTAAGTATCGTAAACGACAATTCAAATTGGTACGGTCTACATAATCTATATCGGATACCTCCGAATTAGGCAAAGGATGTAGAAAACACATCGGTGTTAATGGTTCCAATGAAGAAGTCGCATCATCCTCTACATACGTCAGAGGACGCCCATTCATAGTGGCTTCACAATCGCAAAGTATTGTTAACAGTTCATCGTAGCTTAATACACTTCTACCCAATATTCTCCGCAGAAGGTCTTTTAAAATCTTGATAAGCCTCTCCCAGTATCCACTGTATACGTATGATGTTAGAATATCTTTGCACCTTATTCCAATCAATTTCTTTAAATAAATTGTTGGCTCCAACAAAGTTGGTGCCGTTATCTGACATCATCACTCTCACTCTTCCACGACGCGCGATAAATCTACGAAGTGTCATCAGAAACTCTTCAGTGGATAAATTTCTAGCTATTTCCAGGTGTACTGCCCTGTATACCGCACACGTGTACAAAACAATCCAACATTTTCCACCTCCTCGTAAGTATAGAGGCCCAGCTAGGTCTACACCGGTAACCTCAAATGTAGCACCACAAGTAACACGCTCCAACGGCAACGGAGCCACCGGTGCTTTAATGTTTTTTGCGTTAAATCTCCTGCAAACAACGCACTTTGATATTATTGTCTTGATTTTAAGTCTTATGCCATAACCCAAAATCTTTGTCGCACTTCTGCAATTACTATGTCACTCCCCGCATGTTCAAGTCTTCGATGGCATTCTTCAATCATTCGTACTACAATAAAGTTATTTGCTGGTAATATAAAACGTTTCTTAATACTTTCTGGAAAGTCTCCTAAGGTAAGTTTAGTTTCTATTCTCAATAAACCTAATGAATCACGAAATATTTTGTAGTTTGAACATCTTTTTTCGATAAATGCCTGATTTTCTTTTTGTATTAATCCAACCATTTTTCTTTCAGCTTCTTCAAATTCTTCGTAGTTTAATTCACCATGTTTCCTCTTATTACTTTGTTTTATATTATTAATAAATCTCATTACCCATCCTAATGTGCGTATTATTTTTGTATAGTTAGAAAAGTAAGAAAATCTATTTAAGAAATTTTCCTCTGAACATATATTAACTACTATATCTGACCTTTTCTTTAATTCTTTTATTGCTTCTGAATCTTCTATATTTACTACTGACTTTGGCCATTTTTCTACGCTGTCTCGTAACCATCGTGGTCCCTCAAACCAACGTATATCATAAAGTTGTTTCGCGTCGCATTTGTTGAGAAATAATAATAATAATAACTAACAGAAACTCACGTGCATGTTTTACATTGAGATATTTATTTTTATTAATTGCAAATACAGAAAAAATCTTTTGACAACTGACGTAAAAAACAAATTAAAAAGATCACCATAACCTATTGTGATCAAAGGAGTTTTCAACAGGTTGATTGCCCAAGGAAAAAATACGTGTCCATTATTTTTTGATCATCTAACTGACGGACTAAATATTATTTCATTTACTGTACTCCGTCATCACCCCTATTGTCATTACACAACTAACATATAAATCAAACTGTTGTGTAATTCAGTAATAATTAATTATTATTAAGCTAATTGTTAAATCATCTTGTCAATAGAATAAGTTAAATTGTTTATCACCTTGTCTCACATCATTCACTATCAGCTTTCTATTATCTCTTTCCTCACATCTCAGGCCGGGGAACATGTACGAGCCGACTCGTACAGTTTTGTCTAGTTTGCACTTTACGCCACATTCGATAATTTAGGTCACGATCACATCAGTCTGCCATGGGTATTCATTCTAGCCGCGCATACTCATATCAATTATCATAATAATATCATTCTTATAAGTATAAATAGTTTAATATATCATTTATTTTATTTCAGGAGTTTCACTTTATCAACTCTATCATAAATAGGTGTGCAAACCGTACAGTCAGTAAAGCCTAGTTCGCATTAGGCTAGTATTTTAGTCGAGTGGCGAGTAATTTAGTAACTAAACGTGTCTGGACAGTGAAAATTTAGTCGAGCAGTTTAACAAGCAATTTAGTCGAGTCGATCCATTTTGTTCTATTTTGAACGGGCGAGTAGCACGCGTCTGTGCTCAGTGGCTCACCGACTAAACAAGTCCGAACCTGTAGGATTTGTAGAGTTCATTAGTGGTCGCAAAATGTCGTTTCGCTGGAGCGAAGAAACAACTTTAAAATTTGTTTCTAAATATGCGGAACACGAATGTTTGTGGAATATCAAGTCCCCGCATTATAAAAACAAACAAATGAAACAATCCGCATACTTGGACATAGAAAATTCAATGAGTATACTAATATGGATTTGGTGAAAACGAAATAGCCGTTACTAAAATAGTAAAATAGCCGTTACTATTAACTTAATCAGTTTATTTACTTTATTGCGTTGTAGGCTGTTCATCTTGCAAAACACCACTCACTTGTAATAATAATAATAAATAAATATGTCCAACACTCACACCAATTAGCCTAGCCCCAAAGTAAGCACTGTAAGGCTTGTGTTATGGGATGCTAGGGTAACGGATAGAATACATATACTGTACATATATAAGTATATTTATATAGAAATACATATTAAACATCCATGACTGGAGTACAAATGCTCGTATTCATCACACAAACATCTGCCCCCACCGGGATTCGAACCTGGGACCTCTCGAGTCGGCGACACCATGAAGCGTACAAACCACTCGACCACGGAGGTCGTCGATGTGTAAACTGTACTCGAGCAAAGTGCGAACGATTTTTGGACAGAAGCGAGTATTTTAGCTACTAAATTACTCGCTTCTGGACTAAAATACTAGCATAATGCGAACTAGGCTTAAGAGTCTGACAAAACCATACTATACAGCCTACACTAAATTAAAAATAAAAATTTCAAGTTGCCGCGAAAATGTTTCTATGGACATTATGGCGTCTCACTAGTATGTGACGTCACACGACTGTCATTAAGAGGTCAAACTATACAATGTAATGTCACTTTGGCCGGAACTAAGAAAGCGTGTGACGTTATTTTAGTCCTGGCCAATCCTAGGCGTTTTCGGTCACCTGACCATGGAGCAAAAAAACAAATTTCTATTTAATGATTTTATAGAAAAGTTATTAATTATTTGTTCTTTCAGAATGGTAAAATCGCTGTTAATATCCATATTAAATACAGATGCCATCAATTGCTACATTATTTTTCATGATGTGAACTAGCCTATTAACTACAATCGAAACCCAATATAACGACACCGTTTATAACGACTCGTCGGTTATTACGACCAATTGGCAAGGCCCCGAGCCGAAACCCTATATAAATCCTTAAGTAAACAAACCGCCTTTAATAACACCGGATATAGCGAAATACCGCTTAAAACGGCTTATAGTCAATGAATATCGATAAAATGAATATCGATATTCATCGGTTATAACGACCAACCGTTTTACTAGTTCCAGCAAAACAAAATACCTATAAGCATGTAACTGCTTGATGTTTAAATCTAAAGAAAATATAACTAGAAAAAATGCCACGTCCGTCCGTCTGCTGCCTGGTCCGCGTGGATTTTTTCTAGTTTCTTTAGATTTATATTGTATGCACCTAATTTATTTTTATGGAAATCTATTTTCTTCTCTTTTCGATATTTTATTTGAAAACAAGCTTATATTCATTATCTATAACCATACTAAATACATACATATGACAAAATTATGACTACTTGTGTATATTGCTTATAACAACTATCGGACATAATGTCCGAAGTTATATGGTCCCTTCAGGGTCGTTATATCCGGTTTCGACTTTTCCATTTCATTTGCGCCTACCTTCATTGATGATCGACCTCGCGGGCCCGTCGTCTACACGCAGTGTGAAGTTCTTCTTGACCGCTAGAAGTTCCGCCTTGTGGTATTTGCCGTCCGAAACCATTTCGAAACTGGAAGAATACCACACTTTAGCTATATGAAGTTTAGTTGAATCGAGATTTAGCAAAATTGCTGCAAGCTGGCCTTAGTATAAAATATGTTAGATTTTTCTATGTAAAACTAGTGGCTCGCCCTCGGTTCGCTTCGGTGTAGAGCTGTAGTATAGACTATAGTTTTTGTTCTCAGACTTGTATTATAAACAATGACTTTATTTATATAATTGTGAGTCAACCATAAAAGATAGACATATGCTGTTGCGGGATATTTTTTAGACAATTTTATGTAGAATATTTCCGTCATACATGATTTCTATGTAACTTTAACCATTAAGGCTGCACACGCGACGGAAGCTTAAAAAATGGAGTAACTTCTCCCGTTTTCCCAACATTTCCCTTCACTACTCTGCTGCTATTGATTGTAGCGTGATGAAAATAAACTATAACCTGCCCAGGAGTATAAAGAATAATTGTACCAAATTGTAACAAATCCGCCGAATAGTTTTTGAACATACATACAGACAGACAGACAGACAAAAATTTTACTGATTGCATTTTTGGCATCAGTATCGTTCACTAATCACCCCCTGATAGTTATTTTGAACATATATTTCATGTACAGAATTGATCTCTCTACAGATTTATTATAAGTATAGATCAGTCATCAGTCAGCAGAAAAAGGTAGTGTCACTGTAGTGTGCCTTCTGGAAGTTGGAGGTAACTTTCTCTGATATGCGCTGAAATAGTCGTAAACTTATGACTTAACGATACTCATCGTCAGTCTATTAAGAGCGGACGCGAGCTGAGAGACATTTAAGGAATAGGTATTTGAAAAAAAAAACTATGGCTGTCCCGCATTGGTAAATGCCGTGCGATAGGGACAACAGTAAGTAACGCTGGAAATTGCGAATAAAAATTGCAAAATTCAGGGTTTGGCTCTCGACAATTTCCTCTTCGAAAATTGAATAAATGTAAAATAAATTTTACCCATAATATTATTAGTAGTTATACCAGGCCTATAATGTTTTGCTTTTTTTTGTAAATGCTAATTGAATCTAAACACGAATTCTTTTGTGGTTATATAAAAAACGAGTGTCCTTATGACTACACGACTGATGTGAAACTTCTTTAGCTCCATCTGTATATATATATATGTTACCGGACAAACCCGATTTCAGGACAAACTAGTTTTGCCTAGTCTAAACTAGTTCTTCCTATACGCGATAGGATTAACTAGTATAGCCTAGTCCAAATTAATTTGTCCTAAGCCCGATAGGGATAAACCTCTTTCTGTGTTCTGTGGATAAACCAGTTTAACCTAGGCCAAACTAGTTGATCCTGATATAAATAGGCATACTCTAGGATACACTAGTATGGCCTAGTCTAAACATTATAGTATATCTAGAAAGTCAAAATAAATAGATAAACTGAATAAAATACTCCGTAATTGGAAAAATAATAAGTTTTTATTAAAACGATAATGATTCGTCGTTAAAAGTTATGGATAATTACTAATACAAACAATCATACTAAAACAAATAATATGTGTTTTTATTAATACAAGCAATAATCATATCTCAATTATTAAATTGTTATTTATTTTTACATGGTGTGCTTTGTGCTTTGGTGGCACTTAGAATTGCAGAGTATCATTGCCATCATTGGCATCTGTTTGTGGAACAGTTTTTGTTGCAGCTGCATCTCACAATCTAACAACCTCCACTCAATTCGGGTGTCCGAATTCGAGTAATGTTATAGTGGCAATATTCTTCTAGCTGCGAAGAAGACATCATAGAACTGTATGATCGCCAGTGACGTAATTGACATATTGGAGGCCCTGGGCACATTAGGATAATGGGGCCCCTATGAGCCCATTTGGTGATCTAACAGGGACTAGGGACTTTGGATTTGATCTGAGGGGGGCCTCTACGATCGCGGGGCCCTGGGCACTAGCCCAAAGTGCCCATTGGGAAAGACGGGTCTGATGATCGCTCTCTCGAACCAAAACCGCGAATATTCTGGAAACAGAGTTAACCAAAACTCGCGACGTGAATGACCTCGATGAAGGCCGAGTGGTGCAGTTCATTTTAATATGAGCCTTATACAATGCGGCGTAAGGGTGAAAGTGCAGCGACATCTGCACTTGTTAACAACTCAAGCGCGTTACCTACGTATAACTAGGTACTACGTATTCTTCAGTGCTTAATTGAACTGGACTGTTCTGGAATGTAACGATTGGCGTATAAAAGTCTTAGATTAAAACAAAAAGGGAAGATAAGGTACGCTCATACGAGCATCGAATAAAATATGATCCGACTCACCTACATAAGCAACTCTCACACACGCACATGTCTGTATATAAACATTCAATCGAGCGAGCGAGACGGAACTGTACGCTTCAACGCAGCGCCAGCGAAACGGCGAGTCCGCTACGGAGTCCGCATGGCTAAGCTGTATTTTTGCCTTTTCTTGATAACAAAATGGCAATTACGTAAATAATATTTTTGAGAAAATAATGTTTTATACAGTGTGTTACGAATGAAAAGTGTTGCTGAGTCATTTGTGATAAATCACATATATATTATTACCACAAAAATATTCATTGCTGACAAAAAAACTAAAGGACATTGTTTAGCGTCCATACATAGTTAACCTAAGAACCAACAATCATGAAATATTATTTTCTAGGTTCGAAATCCTAAGTAAATTACTGTAAAAACAAAGATTATTGACGGACACTTCTGAGAACTTAAATTATTAGAAAAACTAAATGTTTTTTGAGGTTATGTTTAGTATTCAATGAAACATAGGTCAACCTATGAACTTAGTATGAAGTGAATTAATATTACAACTAATTCATTTTATTCGGTGTGATTTTAAATAATAACTATTAGGAAAACCTTGGATAGGTAGGAATCATGAATAAAATAAAAACTGTAGTTTTGCTTCTTATTTATTGACTATTTTTAACAATATTGTATATGGTATTTATTTGTATATCACATGTATATTGTGTAAATATGCAGCGTGAATGTGTATCAGGTGTTCTTGAATAATTTGGCAGTATGATCCTCTCAGGATGTTGTGGCACAGGTTCACTAGCACTTGGTAATAAGGTCTCTGCTCTTTGGTAACATCCTAACATCGATGGCATATTAGATAGTCGAAATAGTTAAATTAAAGGAAAAACAATCGCAAATAAACACACACAACAGGTAATCCGAAACGAGAATACACTTTCCTGTATATTATACTACTCTTTGGAATGCACGAATGCCACAGATGCAAAACTGCCTGCTTGCACAACAACCACAGAGTATCGAGTTTTATGCCGGCCCTTCACTTGACAACAGTTTGTCCTTGTCATGCTTAATAAGGAATGAAAAGAACAGACTGATGTCATGTTTTCAAAATAGCAAATACGAATAGCCAAGTAAAGTGCCGGCATAAGGAAGACAGAGTGTTTTGTTTGCAGCGCTGTCATAGACTATACACATAAAATGATATTTATTGACTCAGATTATTTTTTAACTTTTTAATTTAGCTTACTTAACTGGAAGTGTCCGTCACAATCTAAATACTGATAATTATCCCAAAAAATGTATTTAGAATTATCATAAATGCCAAATTGGTGTTGGTTCTTAGGCCAATTTTAACATTGTCCTTTATAATATAAATTAAATCATTAAGTTTTTAAAATACTATATTATTCATAGAAACAAAATAGATTAAAACTACTAAATAAACTATATACTTATACCAAACTAAAAATAAAACTAGGTATATTATGTAAAAAATTGACCCCAAATCGCTGCGCTCGGAGGGTAGGGTGCCCAAGAGGCTGGTGGCATTTCCCCGTTGAATTCAATTCCCGTCATTTGTTATTTGATTTTGAATTATTTGTGTTCTTTATGAAAGCATCGAAGGCATTTATTTTATTTTTATAACACAGAATATTGTGTATTGTTACATACGTAATATTGTTATATTGAGTTCACATGCGCGTGTTTGAATGTCCAATTGACTAAAGCGAATTGTGGTCATGCACCACAATTTAAGCGGATCACTTTTGAGCCGTGAGTGCCGTATCTTCCCTTTTTGTTTTAATCTAAGATATAAACGCGTGTGGCGTCGCGCAGTAAACAGTTTTACCTTCAAAGCGATAACAGTTGAGTTTCTACAGCGATTTCGGAACGAATACAAAGGCGATCAAAGTGCATGTGAAGTGTTCAAGTACTATTGTTTAAAGAGTTCTATAGTGTACAGTGAGTGTAGTATTGTTTGTTTAAGAAATAACTGTAGCCCTAGCACGAACCAATATCGAATTCGTATCGTTTGCGAGTACGAAATGTCATTGTCAAATGTATATTGATTTTTAGTTCTTGTTATGTACGTAAGGAATGCCGCTAATGTTCAAGTTTTCATACAAAATTTAAGTTTGACTCGCAAACTATTCGAATTCGATAATGGTTCGTGCTAAGGGTACAGTGTGGTGAATGAAGAACTATCAAGCGTGAACTGGCATAAAATTTCGAACCCCATACCGACGCGTAACAGAACATTAGAGGATTTGGGGCGGTCGCTTTATTTTTATACTATTTTAATATATATTTTTTTTTCTATATAGGTCCGACAAATGCCTCCACATCTGATGTTAAGTGGTGGTGAAGTCCAGACGTGAAGATAGCTGGTAAAGCAGTTCTACCTGCCACCCCAGCCATCCTTACCTTGCCGGCCTGCATGTTGCTTCTTTACGCCTCTTTTAAAGGATCCCAGGTTGTAAGAGGGAGGGAACACGTGAGCGGGCAGAGCATTCCATTTACGGATAGTGCGACAAAGAAATGAGTCACCTAATTTCTTTGTACGCGTTGGAATTGTGGCCACAATTAGGCGGTGACAACGTAGGCCAGCGCGCGTGGTCCTCTAAAGGAAAGGGGAAGGTGGAATAAGAGAGAGTTTTAAATGGTTTAGTAACCTATATAAATATATCAAACAGGCAAACAAGAGACTTGCCCGCACCCTTACCAGACTTAATAGGGACAAACTCCGCATAATCATGGGAACCCTGACTGGTCATTGTTCCCTGAACAAGCACCTATACACATTAGGAGTAACAGACAGCCCCCTATGCAGAGGATGTATGGAGGCAGAGGAAACGCCACAACATGTCATTATGGAATGCAGGAGTGTGGCCGACCAACGGGCACGACTTCTCCAGTCACCCGCATCGCTTCCGGAAGCTTGCAGCAGTCTGTCAAGACTGCTTTCCTTCTGGACTAACCTAGGCTGGCTGGAGTAAACGGGAATGTTTGAAGACACGCACAATGGTCCAATGATTAGGACTAAGTGCGGAAACCGCCCTGAAAAACTAAACTAAACTAAACTATATAAATATATATACCTGTACATAGTAGAAGTGGGATGGTTCCCGACGTCGTAGCTGATGCGTATACGTCCGTTGAAGAGTTCCACGGCGAGGTGCTCGTGATCGCCGAAGTACATCAATACCCCGTGGTGCTGGGTGGTGCTGAATACTGCACACAAACGATAGTGCTTGATTGGCGACTCGTTTATATTTTTACTAGCTGACCCAGCGAATTTCGTACCTCCATAAAAAAATAAGGGTTGGTGGTAGAAGAGTGAAAATTTAGGGTTGTATGTATTTTTGTTTAATGTATCATAAAAAAAAATATCTAAAATTGAAAAAAAAAAAATTAGGGGTGGATTGCCCTTAACATGTAGGGGGATGAAAAATAGATGTTGTCCGATTATCAGTCCTACCCAATATGCACACAAAATTTCATGAGAATCGGGAAAGCCGTTTCGGAGGAGTTTAACCACAAACACCGCGACACGAGAATTTTATATATTAGATTTATTTAATAGGTGTACTTACAGCTAAACATATAAAAACCGTAAAAAAAACTTATTCTCAGACATATATGCAAGCCTTTATAAGCACACACAACATTCAATTGAGTAAAGTACAATGTAATTAATAATCAATAATCAATAAAATAGTACAATTAATAATCAATGTTTGATTTAAAATTAATAATGCCAAGTGAAATTGTTGCAAAAAATAATAATGTAATGTCAAATTGATACAAAAAATAATAATAATGCGGAATTAATGAGAATCGAGCAGCTCAAACAATGTTGCTTTAAAGATTTTCTGCGAAATGTAAAAATGTCCAAGTTGGGTGATTTTGTGATAATATCATTATAGGTATTGCAGATTCTGGCCAGAGGGTAATGAAGACCGAGGTTAGTTCTGTGTAAAGGCAAAATAAAAGACTCGTTGCATCAAAGCATCTCTTCATCATCATCAGCCTATTAATGTCCCCACTGCTGGGGCACAGGCCTTCCCTAGGGAAGGAATAGGGAGATTGAGCCATGACCCACCACGCGGGCCCAGTGCGGATTGGCGGGTGCTAACGACTGCAGATGCAGCCGAGACCAACGGCTTAACGTGCCTTCCGAAGCCATTGACATAATCATTAACTTTATAATAGAGGTTACACGTAAGCTTAGATCTGAGATTTAAATTTGGTTAGAGGAAGCTCATTGAAAAAACGTATGCCGCAGCAGTTGGACATTAATAGGCTGATGAAGACGTTGATAATGTTAAGAACCTTGTAAACATCAAATTTAATTGTTTCTCAAACAAACATCGGTTAAGGCAACGTTTGAAACGTTTGACAAAAAATTAGTACGTAATATGTGAAGTTTGTCAAACTTTGTCAAACATGATTGTCAAACAAGTTTATAGAACAAGTTTGTCAATGACAAATAAGTTTGTCAAACAAAGGAGATTGGTCAAATTGGCCTAAATGCAAATAAAATATTGACATATACAGTAATTCTTGGCGTAATTTATACTTTATTTTACAGTCATTAGATTTTAACGGCCACCTTTAAATAATATATTAATTTTAAAAAAGGACTTCTATTTTACCGGTTTGGAAAACATACGAATCATTTTTATTGGCTATGGGTGTAGTAACATTCACAAAGACTGATCGAGGTTGTTTATATAACATCAAAACAAATCTATTTTGTAAAGATTGATAAAATATATTTTTTTTTTATTACACGGGTGGTATTAATATCCACAACTTTATTATCATTTTTACTACATGCAAATGTGCTAAGACAATTAATATAGATGGTAGGCGACATCATAAAGTCTATTGCCGTACATTTTTTGCCAAACACCTAAATAAACACATTATAAGGTGTGATACACTAAAAATCTAAAATATGGTTATAATAAAAACATAACAAAAATAATGAAGCTGCTGAAGATATGGCTGTATAACCTACAGCTTAGCTTTCTTTGATTAACGAGAGTTTAAAAATTCTCTCTAATCTGTGGCTCATTCACAATCATCACACAGTTTCTGTTCGTGTTTTTAAAAACATGCACATATCTGTTATTTTACATGCTCTATATACCTGAATCTAATACATAATATCGGTAGGTACTTGGCTTGATTGCCCTATTTTCCTATATAAGTTATTTGGTTTTTATTATTCTAATACCTATGTGCCTATTTGCAAACATAACCTCAAAATCATTCAGTGTATATGGTTTATAGAAGTTCTCAGGAGTGGCCGTCGATAATATTCGTTTCTACGGTAATTTATATATAATTTCGAATGTAGGAAACAATTTTTCATGGTTATTGGTTTTTGGGCCAAACATGTATGGAAGCTGAGCAATCTCCTTTGATCGTTTAATACCTAGACCTTTTATGTTTTAAGTTGACGTACCTAGTGTAACGTTGGCCTGTGGCAGCGTGCGCAGTGGTTCAAGCTCCACCCACGAGTCGTTGTGGTTGAACGTGAGGGAAGTCAGGTACTCGCAGAAGCGGCCTGATAACATAAATATCCATATGAATACCTACAAACATAAAAATAAATTACACTTATGCCCAGGGCACGATCTAGAAATTTTGCCGCTCCGGGCGAAACTTGTTTTATTTAGTAACTAGCGGCCCGCCCTCGCTTCGCTTCGGTGTAGAGCTGAAGTGTAGCCTACAGTTTTTGTTCTCAGGCTTGTATTATACACAATGGCATTCATCTATGATTCTTCTTATAGCATGCAAAGTTTCAGTCCGATCGATTTAAAATTGACAAAATTTCATACAAACTTTCATTCCCTATTTTATCCCCTTGGGGGTAGAATTGATCAAAATCCTTCCTTAGCGAATGTCTACGTCATAACATCTACCTGCATTTCAAATTTCAGCCCGATCCGTCCAGTGGTTTGGGCTGTGCGTTGATAGATCACTATGTCAGTCAGTCAGTCAGTCACCTTTGAGTTTTATATACAGGGTGGAAATTTTGAATGCCACCCCCAGGGGAAGTACTCTAAATACTGGAGATAGATAATTTTATTCAAAGGAAACATTCCTTTATTTTTAAAAAGAAACACAAATGTATTCACAGTTTTTCGAAAATTTGCTTGCCACACCCGGGAATCGAACTAGCGAAAATTAGAAAAAATTACACCTGTATTTTAATGGCATCGTCAATCATAGGGATCATATCTTACTAACAAACTTAGTACATTAAATGGAAGGAAAAGCGTGAAATCTTAACTTAACTGAATGGAACAAGACTAAAAGCAGTTTTATCCCACCAGATTACACGAGTTAGTATTTTTATTATAGATGTCATTTATTCATTCAAATAATGAATAAAGAATTTTTTGCACATGTCTAAAATGCAGACTAAATACTGTATATAGATAGATTGAATGTTAAACTTACCGGAGTACCCCGGCGCACACTTGCACAGGTAGTCGCCGGCGCCCGCGTGCCCCCCGCGCTCCATCATAATGTCGTCCTGCGGATCGACCACTGACAATCACTCATATTATAGTCATTGTCTGGACAGTCGACGTGAACGTGTTAAGCAACTTTTACATTAGCTGGCTGGGAATAGGCGACTGGAATTTAGCGTCATCGTCATCAGCCTATCAATGTCCCCACTGCTGAGGCACAGGCCTTCCCTATGGATGGAATAGGGAGATTGGGCCATGACCCACCACGCGGGCCCAGTGGCGATTGGTGGGTGCTAACGACTGCAGATGCAGCCGGGACCAACGGCTTAACGTGCCTTCCGAAGCACGGAGGAACTCGACATAGTAATTTTTAGTCACCCATCCAATGACCGACCACTGCGAAAGTTGCCTAAGTTCAACGATCGCAGCCGAACGCGCTAACCACTTGCGCCATCGAGCTCCTCGGAATTTAGCAATCACTCTTAATATAGTAATAGGGATGATGACAATTTTTTTTCTTCGTTTATCAGGTAGATTATCAAAAAGTATTGGACACGTATTTTTTCTTTTTTCACATAATATAAACATTGCAGAGATATATTGATTTGAAAAGTCGAATGACGTCACGTTTTGGGACAAATTTCACTTAAAAGTGACGTCACGAGCCCCTACTCCCAAACTTTGACGCGCTATAACTTTGTCATTTTTTGGTTGATTGCCCAAAGAAAAAATACGTGTCCATTATTTTTTGATCATCTAACTGACGGACTAAATAGAATTTCGTTTACTATACCCCGTCATCACTCCTATTGTCCCGACAATTGAAATGAAATGATACTTTATTCAATAATAAGATGTGAGGGAAGGGGGGAGGAGTGACAAGGGGAGTGAGCAGTGCCTAGGGGGAGTGAATAAGGGGGAGGGGGAACTAGTGACAAGGGGTGTGGGGGGAGGAGTGACAAGGGAGGGGGGAGGAGTGACAAGGGAGGGTGGAGAGTGACTAGGGGGAGGGAGGGTTCAGGAGTTACAAGGGTATGTGACTAAGAGGGGGCTGAGGAGTGACTGGGGATCACGCATATGTGTGGCGCAGTCAGCGCGGCGGGCAGATGCCACATGTTGTGCAGACAGTCGTGGTGCGCGTGAGCTACCTAACTAGGTAGTTACTAAAAAGTTTTCAGAGCGAATATCTCTAGAACTACTAGTCCAATTTGGAACTTTTTTCTGTTTGTCCATTTATCTAGAAAAGTTAGTGACAGACATGCATATAGGGTGGATGAAGGAATAGCAAGGGATGGGGGGAGGGAGGATTGACAAAGAACGAGGGAGAGAGGACTGAAAAAGGGGGTGTACTAAGAAGGGGGGGTGAACAGTGATTTATGGACGGCAGGTAGGATTGACTAAGGAGAAAGAGGGAGTGACAAGGGGGAGCGGGTAATACAAGGGGAGCGGGAAAAACAAGGGGAGGGGGAGTGACAAGGGGAGGTGAAGAGTGACTACCCGTAGTCTCTCTTCACCCCTCTAGTAGAGGGAAGCAAGGAAGAAGTGATTAGGAGGGAGGGCGAAGGGTGACTAAAGGGAGGGCGGGGAGGAATGAGTAGGAAGGGGGGCCATCCCCCCAGGGGGGGAGTGAAGAGGGACCGGGGGTCATACATACGTGCAGCGCGGCCAGCGCGGCGGGCAGCCGACGCGGGAGGGGGGACCGGGGGGAGGGACCGGGGGAGGGACCGGGGGTCATACATACGTGCAGCGCGGCCAGCGCGGCGGGCAGGTGGCAGACGCCGTGCAGGCAGTCGTGGTGCGCGCAGGGGGAGGTGCCCAGAGCGGCGTGCGGCGCCGCCTCGCAGTACCGCCCCGCGTACCCGACGCGGGAGGGGGGACCGGGGGGAGGGACCGGGGGAGGGACCGGGGGTCATACATACGTGCAGCGCGGCCAGCGCGGCGGGCAGGTGGCACACGCCGTGCAGGCAGTCGTGGTGCGCGCAGGGGGAGGTGCCCAGAGCGGCGTGCGGCGCCGCCTCGCAGTACCGCCCCGCGTACCCGACGCGGGAGGGGGGACCGGGGGGAGGGACCGGGGGAGGGACCGGGGGTCATACATACGTGCAGCGCGGCCAGCGCGGCGGGCAGGTGGCACACGCCGTGCAGGCAGTCGTGGTGCGCGCAGGGGGAGGTGCCCAGAGCGGCGTGCGGCGCCGCCTCGCAGTACCGCCCCGCGTACCCGACGCGGGAGGGGGGACCGGGGGGAGGGACCGGGGGAGGGACCGGGGGTCATACATACGTGCAGCGCGGCCAGCGCGGCGGGCAGGTGGCACACGCCGTGCAGGCAGTCGTGGTGCGCGCAGGGGGAGGTGCCCAGAGCGGCGTGCGGCGCCGCCTCGCAGTACCGCCCCGCGTACCCGACGCGGGAGGGGGGACCGGGGGGAGGGACCGGGGGAGGGACCGGGGTCATACATACGTGCAGCGCGGCCAGCGCGGCGGGCAGGTGGCACACGCCGTGCAGGCAGTCGTGGTGCGCGCAGGGGGAGGTGCCCAGAGCGGCGTGCGGCGCCGCCTCGCAGTACCGCCCCGCGTACCCGACGCGGGAGGGGGGACCGGGGGGAGGGACCGGGGGAGGGACCGGGGGTCATACATACGTGCAGCGCGGCCAGCGCGGCGGGCAGGTGGCACACGCCGTGCAGGCAGTCGTGGTGCGCGCAGGGGGAGGTGCCCAGAGCGGCGTGCGGCGCCGCCTCGCAGTACCGCCCCGCGTACCCGACGCGGGAGGGGGGACCGGGGGGAGGGACCGGGGGAGGGACCGGGGTCATACATACGTGCAGCGCGGCCAGCGCGGCGGGCAGGTGGCACACGCCGTGCAGGCAGTCGTGGTGCGCGCAGGGGGAGGTGCCCAGAGCGGCGTGCGGCGCCGCCTCGCAGTACCGCCCCGCGTACCCGACGCGGGAGGGGGGACCGGGGGGAGGGACCGGGGGAGGGACCGGGGTCATACATACGTGCAGCGCGGCCAGCGCGGCGGGCAGGTGGCACACGCCGTGCAGGCAGTCGTGGTGCGCGCAGGGGGAGGTGCCCAGAGCGGCGTGCGGCGCCGCCTCGCAGTACCGCCCCGCGTACCCGACGCGGGAGGGGGGACCGGGGGGAGGGACCGGGGGAGGGACCGGGGTCATACATACGTGCAGCGCGGCCAGCGCGGCGGGCAGGTGGCACACGCCGTGCAGGCAGTCGTGGTGCGCGCAGGGGGAGGTGCCCAGAGCGGCGTGCGGCGCCGCCTCGCAGTACCGCCCCGCGTACCCGACGCGGGAGGGGGGACCGGGGGGAGGGACCGGGGGAGGGACCGGGGTCATACATACGTGCAGCGCGGCCAGCGCGGCGGGCAGGTGGCACACGCCGTGCAGGCAGTCGTGGTGCGCGCAGGGGGAGGTGCCCAGAGCGGCGTGCGGCGCCGCCTCGCAGTACCGCCCCGCGTACCCGACGCGGGAGGGGGGACCGGGGGGAGGGACCGGGGGAGGGACCGGGGTCATACATACGTGCAGCGCGGCCAGCGCGGCGGGCAGGTGGCACACGCCGTGCAGGCAGTCGTGGTGCGCGCAGGGGGAGGTGCCCAGAGCGGCGTGCGGCGCCGCCTCGCAGTACCGCCCCGCGTACCCGACGCGGGAGGGGGGACCGGGGGGAGGGACCGGGGGAGGGACCGGGGTCATACATACGTGCAGCGCGGCCAGCGCGGCGGGCAGGTGGCACACGCCGTGCAGGCAGTCGTGGTGCGCGCAGGGGGAGGTGCCCAGAGCGGCGTGCGGCGCCGCCTCGCAGTACCGCCCCGCGTACCCGACGCGGGAGGGGGGACCGGGGGGAGGGACCGGGGGAGGGACCGGGGGTCATACATACGTGCAGCGCGGCCAGCGCGGCGGGCAGGTGGCACACGCCGTGCAGGCAGTCGTGGTGCGCGCAGGGGGAGGTGCCCAGAGCGGCGTGCGGCGCCGCCTCGCAGTACCGCCCCGCGTACCCGACGCGGGAGGGGGGACCGGGGGGAGGGACCGGGGGAGGGACCGGGGGTCATACATACGTGCAGCGCGGCCAGCGCGGCGGGCAGGTGGCACACGCCGTGCAGGCAGTCGTGGTGCGCGCAGGGGGAGGTGCCCAGAGCGGCGTGCGGCGCCGCCTCGCAGTACCGCCCCGCGTACCCGACGCGGGAGGGGGGACCGGGGGGAGGGACCGGGGGAGGGACCGGGGGTCATACATACGTGCAGCGCGGCCAGCGCGGCGGGCAGGTGGCACACGCCGTGCAGGCAGTCGTGGTGCGCGCAGGGGGAGGTGCCCAGAGCGGCGTGCGGCGCCGCCTCGCAGTACCGCCCCGCGTACCCGACGCGGGAGGGGGGACCCGGGGGGAGGGACCGGGGGAGGGACCGGGGTCATACATACGTGCAGCGCGGCCAGCGCGGCGGGCAGGTGGCACACGCCGTGCAGGCAGTCGTGGTGCGCGCAGGGGGAGGTGCCCAGAGCGGCGTGCGGCGCCGCCTCGCAGTACCGCCCCGCGTACCCGACGCGGGAGGGGGGACCGGGGGGAGGGACCGGGGGAGGGACCGGGGTCATACATACGTGCAGCGCGGCCAGCGCGGCGGGCAGGTGGCACACGCCGTGCAGGCAGTCGTGGTGCGCGCAGGGGGAGGTGCCCAGAGCGGCGTGCGGCGCCGCCTCGCAGTACCGCCCCGCGTACCCGACGCGGGAGGGGGGACCGGGGGGAGGGACCGGGGGAGGGACCGGGGTCATACATACGTGCAGCGCGGCCAGCGCGGCGGGCAGGTGGCACACGCCGTGCAGGCAGTCGTGGTGCGCGCAGGGGGAGGTGCCCAGAGCGGCGTGCGGCGCCGCCTCGCAGTACCGCCCCGCGTACCCGACGCGGGAGGGGGGACCCGGGGGGAGGGACCGGGGGAGGGACCGGGGTCATACATACGTGCAGCGCGGCCAGCGCGGCGGGCAGGTGGCACACGCCGTGCAGGCAGTCGTGGTGCGCGCAGGGGGAGGTGCCCAGAGCGGCGTGCGGCGCCGCCTCGCAGTACCGCCCCGCGTACCCGACGCGGGAGGGGGGACCCGGGGGGAGGGACCGGGGGAGGGACCGGGGTCATACATACGTGCAGCGCGGCCAGCGCGGCGGGCAGGTGGCACACGCCGTGCAGGCAGTCGTGGTGCGCGCAGGGGGAGGTGCCCAGAGCGGCGTGCGGCGCCGCCTCGCAGTACCGCCCCGCGTACCCGACGCGGGAGGGGGGACCGGGGGGAGGGACCGGGGGAGGGACCGGGGTCATACATACGTGCAGCGCGGCCAGCGCGGCGGGCAGGTGGCACACGCCGTGCAGGCAGTCGTGGTGCGCGCAGGGGGAGGTGCCCAGAGCGGCGTGCGGCGCCGCCTCGCAGTACCGCCCCGCGTACCCGACGCGGGAGGGGGGACCGGGGGGAGGGACCGGGGGAGGGACCGGGGTCATACATACGTGCAGCGCGGCCAGCGCGGCGGGCAGGTGGCACACGCCGTGCAGGCAGTCGTGGTGCGCGCAGGGGGAGGTGCCCAGAGCGGCGTGCGGCGCCGCCTCGCAGTACCGCCCCGCGTACCCGACGCGGGAGGGGGGACCCCGGGGGGAGGGACCGGGGGAGGGACCGGGGTCATACATACGTGCAGCGCGGCCAGCGCGGCGGGCAGGTGGCACACGCCGTGCAGGCAGTCGTGGTGCGCGCAGGGGGAGGTGCCCAGAGCGGCGTGCGGCGCCGCCTCGCAGTACCGCCCCGCGTACCCGACGCGGGAGGGGGGACCGGGGGGAGGGACCGGGGGAGGGACCGGGGTCATACATACGTGCAGCGCGGCCAGCGCGGCGGGCAGGTGGCACACGCCGTGCAGGCAGTCGTGGTGCGCGCAGGGGGAGGTGCCCAGAGCGGCGTGCGGCGCCGCCTCGCAGTACCGCCCCGCGTACCCGACGCGGGAGGGGGGACCGGGGGGAGGGACCGGGGGAGGGACCGGGGTCATACATACGTGCAGCGCGGCCAGCGCGGCGGGCAGGTGGCACACGCCGTGCAGGCAGTCGTGGTGCGCGCAGGGGGAGGTGCCCAGAGCGGCGTGCGGCGCCGCCTCGCAGTACCGCCCCGCGTACCCGACGCGGGAGGGGGGACCGGGGGGAGGGACCGGGGGAGGGACCGGGGGTCATACATACGTGCAGCGCGGCCAGCGCGGCGGGCAGGTGGCACACGCCGTGCAGGCAGTCGTGGTGCGCGCAGGGGGAGGTGCCCAGAGCGGCGTGCGGCGCCGCCTCGCAGTACCGCCCCGCGTACCCGACGCGGGAGGGGGGACCGGGGGGGAGGGACCGGGGGAGGGACCGGGGTCATACATACGTGCAGCGCGGCCAGCGCGGCGGGCAGGTGGCACACGCCGTGCAGGCAGTCGTGGTGCGCGCAGGGGGAGGTGCCCAGAGCGGCGTGCGGCGCCGCCTCGCAGTACCGCCCCGCGTACCCGACGCGGGAGGGGGGACCGGGGGGAGGGACCGGGGGAGGGACCGGGGGTCATACATACGTGCAGCGCGGCCAGCGCGGCGGGCAGGTGGCACACGCCGTGCAGGCAGTCGTGGTGCGCGCAGGGGGAGGTGCCCAGAGCGGCGTGCGGCGCCGCCTCGCAGTACCGCCCCGCGTACCCGACGCGGGAGGGGGGGACCCGGGGGGAGGGACCGGGGGAGGGACCGGGGGTCATACATACGTGCAGCGCGGCCAGCGCGGCGGGCAGGTGGCACACGCCGTGCAGGCAGTCGTGGTGCGCGCAGGGGGAGGTGCCCAGAGCGGCGTGCGGCGCCGCCTCGCAGTACCGCCCCGCGTACCCCGCCGCGCATGCGCACTTGTACTCGTCCAAGCCGTCCACGCAGCTCGCGCCGTTCTGCATGAGGGAGGGACAGTGACGTATTATATCTAAGATTAAAACAAAAAGGGAAGATACGGCACTCGCGGCTCAAAAGTGTACCGCTTAAATTGTGGCGCATGACCGCAATTCGCTTTAGTCACAATTGGACATTCAAATATGCTGCATGTGCATTGAATATAACAATTTTGCATGTTTTGTGTTATAAAGTTAAAATAATGCCTTCGATGCTTTTATAAAGAACACAAATAGTTCAAAATCAAATAACAAATGACACAGCAACACTTTTCATTCGTAAAACTGTAAAATCTTTTTTTTTTAAACACAGTTTTTCGCGCAATTTATTTACGTAATCACCATTTTGTTATCAAGAAAAGGACAACAATACAGCTCAGCCGTGCGGACTCCGTAGCGGACTCGCTGTTTCGCTCGCGCTGCGTTGAAGCGTACAGTTCTGTCTCGCTCGCTCGATTGAATGTTTATTTACAAAAGTGTGCGTGTATGAGAGTTGCTTATGTAGTTAAATCGGAGCATATTTTATGGACATTCGATCTGCTTAAGACATAAAGATTATATTGCTTATATATCAAGGTCTAAGGGAAAAAACAAGCCAAGTCACATATTTTTTTTCAGTACAAGCAATAAAAGTTACGACAGCATTTTATGAGTGACTCAGAAAACCTGCTCATATACAAGCGGTGGATTTTAAAAGTAAATTTAATAGTATACTACAAGTACATGTAATAATTTTCTGAATAAAAATTGCACAATAACAAAAACTAACTGATATTTCATTAAAACACCCTTACAGTCTAATAATAAGACCCAACGAGCCAGTAACGTAGCGTGCCTTGACGGGGCCCCGTATAAAAAAATGTTTGGGGGCCCTTAGGAAGGGTAAAGATTTCTCACAAAAGAAAAAAATACGCTTGCATAAAATGAAAAGAAATATTTATACATCATCATTATCTATCTGTCACATTTTCCAATATTCTTTCAAACTATTCAAATTAAATATACATTCTCCTTGCCTTTTTTCAAACTATTCAAATTAAATATACACTCTACTTGCCTTTTTTAAAACTATTCAAATTAAATATACACTTGCCTTGCCTTTTTTCGCCAAACTGATTTATTAAATCATTTAAAGCTGATGATGACTTTAGTTTTTCTAAAGTTTCTGCCTCAACGGTCAATTGTGACTCCGTGGTTTATCATCGTATCGCATGTACATACATCGATTATTGTGGGATTCCCCCGTTCAAGTAAATAACTTAAACGGGGAAATCCCGCAGTCCGCGATAACTGATGTAGGGTGTTACCAACGCACGCTTTACGTAGGGAAATTTACGTGGGGAAAAAAGATTTTTTATTTTTTTACTTTTAGCATTTCAAAAAAAGAATTTGGGAAGTTTTTATTAATTTTTGCATACGCCCGTTGGGGGCCCCCGTGGCTAAGGGCCCCCGTATAATTGATACGGCAAGTACGGTGGTAACTACGCCACTGCAACGAGCTTTAACCTATTTTTGTGATAGCCATAAGATGAAAAGAGTATTTTTGTGGCCATAGATTCCAAAAAATTTAAGAGAAAATGGACTAAGCCTGTTTTTCCCTTTAGCCTTTCATATGCTGTCATATAGAGTTATAGTTTGAGTCCCGGGAAACGTCATATGATAGTTTTTATCCCAGAAATCATCCTTTAAAGGGATGAAAAAGGGACTGGAAAAGAAAACAAATTTTCCACATACGGTGTTGGAAGGCCAAAGGGGAAGATCTTCCTCCGAGCTGGATGATGGTAGCTGGGGGCCGCGGCCTGACTGTTTTTTTTTTTGAGTGTGTATGCTGTTGATCGCAGCTGATCTTTACAGCGTCACCGGGTTTGGGGACGGCGAGATCCTAAGGGGACCTCAAGCCAAGAATAGGCAAGTGCCTCCAGAGGTATTTCAGGCGGATGGCATCTTCCCACCTGGAGTCTCCTCTCCGTCTGGGGCCCACGAGCACCTGAGGGGGTCGGCTCAACTGGAGGGCGTCTCTAAGACTCGGACCTCGGCTCTAGTAAGCCCGACAGGCACGACAACCGTGGGGGAAAGACTGATGTTGGTTGGGCATTGCATATATTGTTTGTCTCCGAATTTCCCTTGCGCGGTGTAGGCCATACTTATTGATCGCTGCACCGGTAGCGCCATCTCTTGAGGTGGCAAGTGATTATTTCCTCCATGTCGGTTATGTGTGGGGCGTGTTGATGTTGCTGCCACAACGGCACCTATAGTATATACATATATATGTCGGATGGGCGAGCGGGATAGGCAGTTGTCCACGAGGTTCGTCTTGATCCGCCATCTTGGGTATTCAATGTTATTTCCCGAAAATAAAACTGTATTCTACTGACCAAGCTTACGTTTAATTGGAAGCTTCTTATTACTTTACAAAATCAGTTATGATTGCCAAGGTACAAACGGATTGCTTTGCGAAGCGCGGAGAGTTCTCTGCTAACGTCCGTTCACTATCGCGGCTCACGTCTGAATGCCGAATGCCCCTTCCAATGAAGCATACCCCCTTAAATACTACCCTTAGCATAGACCACTCCCAAGTGATGACAGCTGTCACTGTCATTACTTGACGTTTCACAAAGCAATGGTACACTGACTGATGACATTTTTGTCGGTTTAACGTTTCGAAGGAGCGAGTGAGACGACATCCGCCGACATATATATACAGGATGTGACAAAAGTCCGAAATAAAACTTTAGGGTTTGGTTGTGTTCCTTATATAGAATTACCTACGAAAGTTTGACGCCTTTCAGACCACTTTTATTTTCTAATTAAATTAATAAAAATAACGTTTTACACCTGCCTATGACAACCCTGTAAATGCGTACGATTACTACTACCTAAACAGACCCCCCTCTCTCCCCGAGGCGCCCCTGCGCCCCGCTCAGATACCTACAAATTTTTATTTCGGAATACATACCTACAAATTTTATTTCGGAATTCTGTAACACCCTGTATATAACATTACTTGGATGAAAATTTCCTCACCTGGCACATATGATTCACGCAGTCGTCGGCGTTGATGGTGCAATTGTGGCCGGAATAGCCCCTCGGACACGAACAAGTGTAGTGGGAAGTGTGGTCAGTGCATATACCGCCGTTAGCGCAGGGGTTAAACTCCGCCGTACAGAATGGTATCTTCTTCTCGCAAAATTCGCCTGTATGACAACGATACTACCAATAAATAATAGTTTTTTAAGTGAATCTTCATGAAAGTTGAAAACGCTACGAGCGTCACACGCGGCCAATATACAGGGTGTCCCACGGGTTTGTCACACGGTAGTGAAGTAGAAATCTACTTTTACATACATGTACTATATACATGTATGTATATATATATTTGACGACCTCCTTGGCCGAGTGGTTTGCACGCCGGGTTTCATGGTGTCGCCGACTCGAGAGGTCCCGGTTTCGAATCCCGGTGGGGGCAGATGTTTGTGTGATGAATACGAGCATTTGTACTCCAGTCATGGATGTTTAATATGTATTTCTATATATATGTACAGTATATGTATTCTATCCGTTACCCTAGTATCCCATAACACAAGCCTTATAGTGCTTAGCTTGGGGCTAGGCTAATAGGCTAGTTTACTCATGTCAAATTGTATTAAATAAATGTTTATTTCTTAAAGTATTTAGTCTAAGGAACCTTAATATATCGATTTCACTTCATAAAAGCAGAAGATTGCTGTAGAAATTTAATTTTAAAAAATATTTTTTAGTCTATATTTTTTAAACACTAAAAACGCTGTTCGCCACATCCGCCATGATTTTGACGTCTCTTCTGGTAAACAACTAAATGTCATTCGCGTGTTACTGTAGGTGGATTCTTTCGTCTGACTAAATTTATCATAAAACACTTTTAACTTTAGGAAAGAAAAAAACAGTAAACTTAGTTTTTTTTTGACAAAACTAATTATGGATGCCGGCTTTGTGAAAGCAGAAAGCACAAATCTGCCAAGAATTGACGCATTGATGGTTGGTGAATTTGTTGCACTAAACCCCGATTTCTGATCTGCGGAGCAGAGAAACGACAAGGCATCTATGTAAGTACAGTGCATTTAGTATTACAATGTAGTAATAAACATAAAACTGATACAACATATGAATAAGTGTAATAAAGTTGCGTAGGTTAATTTCTTTCGGCACTTTAATCGACAACTTTCCTGGAGTCTTCAAGGATGTGTTTTTATATTCTCGTACAATACAGTAATGATAATTACTTTATTTTTCGTGGTATTTATTAGAAATCATGTTTTTGTTTATTATAAACTCAGTTAAAAGTAATTTTCTACGTGTTTACGAGTTTTTGTTTACGACAGTTCACGTCATAGCATAGATAATCTATAGACTAAAATGGCCGACAGCGTTTTTGTATGTCCATGAAAAGTCTATTTTAAAATTAAAGATTTGTAGCTTTCTAGGTTTAAAAAAATACAATACATTTTTTTTCGGTCTAATAGAACATTAATTAACCATTTAAAACCTTTTTCCAAAAAAGGGTCAACTAGCCTATTGGTGTGAGTGTGGTAAATATTTATTTATTTATTATACAATGGTGTCAATTCTGGCGTGATTCTCTAAACTTAAAACTAAATTTAACATCAGTCTCTCCTTTTCATTCTGTATAGAGAATGACAAGGATATTTACTGTTGTTGTTTGTTGTTTATTTTTCTTAAATTTGTTGAATTGGAATGAATGAATGTTGTTATGATATGTATGACCTGCCAGCGTTTTGGATGTTTCTGTAAGCCGGCATGTGTTACTGAATAAATTAATAAATAAATATACTGCTTAACATATTAATTGTTTCTTAGGTTTTCACGCACATCACTCATTAAATAAAACTACTTTTTACGGGTTAATGCACGAAACCTTATTTATTTATTGACGTTTCGTAGCCTTTACAGGCTACGTCGTCAGAATCAAACTTTTATTTAATATGTCGAGCTACCTTCGAAAGACTTTTATTGAGCGTTCGGTTATTTCATTGTTCGATTTTTAAAGTTTTATTGTCTATGTATGAATTTATTATTAAAGTATTTTATTTAAAATTCCTTTTTGTAATTTTGAGTTTATTTATTTGACCCTTACTACCGTAAACTACTGTAAAGGCTACGAAACGTCAATAAATAAATAAAGTTTCGTGCATTAACCCGTAAAAACTAGTTTTAAATATACTGCTGTCAAATTTAAGTTTAGGTTTAGAGAATCATGCTAGAATCGACACCAATATACATATATATGAATGATGCGTGCCTTGCTCCATTCCCCTATGCCTTATGTTCCGCCTAATGTTAGGTAATTTATGAAGAGAAGTTTCACTTCAGATGTGTGCACTGTGTACACAATTTTTTTATCAGAAAAAAAAGGGACGGAATGTGACGTCCCTGAACCAAAATACCCTATTTGAACGGCAAAATTATACAACAAATATCGATTTTGAGGTAATCAAAAAGAAGTATAATATAGAATTGAGTTACACTTTTGAGGAGCTCAATGGCGAAAGTGATTAGCGGCTGCAATCGTTGAAGTTTAGCAACTTTCGCAGTGGTCGGTCATTGGATGCGTGACCAAAAATCTTCCATCACGAGCAAAAATTTACTATCTCGAGCTCCTCCATGCTTCGGAAGGCACGTTAAGCCGTCGGTACCGGCTGCATCTGCAGTCGTTAACACCCACCAATCCGCATTGGGCTCGCGTAGTGGGTCACGGCTCAATCTCCCTCTTAAAATAGTCTGAATACACGGCATTTTTTTTTACACAGATAACAGTATAAATATTTCATATGGCTGTTGACTTAATCAATGGCTAGATAGCTAGCCCGTTCTTTCCTCTAAAAATTGATATATAATAATAATAATAAATTTATTTATTTCTTCTTACAACTACTAAGGCACATAAAATACAGGTTAAGAAACACTTAAATAATATTATTAGGCGTTGTAAGAAGCTGGTGTCCGAAATAGGCGTTAACCTGTACTACGGATCACCAGGTCCTTACCCCTGGCAAATAATATCTCTATACATTATTCTTCATAACCATAATGGCCCTGTATTTCCTAATATTTATTCATGGTAAATACAAAAAAAAACAAGAATTAAAGGTTGAGAGATAAAAAACAAAACTTAATCGTTTATAAATGCATGGTAGTTAATTATTATTATTTTTTATAAGCAAAAATTTGGTCACATATCAGAATTTATTTTAGATGGCTAAGTAGATTTTCTGTGTCTGTATATATGAATGTATGTAGGATAGCAAAACGAATGAAGGCCGAATGTCGGTCGCGTACCACATAGGGTAAATGGCCGACAGTCGGCCCTTTGCCGCTCATCTTGGTAATAAAAATTGCTGACGGTAGTCCTTTTACCGATCAAGAGGATAGGGAAGGCCTGTGCCCCAGTGGGGACATTAATAGGCTGATGATGATGATGATTTGAAATATTTATTTATTTATCTTACCCATATACCCTGGGGCACATTTGCACGAGTATCCTTCCAGTCGATCGAGGCAGGTAGCGTTGTTCTGGCATCGATGATTCACGCAGTCGTCGATGTTCACCTCGCAACGGACACCGGTGTAACCAGCCTCGCATGAACAACTAGTAGGAGGAGATTAAATAAATAAATTGTCAGGGCATCATTGTACTCAGAATCAATACTAATATTATAAAGAAAGTGTCTGTCTGTCTGTTACCCCTTGACGCTTAAACCGCTGAACCGTTTACATGAAATTTAGTATAGACATTGAGTGCCGAGAAAGGATATAGGATATCAATAAGAATAGGATAACAATGAAAATAGGATAACAATGAGAATAGGATAACAATGCGAATAGGATAACAATGAGAATAGGATAACAATGCGAATAGGATAACAATGCGAATAGGATAACAATGCGAATAGGATAACAATGAGAATAGGATAACAATGAGAATAGGATAACAATGAGAATAGGATAGATTTTCCCCAGAAATCATCCAATAAGAGGAGTGAAAATGGGGGTAGAAATATATATGGGGAACCAATTAAACCACGTCGAGAATGTCGCGGGAACCCAGAAGATTTGGGCAGGTATAAACCAATTTTCATTAGTTTTTACATTATTCTTGACGTCGTTGTAGTTGGTGACTTTCCCTCTATTTTGTCCATAGGTAATAACTAAACGTCATAGAGCAATACGGCTGACAGGGCCAGGAAGGGAGTAGTCATACATAGCTTTCCCCTCTGTCGGATTGGGCATAAAAATTGGGCATAATCACGTTTTACTTGTACACGATATGGCGGTGTATTGTGTCATTGTTTATGTGTGAGTGTTGTAGCTACAGTTTTTTTTCATAGGCGTGTACGTTAAACAAAAGGGGGGGGTGTCATCGCGTCCGCAGGTAACACCTTTAACAGCCCTGTACGTGCCCCCTGGGTGGTGCTAAACGTTGACAACGCCGAGTATCGGGCGGCGGTAAATAACCCGACCCCCCTGTGAAAACAGGGTGGCTACAGTGGCCATGGGAGCTAAATAACCCCAAAAAGACTGGTGCGGAAAGGAAGGGGAATCTACCGCAACTACACTCCCAAGAAAACTATGAAGGACAAACACACAAAGAAGGATATGTCATGCCATCCGGCTGACGACCGGCGCCAGGCTGAGTCCGGGTCTCCTGGTGTGAAATTGGCTACCGGCTACGTTGCAGTGAGACAACAGGCTGCAGGTAGAAAATGGACTACTGTTGGTCAATCGACATCAGGACATATCCGTAGAAACCAGCTACTCAACATAGGCACGTGGAATGTTCGTACTTTGATTCAACCAGGGAAAGTGGAGATCCTAGAGCGAGAGATGGACAGATACGGTCTGGATGTGTTAGGTATCAGTGAAACTCACCTTAAGGACAGTGGACACACCCTAACTGCTAGCGGCAAACTGAGGATTAATTCTGGTAGCACTGACAACAGATTTAGCGGGGTAGGGTTTCTGGTCTCTAAGAAAATTAAAGACAAAATCTTAGGCTACGATGCGGTCAACGACAGGATAGTTAGATTAAAACTTGCGGCACATCCATATCCTCTCAATCTTATTCAGGTTTACGCGCCAACATCCAAATCTTCGGACGATGAAATTTGCAACTTTTACGCGGATCTATCAACTGTATATAATTCTATTCCCAGTAAGGAACCCACTGTTCTCATGGGTGACCTAAATGCAAAGGTTGGCGATACATCGATGGATGATCACCTAAGGGATGTTGTGGGCCGATACGGCATGGGGCAAAAGAACGAACGTGGGCAGCTATTACTGGATTTCTGCGCTGAGAACGGTTATACGATAATGAATACTTGGTTCCAACAACATGTCAGACGATTATATACTTGGACATCACCAGACGGTAACTACAAGAACCAGATTGATTATGTACTAATGGGTAAAAGGTGGAGATCTTCTGTCCAAAGCGTTAAAACACGACCTGGAGCTGACTGTGGTAGCGACCATCAACTGCTACATGCAAAGGTTAAAATTCGCCTGAAGTCGTTTAAGAATTTCCCTACCCAAAAGCCAATTAAGCTTGATCACACTGCCTTAGCGAAATTCCAGGAACTTGTAGAAAGCAGACCTCCTTGTTCTAAGAATAACCCTTTTATTTCGGCTAATGATGCATGGGGTGATTTTAAAAACACAGTCTTGGAGATAGCTAAAGAAGCAGTTTTAGCTTCCAGTCGTGATCGACCAAAAGCTGAATGGATGACTGATACGACTTGGGAAGCGGTGATGGAAAGAAGGTCAGTAAAAGAATCAGGCTTAACAAATGATGCCACACGTGAACAATACTTAATGCTCCATGCAAAGGTTCAAAAACTGTGCAGAAAGGATAAAGATGCGTTTTTAAACCGATTGTGCGACGAGATTGAGAAGGAATCTAACACATTGCACGCGGGTGACATGTTTCGCAAGATCAAGTTGCTTACAAAGGAATCCAAACCTCAATCTTGGACTATTGAAGATGCTGAAGGAGCCCCACTAATAGACAGACAAGCAATGCTTGAAAGATGGAGGAGCTACTGCCAAACGTTGTACAGCGACGATTCCAAAGATCAAGACGAGGTGGTCTATAACGATGCTGACAGGGAACCCAATATAATGTTGCGCGAAGTGGAAAATGCAATTGACAAGCTGAAACTGAAAGCGTGTGGTGGCGACGGAATCACCGCGCAAATGATCAAGCGCCTAGGTACAGATGGCATCAAAACATTACACACGATATGCCAAAAAGTGTGGGATACCGGACATTGGCCTGAGGATTGGACAGAATCTATAGTTATTCCGCTGCACAAGAAAGGATCCACCCGCAAATGTACAAATTACCGGACCATTTCACTGATTCCCCACGCCAGTAAAGTGTTGCTACATATCCTCAACAAACGGCTGGAACGTTATATCGGTAGGCAAATAGCAAGAGAACAGGCTGGATTCGTCAAGGGCAAGGGTACTCGCGAACAAATATTAAATATCAGACAGCTAATCGAAAAAAGCCGTGAATTCAACGTTCCAATGGTGTTATGCTTCATTGATTACGCAAAAGCCTTTGATTGTGTAAATTGGGCCAAAATGTTTGCGGTGATGGTGGAGATGGGTGTGCCTAGGCATCTGGTCTCCTTGGTGCAGAATTTATACCTTACTGGCAGGAGCAGGGTGAGAATGGATGGTTATGTCTCCGACTCCTTTAAGCCAGCTCGTGGTGTACGTCAGGGATGCATACTATCACCCCAGTTGTTCAACCTAGTTGGTGAGCACATAATGCGCAGAGTACTCGAGGACTGGAAGGGTGGTATTCGAATAGGGGGCCAACTTATCAATAACTTACGTTTCGCCGATGACACGACCATAATAGGAGCCGATGAACGAGAACTGGCTTTCCTACTGCGCAAGGTTCAAGACGTCAGCGTGGAATATGGCCTTTGTATAAACCGTGACAAAACCAAGCTTATGTTTGTCGATAGAGCTGACAAGTTGGTAAGAACATTTGAGCTGAGTGATTTAGACACAGTTACCAGTTTTGTATACCTGGGATCACTTATACGCAATGACGGGGACTGCGAGGCGGAGGTGGTCAGACGCGGACAGATGGCAAAGGCGGCCGTGAAGCGATTGGAGAGGATCTGGAAGAACAGAGGAATTACTAAATCCACTAAAGTGCGGCTGATGCGAGCCCTGGTCTTCTCGATTTTCTTGTACGCTTCCGAAACCTGGACGTTGAAAGCACGCGTCCGTTCCAGGATTGATGCATTTGAAATGTGGTGTTGGCGCAGAATGCTACACATACCTTGGACCGCACGAAGAACTAATGCATCTATCTTGAAGGAGCTGGGTATCAAGACGCGTCTCTCTTCTGTCTGCATGCAGCGCCTCCTAAAATACTTCGGTCACGTAGCAAGGAGAAGCCCGGATAATTTTGAAAAGCTTTTGGTCGTTGGAAACGTGGAAGGCAAGAGGAGTAGGGGCAGGTCTCCATCCCGGTGGTTGGACATAGTTAAAGAAACCACGAATGGCAACTTGCAGGCGTCCATCCGCCTTGCAGAACACAGAACGGTCTGGAGATCGTTGGTGAAATGTGCTGTCCTGAAAGGTCACGACCCTCAGCCATGAGGAAACGACGATGAAGAAGAAAGAAGAAGTACGTTAAACTGAATTTGTGTGCATACTTGCCCCCCTCTTAAAAATGCCAGAATGATTTGGATAGTATTATGTCGCTATGGCTACTCCCTCCCGTGTTGCTTTATGTTAAACATGTCAAAAGTCAAAAATTATTTATTCATATTGATTGTACAATACCTATCTTTAAATCGTCCATATTTTTCCCCTACCACCAGTTAAGGACCAAAAAACCATCGAAAAAAACTTCACGGTGTTAAATAATTATGTAACAATATTTGCTAAATATTTTATTGTTACGCTGTCAATACAAAATCATATAATCTATAACATAATACAGAAAATCCTGCCGGAACGTGTGGAACAGTTTAAAACCAAGTATTTTTGTCTGAAATATAATCAGACACCTTATAATACGCCACGAACTTAGCAGGCCGAACACTCGTGCTATCATAAAAGCCTTAACTGGTCACTACAAACTTAACAGACACCAATTTCATATGAAATTGAGTGACACTGATGTTTGCAGATACTGCATATAATAAAATAGGCCGTGTATTTAAGTAAATGATAACACACTGAAACATATCCAGTCGCCAGCATCGCTTTCGGAAGCTTGCAGCAGTCTACCAAGGTCGCTTTCCTTCTAGACTAACCTTGGCTGGCTGGAGTAAACGGGAATGTTTCGAGACTCGCGCACAATGGTCCAATAATTGAGCCTCTTCAATTACGCCATGACGTGGCGTCACTAAGCGCGTTCTATCGTCTGTACCACGGCGAGTGTTCTGAGGAGTTATTCTCTCTTATCCCACCTTCTCCTTTCCTTCAGAGGACCACGCGCGCTGGCCTACGTTGTCATCGTCTAACTGTGGCCACAATTCCAACGCGTACAAAGAAATTAGGTGACTCATTTCTTTGTCGCACTATCCGTAAATGGAATGCTCTGCCCGCTCACGTGTTCCCTCTCTCTTACAACCTGGGATCCTTTAAAAGAGGCGTGAAGAAGCAACATGCAGGCCGGCAGGGTGAAGATGGCTGGTGTGGCAGGTAAAACTGCTGTATCAGCTATCGTCACGTCTGGACTTCACCTTCACTTAACATCAGGTGGGGTGGAGTCATTTGTCGGACCTATCTATAAAAAAAAAAAAAAATAGGACTAAGTACGGAAACCGCTCTGAAAATCTAAACTAAACTAAAACTCACTGAAATCTGCCTTCTTCGAGGAGTTGGCATTGCCCGTTGGCGCACGGTGAGCCGTAACACGCGTCTATCTGGTGCTGACATGTCTCGCCATGGAAACCCCTGGATGAATTTATTTAGTTTTTTAATATTGTTTTGTGCATTAAACTGTTACTTTTCTTAATCTAAATATTTATATCCATTTTCTAAAGTAAAGTGGATTTTATTCTAGTTAATTTTTTTATTGAATTTAAGAACAAAGTCTACACCAAATTTCTCATCTTTATACAGGTGTTACAACAATTCATGTCCAAATGCCAATTACAGATTTTCACTGGTTATCGGTAACTACCTACCTACCGGCAGTTACTGGTATTGATATTGTGATGCAGTTAATCATCAAATAACTCTGCCAAGTTATAATTATTAAGATTATAATAACAATTACTGTTGCTTAGAAACGGAACCAGGTTATCCTTACCTTTTACTGAAGGTCGATTATTGAAACTGGTCGTTATTGTATAGGAACTACAGTACAGGCACAGTGTACGTACCTTGCGCAAGCACATTCGAATCCTCCAGATGCCGTGGCGGAGCAGGACCCTCCGTTGAGGCAGGGGCGCGTGTAGCAGCGGTCGCATTTGGAAACTATCTCGGCTGGAGGATTGGCTGTACGGACAAAAATATAACATTATATTATAATAACTTCTTTATATATAAATGACTTCCTAATGAGTGCTACCGTTTTCTGCCTCACCAGATGGCGCCACTGTCGAGTGAGGACCTAAATTGCAACTTTTAAAGTTTATTAATACGCACATGAAATCAAAGGTTACATTTAGATCGTATTTTAACACAAAAGAACCATATCCTAAACATAATAGGCCATGCCACAGTGACGCGCAGTTCCGTTTTATTCGGAAAAAATGGGAACATAATCATTTTTCTAAGCTCAAATTTTTAATAACTGACATTCATTGCCACATAACTCATATTTGCCATAATTAAGCCGAATCGTTACCAATTATTCACAACATTATTTTAATTAGAATAAACCCACGTAGTCAACCAACAAGCAATAACATTTGACATTTCGGAGACCTCACGCTACACTAGCGCCTCTAGCGGCGGATTCATACGCGATAGCCTTCATTAAGGGATAAACAGTCGGTCAGTTCTTAGCATTTTTCACGTGGTGTGTCCCTATTACATCTATAGGGAAGGCGTGTGTCCCAGCTGTGGGGATATTGATAGGCTGATGATGATAAACTCACAGGGACAGCTGAAGGCGCAGGCCTAAATGGTCAATATCAGTTTGTCACACATACTCCCACTATTTATGATGATGATGATGATGACGATCCATGTTAACATTTTTAGCACGTTAGTGGTCCATGTGATCGTTATCTTACGTCTTGTCTGGGCTCGGCAATTTCATTAAATTATCAAATTTCAACGCCACTAGGGATAATATTTAGCACTACACCAAGATTTATTCCTTATCCACATGCTATAACCTGCGGCTCAGCATCTGGTTCAGGCTCGGCCATTTCATTAAATTATCAAATTTCATAGCGATCTAGAGATATTTTTTAGCGACACACCAAGATTTATTCCTTATCCAAAATGTTTTATCTTGCGGTTCAGCATCTTGTTCGGGCTCGGCCATTTCATAAAATTATCTAATTTCAACGCCACTAGAGATATTTTTGTTACTCTACACCAAGATTTAAAAACGCTATCAAATACTTGAGTTCTTTCACATTTTTTGCGAAAAAGCGTAATTTTTGAGCGCCTCGTTTACCCCCTTAGAAAAGATTTTGACTATTTCCAATAGAAGTAAACAGTAGATTTATTCTTCCTATTGTAGGTTAATGTAGAATATTTGCAAATACTATTTTCTTTTTTTTGTACTGATCGCTCTACTTTACTCTATAGTTTACGGAAAAAACGATAATATGCGCAACTTCAAGCACCTCAATCTCACAATAATGTTCAATAAATTATATCAAATTAATTACTACGACATCACAAATATGTTTTTGTTGTAACATAATGTATTAGAATTTTGATTTTCCATCTCATTAATTATCAAAAAAACATCTAACCTCCGTGAGTTTTCCCAAAAAATAATGCAGGTTTACCTCGTATTTTGAAATTGAATGAAATAGAATTACTATCAAAACCTTTCATAAATCTAATCTACCATCATTGAACTACTGAAATATGTATATCTATATTTTTATAATTAGTTCATAATAATTATTTTATAAGACTCGAAACATCACCCGTAAAATGCAATATATACTAGTGCAAATCTACCTACGCGCCGCAGCGGGGCAATTTTGAAAAGGGCGCTTAAATCTTTCTTAAAGGAAAACGGGTGGGACGGAACCAATCATGTTGGGTGGTATATAGAGGCTATTAGAAAACAAACACAGAGAATGGTCATTTGTTTGGTAAACACGGTTTCAAGTGGTTGTGTTCTGGTAATAGTGTAAAATGAAGACCTTCATTTGTTAAGTGTTAAGTATGTGGTTCACGAAATGCTTGATTTGTGGACAAGGCGGCAATACTCACAAGAACAGCTGAAGGCGGAGGCCTGAGTGCTGAGCACCAGTTTGTCCCTCATCCTCGCCGGCTCGGAGCACCGTGCTATCCCGGGCTCCACGTATTCTCCCGCGCTTCGGACCCACTCCGCCAGCCAGCGGAGATTGCAGTCGCAGTATAAGGGATTGGAGCCTAGAGCCCTGGACAAGAAGTAGGGAAAAGCAAGTTAATAGGTATAAGCAAATAGTATTAAAAACCCTAGATGCACCACCAGCTTAGATTAAAACAAAAAACGACACTCGCGACTCAAAAGTGTACAGCTTAAATTGTGGTGCATGACCACAATTCGCTTTAGTCACAATTGGACTTTCAAACACGCTGCATGTGCACTCAATATAAGAATATTGCGTATATTCTGAGTTATAAAGATAAAACAATGTTTTCGATGTTTTAATAAAACACACAAATAGTTCAAGATCAAACAACAAATGCCACGGCAATACTTATCATTCGTAATACTGTAAAAACATTCTTTTCTCTATAATCACGGTTTGTCGTGAATATTATTTACGTAATCGCCATTTTGTAAGCAAGAAAAGGACAACAATATGCTGCGTTGAAGCGTGTAGTTCTGTCTCGCTCGCTCGATTGAATGTGAATACAGAAGTGTGCGTGTGTAAGAGTTGCTTATGTAGTTGAGTCGGAGCATATTTTATTTGATGCTAGTATGACCGTACCTTCCCTTTTTGTTTTAATCTAAGACCACCAGAGCTAATTTAACGCATCTGTAGCACATTCCTTACAAAAATTTGCTAAAACCTTTTTGTAGAAAATATTGAAGTAATACGGAACACGACTATAATTTTTTCTCAGTCCATCAGGTGGGTTATTAAAAAGTATTAGAGTCTGTGCGGGAAGAGAATGGGCGTGGTGAAAAACGGAACTAATATTAAGATTTTTATTTGGCAATCAAACCCAGCAATCTGTAAAACGTCAAAGTGTTGTATTGATACGGATTTGTTTGTTGTTGTGATTTCTTGCGGTTTTTTGTATTTAATCATGTCTGAAAGGGGTAAAATCTTACAAATACGGTAGAAAAGCACTACAGCGCCCTCCAATCTAAATCCCATTCTCTTTCCGCACAGACTTTAGACACGTATATTTTCATTATTCACACAATCAAAACGTAACAGACGCATATTGATTTGAAATGTCGCGCGACGTTACGTTTAAGTACCATTTCACTTTAAGGTTATGACGTCAGGAGCCCCAACTATCTTGTAATTTTTTGGTTGCTTTAAAAATGAAAAAATACGTGTCCATTATTTTTTTGATAATCTAACTGACAGAATAAATAAAATTTGCGGAAGGAAAAACCTCTGTAAACTGGAGCACGTGATTTATTTGGTTTTGAGGTGTTAATCTAGACATCTATACATACATATAAATAAAATTGGAGTGCCTGTTTGTAATATTGAAATAACCGCTTTTTACTACATGCATATAAATATATATACGGTACATACACCTATAACATATTTTTGCAATTTTTGTGTCTGTCTGTCTTTTTGTTCCGGCTAATCTCTGAAATGGCTGGACCGATTTTGACGGGACCTTTATTGGTAGGTTGCTGATGTAATAAGGAGAAACTTAGGCTACTTTTATGTTAGAAAATATATTTTTTTTTAGAAGAAAAAACTTACAAGTATGTATTATATATGTATGTAGTACTTATTGTTTCTGTAGATATACTTTAATTATATTAAATATTTTGATGAATTCTTTTTGCACTACCATCTTTAAATATTTGCTATAATTCTTCGGTTGATTGGTAGAGAATGCCTAATGGCATTAAGTCCGCCACTTGTACACTCATTTGTGCAATAAAGTATAAATAAATAAAATTAAAGCTAACGCGGATAAAGTCACGGGCGGCCGCTAGTAGATAAATATACTTACACATGTGATATAGACTCCAGGTCTCGGAACACCCCGTCAGCCAACATGCTTATGTTGTTGCCGTGCAGCGACAACACACGCAACTGAGTCAAACCTTTCAGCGCGTCCCTCTGTTGATTAATAAAAAAACAATTTGATCTTTCTAACCATAGAGGTATAAGAATAGAGTAGGGGAGATATAGACTCTACTACAAGTGGAATTGACCCTCTAATAGAAAGAGACAGAAGATAATAATAATAAGATTTATTGACCAAAAAAATCTAAAACTTAGCACTAGTTATACAGAAAGTATAATTTATTAGCCTCTGCTGCTGAACTAGGCAATGCCTGTATTTCAGCATTCAGCGCCATAAACAGTGCCGTCTTTGACCTATTGGAGGCCCTGGGCATATTAGGATAATGGGGATCCTATGACTTCCGTTTGGTGATTTAACAGGCACTAGGGACTTTGTATTTGACCTGAGGCCCCCTTTCGATCGCGGGACCCTGGGCACTTGCCCAAAGTGCCCAATGGGAAAGACGGGTCTGGCTTTAAACCCCCACAGACATGAGAATACTAAACTATACTAAATACATATCTCATAAATGAAAAGATCAATAGGTAGCAATTCATTTTAAAAGCAAGGCATCTATGAGTATAATATTTAAATTAATATGTAATGTATGAAAAGATGTGTGTGTGTATGTATGTTTTTTTTTATTTATTTAAACTTCATTGCCATACATATGCAAACGGCGGACTTAATGTGTGTGTGTGTGTGTGTGTGTGTGTGTGTGTGTGTGTGTGTGTGTATATGTGTTCAAGTGTGGATGTATTTAGCTATTAGTATTTGTAGCATACGTGTATGTATCAGTTTGAATTATTCAAGTTAGTATATTTATAAAATTTTCGGTTTCTTCATAAGACATTGCTTGAAGTCACTTATAGATCACTTCTTTACATAACTAACCTGGGTAATGGGTAAATATTCAACCGTTGTTTTGTATAAATAGGGACCTAAAGCTTTAAAAAACCTGTGACTGAATTTCGTACGTGTCCTCTGTGCACGACATATTGCATATATATAGAGATAAATAGATAAGAGACCGCTAGCTTTCTCCCTCTAATCGCGCATGTGCGTTGGCAACCGTAAGCATTTTACTATTTCGATGTGATGCTTGGACCAATTATTGGACAGAAGACTGCGCATGCGGCACAAGTGAGAGAGATAGCTAGCAGTCTCTCATCTTCTTTCTCTTTCTAGTAGACGGACACCACTCTCCTATGTTTGTAACAATCACACCAATGAGGGCTACCGTTTTTTGTCTGGCAATGCAATAAAGGCATTCACATCATATTGACGTATTTTAATAATTATCTCCTGACAATCGTCCCGTGACTAATTGACATATTGACAGTCATTAGGGTCCTAGTAACGGCCCCTACATCTATCTATACTTATAATAAATCTGTAGAGATGTCAATTCTGTACATGAAATATATATTAAAAATAACTATCAGGGGGTGATTAGTGATCGATACTGATGCCAAAAATGCAATCAGTAAAATTTTTGTCTGTCTGTCTGTCTGTCTGTCTGTGTGTATGTTCCTTATAGAAACAAAAACTACTCAACGGATTTTAACGAAACTTGGTACAATTATTCTTCATACTCCTGGGCAGGTTATAGTATACTTTTCATCACGCTACAATTAATAGCAGCAGAGTAGTGAAGGCAAATGTTGGGAAAACGGGAGAAGTTACTCCATTTTTTAAGCTTCCGTCGCGGGTGCAGCCTTAATGGTTAAAGTTACATAGAAATCATGTATGACGGAAATATTCTACATAAAATTGTCTAAAAAATATCCTGCAACAGCATATGTCTATCTTTTATGGTTGACTCACAATAACACGTGTAATTATATAAATAAAGTCATTCTTTATAGCACAAGCCTGAGAACAAAAACTATAGTTTACACTACAGCTCTACACCGAAGCGAAGCGAGGGCGGGCCACTAGTAATAAATAAATAAAAAAAAAACAAAACGGAGACTTCACACAAGCGCCTCTAGCGGCGGATTTATAAGCGATAGCCCTCATTCAGTAAACCTAGGGCTGCCATCCGTCCGGGTTTCCCCGGATTTGTCCTAGTTTACGGGGCGTCCGGGGAGCGTCCGGGCGGGGTTTTATTTGTAGTCCGGGTTTAAAAATTTACGGCAACGCATGAGTGGCCCTTGGTGCTGCAAGTGTCCATGGGCAGCAGTGACCACTTATTATGAGGTAGACAAGCTCTTTTGCTTAGATCAACATAAAAAAGTTGATTTGTGACATTTTTAACTGTTCTTTTATTGGTCTGTCCGGGTTCTGGGCTTCAAAATCCGGGGTTATCACGCATCTTATCCTGGTTGCCACATTTTAGAGATGGCAGCCCTAAGTAAACCCCATTTTTATTTGATTGTTAGTAAAAATTAAAGTTATAGTTAGCAGTTGTTCTCTCACCTGAACACATCTCAGTCGGTTATAGCTGACGATAAGAGTGGACAGCTTCGACAGTCCTTCGAAGGTGCCGTTGGCTAACACGCTGATCCTGTTATTAGACAAGTCCAGGCGAGTCAGCTGGGTGAGGTGACGGAGCTGGTCCGGTGATATGCTGGTGATTTCGTTGGATTCCAAGTACCTGGGAGATGATGATGATGAGATGATGAAATGAATCGCTATTGAGGTGTTTGTAAGTAGGTATAGTCTGTCCATTCTATTATTATCTTTTTGACAGATTGACGCCCATGAAATTTTGTATTGTTTACGTTAAAATAACATACAATTTACAAATAATATTGTACTTCATGGACGGGTACCGCCCACTTAGTGATGTACCACACATAATGATTACTAAGATTGTGCCACAGATTACAAGTAATCGGTAGAAATAAATGAGTACAACCGAATTGTAAGATAGAGACCAAGTAATTAAAATATTAACATTATATAAAGTTCATTTTATAAATGTCCTCTTAGTTGTTTTTAATTTATTCAGACGTATCAGATTCTTCATACAAACTAGGTAAAATAATTAATCTAATTAGATTTTGTAATAATTTATTAAACAAGAGTATTTTTGATAACTAAAATAATTTCGATACTTATAATCGATAAAACAATGTTCTAGCATAAAATCGATTATAGCTTTAAATCGATCGACTTATGTGATAGGGTGTCACTATTTTTACTTCGATCGATCTGTCAAAAAGATAATAATAGAATGGACAGACTATAGTGGCTTTGGTCTGCGATGGAGGTGTGACCATAGCATGGAGCACCCCCACTAGAGTCCGCATCACACAAATTTTGTTTGGAATCAAAATCGCCAAAGTCGGTGGGGTGCAGGGAGGTCAGCCCCGCTGTGATTGGACGCGTCAAGGTCAGATCATATACTCAGTGCAGCGAAGTGATGAGAGTAAGATCGATTTTAGAAAATATCGATATTTTCTATCGATAAACAATTTAGAATAGAGGCCTAGTACTTTGGTGCGCAAATGCGTAATCATACCCTCTCCACTTTCTTCCAGCGTTCTAATTACATGACGCGACTAGTAACTACATACTAAATTATATATAAGCAACACAAAAAAAAACACGTCCAGGACAAGAAGTATTAATGCAACGATAATAACTACCCTAAATACAACAATATGAACAAAATCGTGGCCGAAACGTGTCCAAAAGGTACATTGGACGATCCACGGAGGTCCGTAAGATGATCGCGTGGTCAAAAACAATATAATGCCTTATTTAAACATTGAAAGTCACCTTTAATGCATATGGCATAAGGTCTTAATTAAAATGCATGCGTCAAGTTCGTAAAATTTTACGATTTATTGTTATATGTGAAAGAATATAGACCTTATTTTTTTTGACTTTTCACTCGCAATTCTGAATGCGCTGTTGGCAATACAGCAAGTACAGACCGCGAAGAAAAGAGATGGCTAAGGGCGACGTATAACCGACCATGCATTTGAATATCACAAATATTTTAAATTAAATCAGTTTATAGTAAGTATTACAACAATAAAATTTGCTTTAGAGGCGTTAATTAAAAAACATTAATTAGATACCTGTCGAAAGAACGACACTTTACGTGCTATTAGTATTTTTCTGCATTTTTTCACGGAACTCTTTGGCATCTTGACTTTTCAACGGTCCGCGTGTGACTGTGTACTAAGAAGTGCTTGAGTGGAGTTCAAGCACTTCTTGATTGGGACCACAGACTATTTAGATATTGGGACACATTTTGAGCGGTCGTGGTGTATCTAGGGTATTTAATATCGTTAATTCTATGTCTTTATCTAGGTCATAAACTATGCGCACTTAATTTCATACAAATCCGTTTAACCGTTTTAGCGTGAAAGAGTAACAAATATGCATACAAATTTTCGCGTTTTTAAAATTTTATTAGGATATGTTTGACTTCAATCAAAATAAAAACTGTTGGTTGTATACTTATGACATCTATTATTGTATACGATGAAATAAATAGTTTTTATTTATTTTTTCCATTTCCATAGCTGACAAACTTATCGACAAACTTACGCGTTGAGACATGAGCTGCGTCTGAGTCACTAGCAATACACGTGCCGGTGTGAGAGCGAGATAGCATATATGATGTAGCCCATGCGAGAAAGGGATAGTGTAAAAAGACATCAACGCGTTCACCAAAAAATAAATACATTAACAGCAATTTAATATAACAGTATTTTTGTCTTTTTGTAATGCATTTAAACTAACCAGTGAAAAGTAATACCATTTTTTTGAAGACTGGAAGTTGTACTCGACTTTCCACACAATTTAATTGCACAGTACGGCATTTTTTACAGTTTTTTAACACGAAAACGAGAGAAGCAGTTCGACCAACGCTCGGTTACCGAATGAAACGATGTATGGCGACGTTTGTAGGCGTGCCTCACGCATAGGTAATATACTACTTAAGCTTGGCGTAAGCGCTTGCCCTTGTATGCGGACTCTAGTGGGGGTGCTCCGTGGACCATAGTCATAATATTTATTGCTTCCTGTTGGTTACATTTAGTTCTTAAATCTAATAACAGCTTTCAAACATGAGCCCTGCAAAAGCATTGCAAATTATAATAAAAGTACACAAAATTTAATTTAAAATGTGATACAATTACAATAGGATAAAAGTACTTTAATCAATTATAAAATACATTTAGCGTTAGGTCACGGAATGAAAGTCAACAAATTTACGTCAGAAAAATCAAATCAATTAGTGTTAACGCCATCTATCGTAAGCTTGTGAAAACACATATTCCTTATCCCTTCCCCTAAATTCACCTGTTGTCAACTTCGTCCGCGGCGCTGTCATCGCTGCAATTCGAACGAACGGACGAGAGAAAAAGGCAACGGTCGTTGTGTGCTCTGATCGCCGCGAGAGGAGATATAATGCGATTCAAATAAAAATAGGAAAGCCAATGACTTCCATCTGTCAAATGACGCTTGAAAAGTACGGTTTGCAAAAAATCTTGGAACTCTTTTTTAGCACTCGGCTAATTCTAGAATAAAAAAACCAAACATTTGTAAACAAACATGACGACGATGACAACTCCGGTAGTTATGCAGAGCTGAGTGGAATTGAAGAGCTAGATTCCGATTAATATTTTTACTCACACAGTCATAATTTTTATTAAAAATCGGTGGTTTTTTTTCTCAATCTTAGTAAATAAATTTTATTAATAAAATCTGATGATTTTTCTCACTTAATCTTAGTAAATAAGTTTTATTTTAAAAAAAAACTGATACATATAATATATCAATATAATAATGATCAGTGCATTCGCCCGGATTGCGAAGTTAGTAGTAAGTTTCTAGTAAACTTTTCTTTAGTTTAACGTCATTAATTATAACGTCATGTACAAATATGTATTAAAATGTCATACGATAAGTACAGCTTCATTATGCCATCACAAAGTGTACGAGATTTCTATTTACCTCCTATCGTTTTTTGGCAACCATGCGCGGCGACTCTTCGCCCGCGACAACACACATCGTGGGATAGCACCTTAAGAAAGCTCTCTAGAATCGTCCAATATTTTCCTTCCGAAGAGCACTTCTTAGCTTATAAGAAGAATGAAAGAATCTCATTATTTATATTGTTTTAAACTTTCGTAGTCACTAACATTATAGTAATATAAGTTATTTACGAGATTGTTGCCATGTACCATGTCTTGTCTGGATCCCGTGGTTCGTATGTGTAAAAACCGAAATAATCAAAAAAGTGTCGTGTCGTGATCCGATACTGTAAATGTTGTGTGTCGAGAACAGTTGCGAGTGAGTAGTGAGAATGTGAACAGTGGTACGGGTATCGAACGCAATAAAAGACTTCGTCGAGGGTAGACCGATATGTCTGCCAATAACAGCCTACCCGCAATTACTTCAGTTACTCCGTGATCATGGCGCTTGCAACAGTGCCGAAATATCGGAAACTCGCTATAAACAAGTTACATGGTATCAATCCCGTAAATAACTTATATTACTATAACTCATCATTTAGTCCCAAGCTGTGATTTAGCCAACGAAAGTTACAGAATACTAGCAAACCAGTGAACCAAATGTTCACCAATTAAAAATGTATTTAATTAATTGAGAACTTCGGAGATTTTGTGTGGTTTCGTTTGAAATTCGTGATTTCTCGAAAACAGGAAGTGCTACGTTACTCAGATCCGGTTTGTAGTCTTATCAGACTATTCTTAACCTATAACTTAAACATTCTCTTTATCTATCTCTTACGGTTTGGCCGCTGAAACAGCACCACAGACGGACGGACTTGTCTAATAGATAAGAGATAATGTATGTACTCACAGCTCGGTGGTCTGCCTGGGTATGTTGGGCGGTAGGGCTGTCAGTTGCGCGCGCGAGCATCGAACTACAGTCCCCGTGCATGAGCATTGAGCTGGACAGTAGTCTGGGGCGAGGCAGCCCTGGTCCTCGGCTAGAAGGTCAGAACAAAACAAACACTAGTTCAGTAATAAATTCATCATCGTAACCGCAAAAATGCTAGAGATCGAATTTGCCAGATCACCGCGGGTCGCGATAGAGGTCGAGTAAGGTGGCTCATTCTAAAATGAGCCTTATGCAGTGCGGCGTAAGGGTGAAAGTGCAACGACATCTGCACTTGTTCACAAGTTATGAGTGCTACCCGCGTAGGTATAAGTAGGTATTTCGTACTCGCGGGTGCTAGCTAATTCTCAATTTAACAGGTACTTTCTAGAATGCGTCGATCGGCGTATATAAGCGCGATTGGCGTCGCGCAGAGACAGTTGAGTTTCAACAGCGATTTCGGAGCGAATCCAAAGGCGATCAAAGTACAACAAAAGTATTTCAGTGCGATAGTTTAGAGACTTGTATAGTGAAATACAGTGTTTAGTGAGTGTTTTGTAATTAACATTGTGTTTTAATTGTGTGAACTGAGTGGTGAATAAAGAACTGTCAAGCGTGAACTGGCATATAATTTCGAACCCCATCCCGACACGTAACAATATTAATGTCCACACTGCTGGGGCACAAGCTTTCCCTATAGATGGAATAAGGAGTTTGGGCTATGATGTCACACAGTAGACGTGATCAAACCGAGCGTTTCGGCGGTAAATTCAAAACCATTAAAAATAAATTCAACTTTAACAGGGTATTTTACAAGTTTTAGAAAACGATCTCACGTTATTGACTAATGTTGATAGAGTCCGTAAAAAGTGGATATTCATCATTCTGTTGTGTATTTCAGTAAAAATAACCAAATCAAAAACTCCATTTTCAAGTTGCCGCGAAAACGCTTATCTGGACAATATGGCGTCTTACTAGTGTGTGACGTCACACGACTGTTATTAAAACGTCAAACGATACAATGTAATGTCACTTTAACCGGAAGTTTATTTGCGTGTGACGTCATTTTAGGCTCCGCCAATCCCAAGCGTTTTGGGAACGTGACAATAGATAAGAAAACTGTAATCTTTTTCGTGGGTTTTTAGTGAAATTATGAATATTTTTTATGTAAAAATAATAAAAACCCCTGCCAATATTCCTTCTAAAGACAGATGCTAACAATTGGCATTTTATTTTTAATACTATCAAATACCCTATTAGTTTAATGGAGAAGAAAAGAGATTAAATAATTTATTTTTAATTTTCTCCTAAATAATTTGTCCCAATATTTTAATACACTATACTGTGGCCACTATTCCTACACGAACAAACAAATTTGGTGACTCATTTCTTTGTCGTACTATTCGTAAGTGGAATTCTTTGCCCGCGCACGTGTTCCCTCCTTCCTATAATCTGGGGTCCTTTAAGAGACGTGAGGAAGCATTTTTGCAGGCCGGCAAGGTGAGGATGATTGGTGTAGCAGTTTATAACTGCTGTACCAGCTATCTTCGCGTTTGGACTTTATTACCACTTAACATCAGGTGGGATAGAGTCATTTGCCTACCTTTATATATAAAAAAAATACAAGCAGTTTGGGGTCGTTCATAAAATACGTCACGCTAAAATCAGCTTTTTCCGACCCTCTCCCCCCCTATTGTCACGCTGTGTCACACTTTCTGTGACCCCTCTTGAAATATTCCGTCACAAAAACGGAGACCCCCCCCCTCCCCAAGTATGATTAATTTCAATTGATAGTACACAAATTTTAAGAATTTAAATATTTATTTAGTTTTTATAGTAAAATTTAAATATATAAATATGCGCTAATGTCGAAAAATAAACATGAGTAAATATATCAAGTTACAATTTATTGTATAATAAAACTATAATTATACCTTTGAATGTCTATATGTTTACTAAATACGAAATAAATGATTTTCTATCTTGATGAAAATTGAGAAAGAAAAATAGTTGAAAGAAATACTAATTTAAATTTTTTTAATGAATGACGAACGTCACGTTGCCGTAGACCCCCCGTCCCCCCTTGTCACATCTTGTCACACTTAGCATGACCCCTCCCCCCCCCCTTGTATGCGAAAGTATTTTATGAACGGGCCCTTTTCGAAAATTTGGAAAATACCCTATTGTCTTACCAGTGCACTTAAAGTCAGCAGCCTCCAAGTGAAGCAAGGCGGCGCGTCGCAGCGCGGGCGGCGCGGCGCAGGCGGCGGCCGGAGCTAGGTGCCTCGCTCGGAGCCACGCGCCGAGCCACGATATATGGCATGTGCATTCCAGGGGATTGTTCTCCAGACGTCTGGGAAGAAAGGCATTGTTTGAGTCTATATACAGGGTGTTGAAGTTAAGCAACTTTCGCAGGGGTCGGTCATTGGATGGGTGACCAAAAGTTCTCATCTCGAGCTCTTCCGTGCTTCGGAAGGCACATTAAGCCGTTGGCTCCGGCTGCATCTGCAGTCGTTAGCACCCACCAATCCGCACTGGGCCCGCGTGGTGGGTCATGGCCCAATTTCCCTATTCCATCCATAGGGAAGGCCTGTGCCCCAGCAGTGGGGACATTAATAGGCTGATAATGATGATGATGCAGGGTGTTACAAAAATATAGCTCCTCTATCTCTGAGCGTGTTGGGAATGTTTATTCTTTATTATAATTTTCTTATACAGGGTGTTACAAAAATACAAATAAAGCTTGAAGGGCGTTGAAATACATCATATAAGGAATTTTCTATAATTTTCTTTATTACAGCAGATTTATTACTACTCCTGGTAAGGTGCATTACCCCGAACTAGTGGCATGTCTTAAAATGATCGATATTTTTATTAATCATTAAAAATAACTGTCTATATAAAAAGTTCAAACTTCTTGCAAATATTTTAAGAAAATTAGAGAAGACTCCTTATATGATGTACTTCAACGCCCTTCAAGCTTTATTTGTATTTTTGTAACACCCTGTATAATAGATTTTTTTAAAATAAATAAATATTTCCAACACTCACACCAATTAGCCTAGCCCCAAAGTAAGCAAAGCACTATAAGGCTTGTGTTATAGGATACTAGGGTAACGGATAGAATACATATACTGTACATATATAAGTATATTTATGTAGAAATACATATTAAACATCCATGATTGGAGTACAAACGATCGTATTCATCACACAAACATCTGCCCCCAGCGGGATTCGAACCCGGGACCTCTCGTGTCGGCGACACCATGAAACCCAGCGTACGACCACTCGACCACGGAGGTTGTCAAAATATGGGAATCAATATTCCCAACACGCTCGGAGATAAACCAGCTCGATGGTGCAGGTGGTTAGCGCGTTCGGCTGCGATCGTTGAAGTTAAGCAAACTTTCGCAGTGGTCGGTCATTGGATGGGTGACCAAAAATCTCCTATGACGAGTTCCTCTGTGCTTCGGAAGGCACGTTAAGCGGTTGGTTCCATCTGCTGCCTGGTCCGCGTGCATTTTTTTTCTAGTAATATTTTCTTTAGATTTAAACACCGAGCAGTTACATGGTTAAAAAACGGCCAAGTGCGAATCGGACTCACGCACCTAGGGTTCCGTACAAACTCAATTTAATACCTCTACGCGTTCATGAGAAAAGACGTAGTAACTTTAAAATTATGAAAAATATTTTTTATTATATTTTATGTAACTAAAAATTTACGGTTTTCGCAATTTTTCCTTTATCTGTACTATGAGACGTTACTTCGTACCAAATTTCAAGATTCTAAGTTCACGGGAAGTACCCTGTACGTTTTGATTCCCGTACGAGTATCGAAAATTTTCGGCATAAACGACTGTATCTTTTGATGCTTTGGCTTAGAAGTTTGAATGTTTCACAGCTCTAAGGGACAGTAGACTTGAGTATTAGATATGAATTTCAGTTTGATACCTCCACGCGTTCCTGAGAAAAACGGTCTTGACAGACGGACGGACGGACAACAAAGTGATCCTATAAGGGTTCCGTTTTTTTCTTTTGAGGTAAAAAGAATTTAAATTAATGTACATTGGTAAGATACAATCACGGTTCATATTTTGATATATTTAATCCCACCAAAAACATTCTGTAAAAAACTAGCCAAGTCTCGATGGAGCTGCTTGTTTATCTCTAAAAAGTAATGAAATCTAGACAAAGTCGTGCCAAGTCTAAGGTTCCTTACTGCGATTTCTTTATTATTATAGTTCATGTTGTGTGACTTGGCCGTTGAGGGGTACACAGGGGTACAAAACCTGAGTATTATGTCGATTATTTATATTTGAGAACCTCTTCTCAAATAGGGGCCTGAAAATGCGGCGAAATGGTTCCATTAAAGGATGGTACGGCAGTGTTTGCTTCGCGCTTGACTTAGTGGGGGCACTACCGTGCCCAACGATGACCAATTATCTACTATATAAAAATAAGTCGGGTTTTCCTTCCTGACGCTATAACTCCAGAACGCACGAACCGATTTCCACGGTTTTGCATTCGTTGGAAAGGTCTCGGGCTCCGTGAGGTTTATAGCAAAGAAAATTCAGGAAAAATTTCAAAAAAAAAATCTTCTTTTAATCACCAAACGAAATGTTACATAAAACGAAGCCATCTGGTGGCGAAACGGAGTTCGCGGGGTTTGCTAGTTTTTTTATGGAAATATAAATGGGATCTTTTACTTACAAAGTTGTCAGCATAGTGAGATGGTCAAACGCTCCTGGCGTGATGCACCTTATTTTGTTGTCAGCCAAAGATCTGTATTAAATAAAACCATTCACATTTGCATAAGAATGTAATGTAAAGTATAATTCAATACATTTATTATTATAGGCCTATACTTGCAGCAAATTCGCTTAATATCGATGTAGCTAAAACCAGGTTTAGCCAACACAAAGATGTCGAAGTGACATTGACGTTTTGTCATTTTTCAATGGGTTAAATCTAGTTTTAGTTGAATCGAGATTTAGCAAAATAGGGATGATGACTAATTGTTTTTTCTTCGTTTATCAGGTAGATTATCAAAAAGTATTGGACACGTACTTTTTCTTTTTTCACATAATATAAACATTGCAGAGATATATTGATTTGAAAAGTCGCATGACGTCACGTTTTGGTACAGTGAAAATTCACAAAAAAGTGACGTCACGAGCCCCTACTCCCAAACTTTGACGCGCTATAACTTTGTCATTTTGCCCAAAGAAAAAAATACGTGTCCATTATTTTTTGATCATCCAACTGATGGACTAAATAGAATTTCGTTTACTGTACCCCGTCATCACCCCTATTGCAGCAAACGGACCTTAGTATAAAATCTATTAGATTTTTATTTATTAATTTATACATTTTGTATACACAAATAGAAATAGAAAGTGATAACAAATTAAGATAATAGTACAAGGACACAGCTTATTTCAATCTGAAATTTCTTCCAGCAGGACCATTGTAGGAAAGCACATTGAAAGGGCAGTCAGTGTGTATACCTAATTGTGATTAAATATGTATGTGCATTACATACACGCACTCACCACATGCAAGCTTACAAACACACACACACACACACACACACACACACACACACGAACACGCACAAACACACATTAATAGACACCCACGCACAAACATAACATAACAACAAACACACATTCAAACACCCGCGTAGATACACACAACTTGAATATTATTAGCTTTAAATTAGTCATTAATTTAAGTATATTATACATCATATCGTTTATTCTCTCGTGAAAATGAGTTTATTGAATACTATAGTGTAGTATGAAAGTGATGACCGGCGCAGTGGGAGCCTGGTGATCTGTATGACAGGTTTCACAACCTAGTGCAGACACCAGTCTCGGGAAAGGTTAAAATTATTTGCTAATTATACTTTGTATTTTATAACATAAGACTTTGTAACCATTCTTGAGAGAAATAAATAGATTATTATTATTATTATTATTAAAAATATACGTTAAATACTTAAGAATAGGGGACATACACAATTATACGTAGGTACTAATATATTGTTTCAAACTATCATGTGTTAGGGTTAGTGATATTCGTAGAAAATCGGTATGAATTTATTTTTATATTGGCAACATTTGAATTTTCTATGATGGCAACTCAATGCCTTGCCGCGTAATCTAGCTCGAACGCTATTGGTCAACGGGTATTTGTCGTTGGCTAATCAGAACGCTTTATCTTCTCGCGGCATTAATAAACGACCAATCACAGGCGAGAAGTTTTTAGTGGGAATGGAGAGAGAAATTACGGGGGAATGACTCACGGTGTCGTTAAGTGAAGACGTTTGTAAAGTGTTATAAAGTGTGTAATTAAAACTATTAAGAATAAGTTATATACTTTCATTTAACGGAGCCTTAGAAGCATTAGTGGCTAGATCGACTACGTTTAAACATGGTCACCAACATTATAGCTATTAACGTTATGTTACCATATACCTTGTTTTTTATGAGTCTCCGATATTTCGGCACTGTTGCAAGCGCCATGATCACGGAGTAACTGAAGTAATTGCGGGTAGATGTTATTGGCACACATATCGGTCTACCCTCTGACGTCGTCTTTTACTGCGCTCGATACCCGTATCACTGGTCACATTCTCATAATTCACTCGCACTTTTTCCCGACACACAATACTCACAGTATCAGATCGCTAAACGACACTTTTTTGATTTTTGCCGTTTTTACACTCTCCTCCGCTTCGTCGGAGGGTAGACCGATATGTCTGCCAATAACAGCCTACCCGCAATTACTTTAGTTACTCCGTGATCGTGGCGCTTGCAACAGTGCCGAAATATCGGAAACTCGCTAAAAATAAGGTACATGCTAACAATCCCGTAAATAACTTATCTATATATATAAAACTCAAAGGTGACTGACTGACATAGTGATCTATCAACGCACAGCCCAAACCACTGGACGGATCGGGCTGAAATTTGGCATGCAGGTAGATATTATGACGTAGGCATCCGCTAAGAGAGGATTTTGATATATTCTACCCCCAAGGGGATAAAATAGGGAATGAAAATTTGTATGAAACTTTGTCAATTTTAAACCGATCGGGCTGAGACTTTGCATGCAGGTATAAGAAGAATCATAGATGAATGTCATTGTGTATAATACAAGCCGGAGAACAAAAACTGTAGTCTACACTTCAACTCTACACCGAAGCGAAGCGAAGGAGGGCCGGTAGTATTACTATAAGGCTATTAATATCCCCAAAGAGATGGCACATGCTTTCCTTGCGGATGAAATAGCGAAAATGAGAGATGACCCACAACGCGGGCCACTGCGTGATTTGTGGGTGATACTCACAGTACGGTCAAGCTGTGTAGTCCCAGGAACATCTTGTCGGTGAGTGTCTGCAACAGGTTTCCGTCCAGTAACAACTCTTGAATATTGGCGGCGCCATCGAAGGCATTGTCTTCTATTGTCGTGATACCTGTAGGCAAAAGAATAGGCTAGTTGACCCTTTTTGGAAAAACGTTTTAAATGGTTAATAAATGTTCTATTAGACCGAAAAAAAATGTATTGTATTTTTTTGAGACCTGGAAAGCTACAAATCTTTAATTTTAAAATAGACTTTCCATGGACATACAAAAAAGCTGTCGGCCATTTTAGTCTATAGATTATCTATGCTATGACGTTGACGGTAGTAAACAAAAACTCATAAGCACGAAGAAAATAACCTATCTGAGTTTATAATAAAAAAAAAACATGATTTCTAATAAATACCACGAAAAATATAGTAATTATCATTATTGTATTTGTACGAGAATGTAAAAACACATCCTTGAAGACTCCAGGAAAGTTGTGGATTAAAGTGCCGAAATATAATTCAATACATTTAATAATTCAATACGTTGGGCGCCATCTCTTCGCATTAGGTAACCCACAATGTCATGCCATGTCATGTCATGGCGCTGCCTTGCAGCTTAAGAATGGCTAGAAGAATTTCGACGCGGTCCGTGAGGGCTGCGGTAGCATAATTGGTCAGTGCATTCGCCCGGATTGCGAAGGGTGCGGGTTCGAGTCCCGTCTGCTGCCTGGTCCGCGTGGATTTTTTTCTAGTTACATTTTCTTTTGAATTACAATAACATTATCCCTGAGTAGTAAATATACAACTCCATGTTTTATTGTGGAACTCGATGCCGTAAGTTGTTATCGCGTTCGGCTGCGATCGTTGAAGTTAAGCAACTTTCGCATTGGTCGGTCATTGGATGGGTGACCAAAAATTTACTACTTCGATCTCCTCCGTGCTTTGGAAGACATATAATAGTTTATTTTTCCATAAAGATAATGATTTTGAAACAGCTACATTTGCCCCATGGCAATATATATATCTTTATATATATAATTCTTCTGTGAGTGTGTATGTCACTGAACTTCTCTTAAACGACTGGACCGATTTTGATGAATTTTTTTGTGTGTGTTCAAGGGGATCGTTAGATATTGTCATAACATTTGAATAATAATTTTCATCAAAATGGTCCAGAATGTTTTAGCTTATTAAAAAAAGTTTGAAATTTTCAAATTAAAGACGTGTAGACAGGACAACGTCTGTCGGGTCCGCTAGTATATTATATATCTTTATATATATAATTCTTCTGTGAGTGTGTATGTCACTGAACTTCTCTTAAACGACTGGACCGATTTTGATGAAATTTTTTGTGTGTGTTCAAGGGGATCTGAGAATGGTTTAGATTCACAATTTTGTCCGCTGGACAACCCCTATTTTTTTAGGGCGGTACGAAGTTCGCTGGGTCAGCTAGTATATATATATATATACAGATGGAGCTAAAAAAGTTTCGCTTCAGTCGTGTGGTTATAAGCACACTGGTTTTTATTTATTTTCCAAGTTCATTGATTTTAAAATCCTTGGAGGAAACGATATGAAAGACCTCCTTGGCCGAGTGGTTTGTACGCCGGGTTTCATGGTGTCGCCGACTCGAGAGGTCCCTGGTTCGAATCCCGGTGGGGGCAGATGTTTGTGTGATGAATACGAGCATTTTGTACTCCAGTCATGGATGTTTAATATGTATTTCTATATAAATATACTTATATACGAGTATGTACAGTATATGTATTCTATCCGTTACCCTAGTATCCCATAACACAAACCTTATAGTGCTTACTTTGGGGCTAGGCTAATTGGTGTGAGTGTTGGAAATATTTATTTATTTAAAATCCCCTCATACTTATTTACCGTTATTTCTAAAGTCCAGCTTCGTCAAGTCTGGCAGCCGACCAAAAGTCCCGTCTGACTTAATCTGCGCCAGATTGTTGTCTGGCATCAATCTGTAACAAAAACCAACTATGTAAGTATGGGTAATAGGGTATTTGACAAGTTTTACAAAACGATCTCACGTTATTTACTAATGTTTATAGAGTCCATAAAAATATGGATATTCATCATTATGTTGTTTATTTCGGTAAAAAAAACTAAATCAAAAACTCTATTTTCGACAACGTATCTCTGGACAATATGGCGTCTCACTGGTGTGTGACGTCACACGACTGTTATTAAAACGTCAAACGATACACAATGTAATGTCAGTTTAACCGGAAGTTTACTTGCGTGTGACGTCATTTTAGGTTCCACCAATCCCAAGCGTTTTGGGTCACGTGACAATAGACAAGAAAACTATTATCTTTATCGTGGGTTTTTAGTAAAATTATGAATATTTTTTTTTATTTTTAATACTGTCAAATACCCTATTGAAAATCTAAATAATATTTTAGTTCATTACGAGTCATGTGTTCATTATGAGGAGCTCGAGGTCGCAGGTGGTTAGCGCGTTCGGCTGCGATCGTTGAAGTTAAGCAACTTTTCCAGTGGTCGGTCATTGGATGGGTGACCAAAAATTTATTATCTCGAGCTCCTCCGTGCTTCGGAAGACACGTTAAGCCGTTGGTCCCGGCTGCATCTGCATTCGTTAGCACCCACCAAACCACACTGGGCCCACGTGGTGGGTCATGGCCCAATCTCCCTATTCCATCCATAGGGAAGGCCTGTGCCCCAACAGTGGGGACATTAACAGGCTGACGATGATGATAATTTACGTGGGTGTGTGAACATAGCTGAATAGTATTGTGGTGCTTTAAGCAAAAAAATAATTTTCAAAGTTTGGTCCTTCGAGCCGGATAAATAATAAAGCGAAATTGCTCCACTTGTCTTGTATGTCACTTAGCCGCACTTTAGTTGGAGAACGGCAGTATAGGGTCACGAGTGTATACACTATAGAGTACGTACAGCGCGTCCGTGTGCAGCGGCAGGTCTCGCGGCAGGTCGCGCAGGGCGGCGCGGCAGGTCACGGCGAGGGCGCGGGTCCGAGCCGTGCAGGTACAAGGTGCGGGGCAGGAGGGCACTTCGCCGCACGCATCTGGGGTTTCTTCGCCAGCTGTTAGACAAAACATTAATCTATACTTATAATAAATCTGTAGAGATGTCAATTCTGTACATGAAATATGTTTTTAAAATAACTATCAGGGGGTGATTAGTGATCGATACTGATGCCAAAAATGCAATCAGTAAAATTTTTGTGTCTGTCTTTCTGTCTGTCTGTGTGTATCTTCCTTATAGAAACAAAAACTACTCAACGGATTTTAACGAAACTTAGTACAATTATTCTTCATACTCCTGGGCAGGTTATAGTATACTTTTCATCACGCTACAATCAATAGCAGCAGAGTAGTGAAGGGAAATGTTGGGAAAACGGGAGAAGTTACTCCATTTTTTAAGCTTCCGTCGCGGGTGCAGCCTTAATGGTTAAAGTTACATAGAAATCATGCATGACGGAAATATTCTACATAAAATTGTCTAAAAAATATCCCGCAACAGCATATGTCTATCTTATATGGTTGACTCACAATAACACGTGTAATTATATAAATAAAGTCATTCTTTATAGCACAAGCCTGAGAACAAAAACTATAGTTTACACTACAGCTCTACACCGAAGCGAAGCGAGGGCGGGCCACTAGTTTAACATATTTTTTTACCACGTACGACAAAACTGTGGAATATATTGTCGCCAGCAGTGTTTCCGGACCAATACGACCCAAGAACCTTCAAAAAAAGAGCGTACTCCTTCCTTAAAGGCCGGCATCGCATTTGTGATACTCCTGGTGTTGCAAGTGTCCATGGGCGACGGTGATCACTTACCATCAGGTGAGTCGTCTGCTCGTATGACACTTATAACATAAAAAAATAATAATAATAAAAAAAGAAAAACTATTTTTTAACGAGTTTAAAATGCGTTTTTTATATTTTTATACAAATCTGTACGTTTCGCAAGAGTACTCTTGATAACGCAGCTTGAAAAGGATGCGAAACATAGATATATGTGTAATTAATGACTGGTGTGCATGAAAACATATAAATAAATATGTCAAAAGATACGTTTATATTAACCAGATTAACATGCGATCTGATGTAATTATCTGTGGATATAAATCAGATTCTGTACTGGTGGTTTCAGGACTTTCCCAGGGATCGCATTTGGGGCCTGACTTTTTTCTTGTACTCATAACTAAACTGGTTCTAGTCATTCGATTGCTACACAAGTTGTTGCTCTCTTTTTCCAAATAAAAATTTAATTATGTAATAATCTCACACACCTCGAAGAGCACAACATGGTCAAAAGAGGTACGAAAGGTGCCTTTAATTATATTCATTAACTAGGTACAATGCTAAAGTATGGTTGCCGAGCAGAAAGAATTTCGTACACTGACCCCACACTACCCATCATCACTCACGCGCAATTATATTGCTGTCACGCTTGCACACAGTACTACACACGGTACGTGTGCGAGAGAGATAGCAACATAAGTGCTCGCGAGCGATAAGGATGGGTAGCGTGGGGTCAATGTACGAAATTCTTTCTGCTCGGCGACCGTACTATACTCACGTTTGCATTTAAAGTTGTCCTCTCTTAATGCATCTATCCTTTTTCTGCTCATACGTTTAGGCGCATCGCATTTAGCGCCTGAGGTCTCTATAGGGTTCTTGCGGAGGTAAGCGGCGAGCCAGCGCAGCGAGCAGTCGCACGAGAATGGGTTGCGACCTAAATGTCTGTGGGATAAGGTTGGAAATTGATTGTCATATACTCCACAAGAAATTTAACACCCACAACAGATTGAGCAGAGTCATTATGTCTATCTTATTAGAAATGAAAAAGCTTGAAATAAGGATGTTTTGGTTATCGAGGAACAATTGTAGGTAGCCCACAAAGAGAAGGCCCTGCCTTGCAGCTTAAGGCTAGGAAAATTTCGACGCGGCCATCAGGGCCGTGGTAGCATAATTGGTCAGTGCATTCGCCCGGATAGCGAAGGGTGCGGGTTCGAGTCCCGTCCGCTGCCTGGTCCGCGTGGATTTTTTTCTAGTAAAACGGGTAGTATTAAATTGTTGACATGAATGACTTTTCTCAGGTCCATTAATGAAATATTGTTCATCGGTATTAAAATAAACTGTTTAAATTTAATGTTTACTCACTCAAATAATTAAATAGAAAAAAAACTGGCCATTTCGTTATCGTTTTATCATGACTTATTTGAATCAATATTGCTTTAACAGAAAGCGATCGTTGAAGTTAAGCAACTTTAGCAATGGTCGGTCATTAGATGGACGACCAAAAATCTTCTATCTCGAGTTCCTCCGTGCTTCGGAAGGCACGTTAAGCTTTGGTTCCGATTGCATCTGCAGTCGTTAGCACCCGTCAATGCGCACTGCGCCCGCGTGGTGGGTCATGGCCTAATCTCCCTATTCCATCCATAGGGAAGGCCTGTGGCCCAGCAGTGGGGACATTAATAGGCTGATGATGAAAAATAAAGTAGATATTTAACCACATACTATATTTTTTTCCATCTTTTTGTCATCGACTATATTTTTAGAGGCAACAGCTTCAAAAACACTAAGATATTTCATAGAAATAACCCTATCTGTGATTGAACTGTCCGTTAGTTATTTAAACGTTCGTTAGTAAGTTAAATTCATTTACACTTACAGTGTTTGTATGCCTGTCAAAGCGTCAAAGGTCCCGTTCGACAGAGATCTAATGTTGTTATCGTAGAGAGATCTGAAAGAAAAATATAGACAATAGTTTAATAAATACATAACATATTTGTTTCTTAGGTCGTCACTAGTGTTGCCAGGTCGGATTTGTTTAAATCGTTACATGAGGTCAAAAAATCGGAATTTTAAAAATTCAAAAATTCAATATCGTTTATTCAGTCTAGGCTGTTACAAGCACTTGTGAATGTCGAAAAGCTACGCCATCGGTTCGCAAATCTACGGTGGGAGACCTTGTACTGAGAAGAACCGGCAAGAAACTCAGCAAGGGCTGTTTTTTTCTCCCTGTATTGTATACAGAGTCGTCAAATTGAAAAATGACTTCAATATGAGGTAACTCATAAAGTCACTTTCCATTACAAATGCTAATATAATAAAAATTATGACTATATAAAAAACTGGTTTAACAAAGTTTAGGAATGCCGTGTCCTGCTGTTTAGGCAAAAAAAAAAAATGAACGATTAAAGTTTAGTACAACGATTAATAGTATCCAATGAAGCAAGAGCAGACTCATCTCCCCTGGCAGCACCCGTTCACGAGCATGACGCATGAACCAGCCATCTTTAACCCAATTTAGGGTTGCATATCGGGACAGTAAACAAAAAACAAGGGGTTTTTAAGTCTGGGTTTAATTTATTGCGTTTTAAACTACTAGTGCAAGTATAGTATTATATTATTTACCTAAATTATTTTTATTTTATTTTTTTAATTAATCGGGGCATTTAGCGTCCCGATTAGGTACAAATCGGGACGCTCAATACACACCTGGCAACACTAGTTGTCACGCACATCACTCATTAAATAAAACTAGCTTCAACGGGTAAGATGCAGGCCTGAAAAGGCTCGAAACGTCAATAAATGAATAAAATCAGTGCATCTTAACCCTTGAAACTTGTTTTATTTAAATACTAGCGGACCCAACAGACGTTGTCCTGTCTACACGTCTTTAATTTGAAAATTTCAAACTTTTTTTAATAAGCTAAAACATTCTGGACCATTTTGATGAAAATTATTATTCAAATGTTATGACAATATCTAACGATCCCCTTGAACACACACAAAAAAATTCATCAAAATCGGTCCAGTCGGACAAAATTGTGAATCTAAACCATTCTCAGATCCCCTTGAACACACACAAAAAATTTCATCAAAATCGGTCCAGTCGTTTAAGAGAAGTTCAGTGACATACACACTCACAGAAGAATTATATATATAAAGATATTACATTTTCTGCTAAAAACGAATCACTTGGGCTACACAAGTACTTACAAAAGTTTGAGATTCTGCAAGTCTTTGAATGTATCTTTTCTGACGCACGTAATTTCGTTGGAGTTCAGCAGTCTAAAACAAATATAAAAACACAAATCAAACTTTGGAAAATGGGGTATTTGACAGTATTAAAAATAAATTGCCAACTATTAGCATCTGTATTTGGAATGAATTTTGGCAGGGGTTTATACTATTTTAACAAAAAAAATATTCATAATAATATTACTAAAAACCAACGAAAAAGATAATAGTTTTCTTATCTATTGTCACGTGACCCAAAACGCTTGGGATTGGCGGAGCCTAAAATGACGTCACACGCAAGTAAACTTCCGGTTAAAGTGACATTACATTGTATCGTTTGACGTTTTAATAACAGTCGTGTGACGTCACACACTAGTAAGACGCCATATTGTCCAGAGAAACGTTTTTGGGGCAAATTGAAAATGGAGTTTTTGAATTGGTTATTTTTACTGAAATACGCTAAATTAATTTTTAATTAATTAGCTAAATTAGTCAGTGCATTCGCCCGGATAGCGAAGGCTGCGGGTTCGAGCCCCATCTGCTGCCTGGTCCGCGTGGAATTTTTTCTAGTTATGTTTTCTTTAGATTTAAACATCGAGCAGTTACATGCTTAAAAAAATAAAAATTAAAACTATTAATACATAAAGGAGCTCAATGGCGCAAGTGGTTAGTGTGTTCGGCTGCGATCGTTGAACTTAAGCAACTTTCGCAGTGGTCGGTCATTGGATGGGTCACCAAAAATTACTATCTCCAGTTCCTCCGTGCTTCGGAAGGCACGTTAAGCCGTTGGTCCCGGCTGCATCTGCAGTCATTAGTGGGTCATGGCTCAATCTCCCTATTCCATCCATAGGGAAGGCCTGTGCCCCAGCAGTGGGGACATTAATAGGCTGATGATAATTACATAAAGAAGTCACACAAAAAGTGTTATACTCACAATAGTTGTAGTGAAGTCAGTCCATGGAATATTCCTGGAGGGAGATCTTTTATCTTGTTACCGTACAAAACTCTGCAATTGAAAAAAATAGTCTGTGAGTCCTTAATTAGCTATAAGTTTTCTTAAATAGCTATAAGTTTTCTTTATTTTTTTTTATTTATTTAATATTTAAAATAACAATTTCAGAGCTTAAAAGCACACCAATAGCAAGTATTTGTCGGGTGTGCTAAGTACAAATAAATAAATAAATAAATATTTCCGACACTCACACCAATTAGCCTAGCCCCAAAGTAAGCACTATAAGGCTTGTGTTATGGGATGCTAGGGTAACGGATAGAATACATATACTGTACGTATATAAGTATATTTATATAAATACATATTAAACATCCATGACTGGAGTACAAATGCTCGTATTCATCACACAAACATTTGCCCCCACCGGGATTCGAACCCGGGACCTCTCGAGTCGGCGACAGCCATGAAACCCGGCGTACAAACCACTCGGCCACGGAGGTCGTCATATACAAATACTATTCAATATCATATTAACACTAGCTGACCCAGCGAACTGCGTACCGCCATAAGAATAGGGACAGGCGGTAGAAGAGAAAATTTAGGGTTGTATGTATATTTTAATACCAAATTATAAAAAAATAAATATTGTCCAAAAAAATTGTGTGTGTCAGCTCCGACGCACGACTGGAGTTTACTCCTTAAGTTCGAAAGTCTAACCAGACGCAAAAAGAGTTTATTTAACTTAAAAAAGATTGATACTGTATGAAAGGGTAAATTAACAAATTAATGAAAATAATATACATATATAAATATATATTTATTCATTTCATATACATTTATTATAACTAATCGACGAAATATTTTACATTAAACTTTTTACAATAGTCAATTTCAGATGTGCATAAATATATCATTAGGAATGTTGATAATTTATGTAATTATTATTATCAGACTATTATCATTTTTTTAAATATTAATTAAATCAACATTGTCTGCATTATTAATTACAGTGACAAGTGGTTTATAGTAACTGAAATAAGACACATGGACGTTCGTAGATACGTAGTTCACGAATCTTGAAAATACCGCATCAATGGTTGTACCATACCTCGTTGTCCCCATTGCTCTATCAGAAACAATATCTAAATTCAGTTCAGACTTTAAATTTTTTATTAAGGTCAATCCGTCATCTTTGTTTGTCAAAGTTGCACGACATAGGATGCGCACCAAAAACGTAACGAGGTCATTCATCGATAGATTTTACTCCTCACATTTTTCTCATACCGGGCCCCTTATATATGCAAATCGATTATTAAGGAGTAAACTCCAAAAAATTGTAGGGGTTTGTAACGTAGTGTTCTATCAATTTTCTGGGATAACATTCCTCCTAACCCATATGAGAACACTACGTTACAATACCCAATAGTTTGAATTTTGGCGCGAAGGCGCATTGTAGGTTTCAGAACACTACGTTACAGGTGGACAACCATTATCACTTAAAGATATGAAAAATAGATAGTAGCCCATTCTCAGACCCACGGAATATGCATATAAAATTTCATAAAAATCGGTCAGGCCGTTTCGGAAGAGTATGGTTACTAACATTGTTACACGAAAATTTTATATCTCTTATCTATTAGACAAGTCCGTCCGTCCGTCCGTCTGTCTGTGGTGCTGTTTCAGCGGCCAAACCGTAAGAGATAGATAAAGAGAATGTTTAAGTAATAAGTTAAGAATAGTCTGATAAGACTACAAACCGGATTTGAGTAACGTAGCACTTCCGGTTTTCGAGAAATCACGAATTTCAAACAAAACCACACAAAATCTCCGAAATTCTCAATTAATTAAATACATTTTTTTTGTTTTTTTTTTAATTGGTGAACATTTGATGCTCTGGTTTGCTAGTATAAGATAATATTATAATAAACATAATTATACAGGATTATTTTAAAACACCAACAATATCTTAGGGGGTGATTCTACCCATCAGCAGGAACCACTTTTATTATAAGAACAACTCTGAAATTGCGAAAAAAAATCAGCTGTTTCATACATTTCGGTTAATAGGGTATTTGACAGTATTAAAAATAAAGTTCCAATTGTTAGCATCTATGTGTAGAATGAATATTGGCAGGGGTTTTGACTATTTTTACAAAAAAAATATTCATAATTTTCCTAAAAACTAACGAAAAAGATAATAATTTTCTTATCTATTGTCACGTGACCCAAAACGCTTGGGATTGGCGGAGCCTAAAATGACGTCACACGCAAGTAAACTTCCGGTTAAGGTGACATTACATTGTATCGTTTGACGTTTTAATATCAGCCGTGTGACGTAACATATTGTCCAGAGAAACGTTTTCGCGGCAAATTGAAAATGGAGTTTTTGATTTGGTTATTTTTACTGAAATACACAACAGAATGATGAATATCCACTTTTTACGGACTCCATAAACATTAGTCAATAACGTGATATCGTTTTATAAAACTTGTCAAATACCCTATTAGCTGATGCACTTCTGTATGAAACAGCTGTTTTTATTTCGCGATTTGAGCGTTGGTCCCATAATAAAAGTTGTTCCTGTTGATGGGTAGAATCACCCCCTAAGAGGTTGTTGGTGTTTTAAAATTAACCCTGTATATAATATTGTTACGTGTCGGGATGGGGTTCGAAATTATATGCCAGTTCACGCTTAACACACAATGTTAATTACAAAACACTCACTAAACACTGTATTTCACTACACAAGTCTCTAAACTATCGCACTTGAACACTTTTGTTGCACTTTGATCGCCTTTGGATTCGCACCGAAATCGCTGTTGAAACTCAACTGTCTCTGCGCGGCGCCAATCGTGCTTATATACGCCGATCGACGCATTCTAGAAAGTACCTGTTAAATTGAGAATTAGCTAGCACCCGCGAGTACAAAGTACCTACTTATACCTACGCAGGTACCGCGCATAACTTGTGAACAAGTGCAGATGTCGTTGCACTTTCTCCCTTACGACGCACTGCATAAAGCTCATTTCAGAATGAGCCGCATTACTCGACCTCTATCGCGACCCGCGGTGATCTGGCACATTCGATCTCTAGCACTTTCGCGGTTCCGTTTCGACAGCGTTTGTGACAATATATACGTTAAATAAAACTAGTTTTTACGGGTTAATGCACGAAAACTTTATTTATTTATTGACGTTTCGTAGTCTTTACAGGAGAAAGAAAGCCTCTCTTGAGTTTGTTTCGCCGGTTCTTCTCAGGAAGGTCTCCCAATTTTGGAACCGGTGGTAGTTTACGGTAGTTAGGGTCAAATAAATAAACTCAAAATTACAAACAAGAATTTTAAATAAAATACTTTATTAAGTAAATTAAAAAATGGGTGCGTGTACTTATGTAGGCGCGTGAGAAGTTATCCTTCTTTGGCATCGTTTAAAATTAGTTTTTAATTGCATGCAAATAATTAATTACAATAAATTAATAATAAATGACATTTCATTTCATTTCGTTTCATTTCGTTTCGTTTCGTTTCGTTTCGTTTCGTTTCGTTTCGTTTCGTTTCGTTTCATTTCATTTCGTTTCATTTCATTTCATTTCATTTCATTTCATTTCATTTCATTTCATTTCATTTCATTTCATTTCATTTCATTTCATTTCATTTCATTTCATTTCATTTCATTTCATTTCATTTCATTTCATTTCATTTCAATGTCCCGTTCAAATCTGCCCTGTTTGCTTTGTTCAAATCTGCCCCACGGTCACTTGGAAAATAAAATATTACAAATAACGCGCCCGCGGCTAACTTCATTATGTTAAAATTTTGTGTTACAGTGATGAAAATTTCACTCTCATAATTTTTTCATAACGCGGCTAAAGAAGTATAACTTCAATAATAAATTCATACATAGACAATAAAACTTAAAAATCAAACAATGAAATAACCAAACGCTCAATAAAAGTCTTTCGAAGGTAGCTCGACAAATTAAATAAAAGTTTTATTCTGACGACGTAGCCTGTAAAGACTACGAAACGTCAATAAATAAATAAAGTTTTCGTGCATTAACCCGTAAAAACTAGTTTTATTTAATGAGTGATGTGCGTGAAAACCTAAGAAACAAATATAATATATACGTTTTTGTTTATACTTACAAGGAAGTTAGATGCGTGAGTCCCGTGAAGGCGTCCGCGGCTATCTTCGTGATCTTGTTGTTGGATAGGTCGATGCGTGTGACCCGCTTCACCTGGGCGAAGGCACCCGCTCCAACTTCAGTTATCTCGTTCTGTTCTAGGCGACTGTGGAGAACAGAACGGAAATTAAAGAGAGTAAGTATTTGTACTTCGAGCAGCTTGAGCAGTGATACAATTGACATAAAGAGTGAGCGATACTCGCATGAAATTGACTAGAAAGAGTGTGGCTAAATAATATCCCAATAATATCGTCATTGGGATATTGGGTTATCGACGTTATGGACAAATTGACAATCATTAGGCTCCTCATAACACTCCCTAAAATTTGGTCCTTCGAGCCGGATTCAAATGCTCATAACTTCGTCGATTTTAGTCTTATAACAAAACAAAAATAGCGCCATATTCCGCAAATTAATTAGCTTTATAAATCAGCATACTCACATCTCGGTGACAGTGTGTGGTATGGGCGATGGTAAAGCTGGCAGCATTTTCTCCCTGCAGTCGACGGCGCCGTCAGCGAGGAAGTGGCATAATAATATCCCAATAATATCCCGTGACGTCATGGATATATTGACTGTCATTAGGGTCCCCATAACGCTCCATAAAATTTGGTCCTTCGATCCGGATTCATTCAAACGCTCGTAACTTCGTCGATAATGGGTTTACTCGGAAAGGTCTGACGATTCCATCAATAGCGACTGTTTTGTATCTGTCTGCCGCATACGGGCCACACGCCACAGCTACAAACGCCGCCACCAGAAGCTAGAAGCGGCTACTAAAGTGGCTGAAGCGCGCGACAGCGGCCGACTAAGGTAAGGGAGATAGGGGTGGGGAATCGCGCGAGTGACGTGTGGCGGCGTTTTGTATCGGCGCATTAAGTGGCTGGTGCGGGCCACAAGAAGCGAGCAACGACGATTTGTAGCGTGTGGCGGCCACCGGCGTACCGTGTGTGGCGAGTCCATATAAAATGTATGAATTTACAAGGAATATGCCGGTGGCGGCGTTTTGTGGTTGTGGTCGATGGCCCGTGTGTGGCGACACTTATAAATCTACTCACATCTCGGTGGCAGTGTGTGGTATAAGCGACGGCAGAGCTGGCAACATCTTCTCCATGCAGTTGACGGCGCCGAACGTAAAGTGGCGATCATCCCATGAAGTGATTAATACATTGTCAGTCGTTACAGTCCTCGTTAAGCTCCTTAAAGTTTGGTCCTTCGAGCCGGATTCATTAAAATGCTCCTAACTTTGTCCATTATGGTCTTCTAACGAAAGAAATTTCGCCATATTCCGCTAAATATATAGCTTTATAAATCTGTAAACTCACATCTCGGTGGCAGTGTGTGGTATAGGCGATGGTAAGGCTGGCAACATCTTTTCCCTGCAGTCGACGGCGCCGTCAGCGGGGCAGCGACAGGCGGCCGGACAACGCGCCTCTGAAGAGCATTCACCGCCAGATAACGCCGATACGGATGATATTGCGTTACCGCCTGCCAAACACAAAATAAATAAATAAATATTTCAGTTAGCCTAGCCTCAAAGTAAGCACTGCAAGGCTTGTGTTATTACTAGGGTAATGGATAGAATACATATATAAGTATACTAGCGGCCCGCCCTCGCTTCGCTTCGGTGTAGAGCTGAAGTGTACACTATAGTTTTTTTTCTCAGGCTTGTATTATACACAATGACATTCATCTATGATTCTTCTTATACCTGCATGCAAAGTCTCAGCCCGATTGGTTTAAAATTGACAAAGTTTCATACAAACTTTCATTCCCTATTTTATCCCCTTGGGGGTAGAATTGATCAAAATCCTTTCTTAGCGGATGCCTACGTCATAACATCTACCTGCATGCCAAATTTCAGCCCGATCCGTCCAGTGGTTTGGGCTGTGCTTTGATAGATTACTATGTCAGTCAGTCCCCTTTGACTTTTATATACATACTAGCTGACCCAGCGAACTTCGTACCGCCATAAAAAAATAGGGGTTGATTTTAAAGGGTTGAAAATTCAGGGTTGTATGTATTTACTAATGCTGTATCATAAAAAAATTAAAAAAATATATATATCTAAAATTAAAATAAAAAATTAGGGGTGGATTACCCTTAACATTTAGGGGGATGAAAAATAGATTACATCCGATTCTCAAACCTACTGAATATGCATATAAAATTTCACGAAAATCGGTCGAGCCGTTTCGGAGGAGTTTAACCACAAACACCGCGACACGAGAATTTAATATATTAGATTTATAAAGAAATACATATTAAACATACATGACTGATGATGATGCTTTTTTTTTGATTTAAACATCTAGCAGTTAAATGCTTAATATATACATATATAAATATATATAGTTAGTCATCATTACTATTATTAAATTACAAACATAGTAATGACCTAATCGTGAATGTACAAAAAATAATAATACATACCATTGCAAATGAGTTCATGGGCTTCTAAATCTGAGAGCAAAGCCCCTCTCAAGGCGGCGGGCGCTTGACATCTGAAAAAAGAAAAAACATATTTAGCTTAGATTTAAGATCTTCAAAAGAGGAAGGGCATAACGGATTCCCCGCTCAAATTGGAGCGCCCGTTCTGGGAGGTTGGCATAGGCTTGTTGAAAATATATCGATGTATCGATATTTTTTGTTCGATATATCGATATTTTTTGCCGATATATTGTGATTCGATATATCGATACATCGATACAAAATAACCAATATCGAAATTCGTATCAAAAACGATATTTTTTTAATTATTAGCGGCATATCACGATCTAACTAAATTCGTATCTGGAAAAATCGTAACTGGATCTCAGATTAATGATATTCAACATATCTATGATCTGTGCGGTATTTAGTATTGTCTATGTCATCATTCGAAAATAGGGTCTATTTTTAGGGAGATAATTTTCGTTCCATTATTATTCCGCGTGTCATATTTCGTGAGCGATATTTTTGGGAAAATTGGTCCGATATATCGATGTTTTTTTCGCGATATATCGAAGCCGATATTGATATTTTTTAAAATATCGATGTATCGATATATCGATATTTTTTTCAACTTTCGACATCCCTAGGTTGGCAGCTTTGATGGCGGTAGCGAGTCTAGTGAGCCGGCAGTCGCAGACAAGCGGCTTTTCCGTATAATAATGCACTGAAAATGTGGAAATCCTTAGAAGAAACCTGTGCCCAGTAGAACTAGTCAATAGCCTAGTGATTATGATGTTAATAAAAAAAATAAAAGTAAAAAAAAGTAAAAAAAAAATAAAAAAAAACATTTTTTTGGTACTTTTTAGAGTTCATTATTATTAAAATATTAAGGTGATCAATAATTCAATGTATCATGTCTTTTAGCACGGAGAGCGGGAATTTCTAATACAAGTATTAGAAATATTAATCTTTATATATATAATTCTTCTGTGAGTGTGTATGTCACTGAACTTCTCTTAAACGACTGGACCGATTTTGATGAAATTTTTTGTGTGTGTTCAAGGGGATCTGAGAATGGTTTAGATTCACAATTTTGTCCGCTGGACAACCCCTATTTTTTTAGGGCGGTACGAAGTTCGCTGGGTCAGCTAGTAATATATAATAATTAATTATTAATATTATTATATTTTATTACTTAAAAGAAATTCCCTATCGCAATACTGTATCGGAAATTATTGTATCAAATAAAGAATTTGTATTGTATTGTATAATGAATTGGAAATCTGTAGAAGACGCTTGTGTCTTACAGTGGACGTCCATCGGCTGATGAAATGAAATTATACTTTTTCCAAATTGACTTATAGAAAGCGCTTTTGAATCGACCAATATTTTTCCTACCACTCATTCAGGACATCTTTTAGCTGATAAGAAGAATTTTTTAGCTTTTAGCAGTACATTTGAATTTTCGAACAATGTATACGAGCTCCATAAACGCATTTTTTGAGCAACTGTGTTGATAGAGAATAGTTGAGAGAGCATCATCATTATCATTAATGAAAATATAATTTCAACACAGCTGCTCAAAAAATGCATTTATGGAGAATGTAGACATTGTTCGAAAGTTCAAAAGTACGGCTGCATCATCATTATCATTAATGAAATTATAATCATAATAATATTTATTGCTTCATGTTGGTTACATTTAGTTCTTAAATTTAATAACAGCTCGCAAACATGAGCCTTGCAAGGGCATTGCAAATTATATTTAAAGTATACAAATATTAATTTAAAATTTGATAAAGTTACAATAGTTATTAGTTAGTAAAAAAAGAAATATAACTTTAAAATTAATTCATATAATACTTTTAGCAATTATAAAATTCATTTAGGGTTAGGTCAAGAAATTTATGTCAAAACAAAAAATAAATAAACAAGTAACAATAACATTCAAAGTAATAATCCATTCAAAATTCATTCACATAATATTTATTATAGTTAGTTTAATAATTTCGGTTTAGGTAGTTAAAATTGGCCTAAGAACCAACACCAATTTGGCATTTATGATAATTCTTAGTATATTTTTTGCGATAATTATCAGTATTTAGATTGTGACGGACACTTCCAGTTAAGTAAGCTAAATTAAAAAGTTAAAAAATAATCTGAGACAATAAATACTATTTTATGTGTATAATCTATGGCAGCGCTGCAAACAAAACACTCTTTCTACCTAATGCCGGCACTTCACTTGGCTATTCGTATTTGCTATTTTAAAACATGACATCAGTCTGTCCTTTTCATTCCTTATTAAGCATGACAAGGACAAACTGGTGTCAAGTGAAGTGCCGGCATAAAACTCGTTACTTTGTGGTTGTGGTGCATGCAGTTTGCATTCGTAGTAATCTGTGGCATTCGTGCATTCCAAAGAGTAGTTTAATAAACCGGAAAGTGCATTCTCGTTTCGGATTACCTGTTGTGTGTGTTTATTTGCGATTGTTTTTCCTTTAATTTAACTATTTCGGTTATCTAATATGCCATCGATGTTACCAAAGAGCAGAACCCTTATTACCAAGTGCTAGTGAACCTGTGCCACAACATCCTGAGAGGATCATACTGCCAAATTATTCAAGAACACCTGATACACATTCACGCTGCATATTTACACAATATACATGTGATATACAAATAAATACAATAAACAATATGATAGAATTATGTGAAAATTAGTCAATAAACAAGAAGCAAAACTAGTTTTAATTTTATTCATTTTTCCTACCTAACCAAGTTTTTCCTAATAGTTATTCTTTGAAATCGCACCGAATAAAATGAATTAGTTGTATTATCAATTCACTTCAAACTGAGTTCATACTAAATTCGTAGGTTGACCTATGTTTCATTGAATATTAAACATAACCTCAAAAAAATTCTACTTTCCCTAATAATTTAAGTTCTCAGAAGTGTCCGTCAATAATCTTTCTTTTTACAGTCACTTACTTACGATTTTGAACCTAGAAAATAATATTTCATGATTGTTGATTCTTAGGCTAACTATGTATGGACGCTGAACAATGTCCTTTACGTCAGAATATATATTTTCACTTATGATATTGATGATGGATATGAATGGTTACCTAGCTCCGACGCCCGGTATGTTGGCAGCTTTGATCGCGGTGGCGAGTCTGGTGAGCCGGCAGTCGCACACGAGAGGATTCTCCGTCAGCCGGAGCGTGTGGAGGCGGGTGATGGCGGCCGGCTCCACCGCTAGGTACGTAAGATTATTGTTGTTCAGGGTTCTGTGGAGAATAAAACGAGTTAGTGAAGGTAAGGATTTTTGCAGTAGAACTTCTTTAGGCACGCTTTACTTCGCTGATGAGCACGACGGAGCTTGTGCTCATAGAAGCGACCTGGGAGGGAGGACATCCCTGCATGGCCATTTTTTTTTTCAAGTATGTATGCTGTTGGTCGCAGATGACCTTTACAGCGTCACCGGGTTTGGGGACGGCGAGATCCTAAGGGGACCTCAAGCCGAGAATTAGCGAGTGCCTCTGGTGGTATTCCAGTTGGATGGCGTCTCCCAACGGGGGGGGGGTCTCCTCTCCGTCTGGAGCCTCCAGACCACTCGATGAAGATAATTATTTCTTTTTTATTACTTGAAAGGATGTATGGACTTAGCATCCTTTGCTTACAAGTAACAAAAACTAAAAATAAATAAAAGAAGGAAGGAATAAAATATATGTGTATGGGTTGCTGGCGTAGCTCTTTCCGACGAGTATGAAAGTTTGAGGGTAACTCGGCGAAGGCTGAAACGCTACGAGCGTCACGAGCGGCACACGCGACAATATATATATATATATATATAGTGATGCGTGCGCTGCTCCATTCCCCTATGCCTTATGCACAGGCGCGGTCGCAGCCTGAAATTTTGGAGGGGGTCACTCACTACACTAATAAAAAATAGGTACCACTTATGGGAAGAGTTGCCAGATTTTGAGAAATGTCTTTATATTTGGGTATAAATCATCATTACAAACTTCTATGATGTATAACATAGTAGTACTAGATGTCATTTCCAAGTTATTTTGGCCATCGTACGTAGTTCAAAAAACACCACTAAATGTCAGCAAAATATAAATTTATCGCTGTAAGGGGATAGCTAGAAATTTCCTTTTATAATTTGGCAATTTTTTGAGATTTTTCAATTTGACCTTAAATTTTGGGGGGGGGGGTCATGTCCCCTGTGACCCCCCCCTTCGGACCGCGCCTGCTTATGCACCGCCTAATGTTAGGTGATTTAAAAAAAGAAGTTTCACTTCAGATGTGTGCTTCGTGCACACAATTTTTTTTTTGGGCAGGATTTTGTTGGCCACTACCGCTAATACAAAATAAAGACAACTTACAATAGCTCCAAGCTCTTCAAGTTCTCGAAGGCTTTCTCGTCGATGCACTTGAGCTGGTTTCCGTCCAGGTGGAGGCTCTTCAGGGCCGTCAGACCTCGGAAGGTGCGTCTGCTGATTGCGGTCAGCTCATTCCTGCTCAAGTCTCTGAAATTTTACGTGGTTCATTTAGTTGACATCGAATCAGCTGGACAACCTCTGTTTTAAGAACTTTTTTGATAATATATTAAGATGTTTTTCTTTTCTTCCTATAAGTACATTCTCTGTAAGTCTCTCTATAAGTACAATGTGCATTCTCCAGGGGAGGGAAAGTCCTGGTGCTCTGAGATACAGGCGTTTTGCCTAGTTCAGGCACCAGTCTCTCACAATCTATTTTACTGTTCTAGTATAATAAGTTGTCATGGGATTTGTAGATTGTGGAAGAAGAAATAAAGATTATTATTATTATTATATTCAAAGTAATTCTTTTAGTTATAAAAAGTTGCTGTTTGCATTAAATTGAAATATTGATTAAACAGATTTTTTTATATCAGATTTCAATTAAAATTTTAATAGTTAATCGACAGACAGAATGTTGGCTTGATTGATTAGTTTCACTTCGTAATTTGCTCAGAGGCACATCATCATTATATCGTCTTCAATTTTTTAATAAAGAATAAGCAGCGCCATCTATCGGACGTAAGAAAAAACTAGCCTTTTCCATACAAAATTTGTAGCTGACGATACGATTGCGGACAGTCTTGCCAGTAACGATTTTTAAAAATCGGGAGGTGTTATTTAAAAAAACACAGTAGATTCATGGAAAGAGTTTCCGAGTTTTACTCCCCCCCTCTAGAATTGGTAAATCAAATTAGTAACGATTGTGTGATTTTATGTTACAACCGTCTGCGCAACAGAAGAATTAGTGGACTCGATACATTTCGTGCCAAACACTCCAAGAAGCATTAGAATGCGTCACACCCACATTCTAATGTAAAAAAAAGGAAGATTAATACAAAAATAAGACGATGGCTGCATGGCTTTGCCTTTGCCTTCCTCAATAGAGAAGAAAAGAAATAAAAGAAAATACACAACGGAATTCGCGGGTTCATTTGTTTTTTTTTTGAAATTTGTGTTCAATTTTTAAATCACACGGCAGATTCAGAGATGAAATGTGACTTTGTTCTTACAGAACACCACTGCTGATAGATGCTTTTAATGCGGTGAAGTTGATCGCTAGTTTTTCTCCACAGCTAAAACTGTCTTTAACTGGTAGAGAAATGAATATGGACAATTCAAAAGCGTGGTATTGTGCATCCATAATAAAGATTGTGTGATTTGACTAGACTTGAGTTGTGAAAAATTGATAGGTTTCCGAGCTTATAGTACGGTATGGTACGTTGTACATTATTACCACAAAATCAATAATTCATTTAAAGGTCTCTTTGTGTTCGCTTATACAATAAAGTCCCAAGCAATATTCTAGAGTTAAGCATAAATAAATTCAAAGATAGTATAAAAAAAGCACTTATTAAAAAAGCTTATTACAAAGTGTCTGATTATATTACAGACCAAAATGCTTGGGTTTGAACTGTTCCAATCATTCTAACAGGTTTTCTATATTAAATAAATCATGATTGTATTGACGTTGTAACAACATAATGATTTGTAAATGTTGTTACATTATGCTTTTAATGTTGTGGAGTTTTTTTCGCTCGTTTTTCTCCGCAGCTAAAAAATATGTCCAATAACGAGTGGTAGGGGAAAAAAATGTTTGGACGATTCAAAAGTGTTGTACTAGACATCCAATTTGAATAAAGATATATTGATTTCTGATTTCTTGATTACGATTGTTCATCACGTATATGGTTAAAATTATGATTGTATGAAACTTCTGCAACTTTGAAGATAAAAATGTCATTTTTTTTTATATAGAGGTAGGCAAATGACTCTACCCCACCTGATTTTAAGTGGTAATAAAGTCCAAACGCGAAGATAGCTGGTACAGCAGTTATAAACTGCCACACCAATCATCCTCACCTTGCCGGCCTGCAAAAATGCTTCTTCACGCCTCTCTTGAAGGACCCCAGATTACAGGAAGGAGGGAACACTTGCGCGGGTAAAGAATTCCACTGAAGATATTTAGAATATAGAATTACAAAAAAGAATAAGTATATAGATGAGTTTATTTGTGAATATTTATTAAGTTTCCTATTAAGTACCTAATTCTGGATTGAGAAGTATGAAAATGGGTATGCAGGTGCCATGCAAGATATCTGAGTTCCCATTCACTACTTGGGTTGACCTGACACTGGCACCGACTCCAAATATTAATATGACTAAAGACAAAAAAGGTTTTAATATTATACTAGTGGCCTGCCCTCGCTTCGCTTCGGTGTAGAGACTATGTATACTACATATAGACTAAAATAACTCTTCATATAATTATAAAAAAAAAAACTGAAAATGGTATATTTGCCTTTTCCAAACATCTATTGACATCACGTCACTCAATTGTTTTGCCTTCCCGGAACCTCTCCACTGACATTTGAAATTTATGGTATGGTATTAAAGTTCAAATTGACTTTTAAGTATTATTACGAATCGTTTGTCCCATACAAACGATTACGTGTATAGAAAAGTGTATTTTTCAGGCATTTTTTTTTGAAGATTAACTTCTTTAGCTGCGTTATGAAAAAAATATGAGAGTGAAATTTTAAGATGCGCGCGCATCACTGTAACACAAAAGTAACATAATGAAGTTAGCCGCGGGCGCGTTATGAAAAAATCATGTGAGTTTCACTCAGATGCGCACTTCGAGATGCGCGCGCATCACTGTAACACAATAGTAACACCATGAAGTTGGCCGCAGGCGCGTTATGAATGTTAGTGTCTAATAATGGTGGATTATTAACCACTTAGTGGTTAATAATCCACCATTATTAGACGTCTGTTCGAAAGGTACTTTGAACGATCCACGGAGCTCCATAAGATGATCGCGTTGTCAAAAACAATGTTGGCACGCTCGTCGCCTCTGATCACTGTTTTCATATTTATAATATTTATCCACATGTTTCTAGTTTCTATATAGACACAACGTGTTTTACTTACTTACAAGTGCTAATTACATATGGACTAATAACTTAAATTCAGTAGTGATTTTAATTGAATATTTTGAATATTTATTTAATTTTTCAAATGAAAACTGAACTTAATTGACTGTGTTAACTATCCTTTTCCAGTCCTTTTATTACTTTATTGTAATTATTAATTATTTGCATGCAATTAAAAATATTTTTAATGATGCTAAAGTAGTATAACTTCTCACGCGCGTACATAAGTTACACGCATTTGTACTCCAGTCATGGATGTTTAATATGTATTTCTATATAAATATACTTAAATATGTACAGTATATGTATTCTATCCGTTACCCTAGCATCCCATAACACAAGCCTTACAGTGCTTACTTTGGGGCTAGGCTAATTGGTGTGTGTGTATAAATAATAATAATTTATTGCATAAAAATATGGTATAAAAGGTGTTTGATTGTTCTCATGTCTCACATATTTTACTGTTAAACAGCATGCAACAGTTTTTAAATCAAATTAAAATTAAAGTGTAATCCTTGTCAGCTTATCAGTATCATGCCAAGATCATTTTATAGTCAATATTATACAATGTCAAATAAATATAAAATTATCCATCAAAATGTAAAAAATAAATGTCCAATGTTAAAAATCTGTTTTCTCACAAGATTCCAATAATCAATAATAATCATACAATGGTGTAAAAAAAAAATGGGTGCGTGTACTTATGTAGGCGCGTGAGAAGTTATCCTTCTTTGGCATCGTTTAAAATTAGTTTTTAATTGCATCCAAATAATTAATTACAATAAATTAATAAAAAGTCTGGAAAAGGACACAGTCAATAAAGTTCAGTTTTAATTTGAAAAAATAAATAAATAATCAAAATATTCAATTAAAATCGCTACTGAATATAATTTATTAGAACATATGTGATTTGCACTTGTATGAAACTCAAACACGTATTCCGAATATACAAACTAGAAACATGTGGATAAATATTATAAATATGAATACCTATAACTGTAACTTTATTACAAAAAATAAAGATGTGGTTTTTGGTTCTACTACACCAATGGTCAAGAGATGGCGCTGTAGTCTCCTGAATCGCGCTTTGGTTCCGTTGTTTCAGATTAATAAATACTTTTGATAGGTAGGCCTTCACAATGCAGTCGTTAGCACTCACTTAATAGAGATTCTATTTCTATTTTGTTGGTAGATTTTCTTAATGTGCGGTAAACACAAAAGTAACGCAAGAAGTTGGTCGCTAAAGCGACCAACTTCATGCTGTTAAAATTTTGTGTTACAGTGATGCGCGCGCATCTTAAAATTTCACTCTCATCATTTTTTCATAACGCGCCTAAAGAAGTATAACTTCAAAAAAACTATACCTCACGCATGATGCTGTGCCAAGCCCGCCATTTATTACTGTAGCATTCGTTTATAGGCTTTTAATATTTCTTTATTGGGGTCCAGTTAAGGTCCTGAATACCGGATCATTCGGCATTGTGTTATGGTGTTCGTTTCGCACGCGATACGGCACTTCATGGTAGTTATTAAATATTAATGGTCCAGCCCTCGCTTTATGGTGGAACGAATAGTGTGGATAAGACGATGAGAAAGAGTATATTTATTTATTCAAGTTAAACATGCAGGCTGATATAAGAGAATAATCCAAAACGCCGGAAAGTCATACATAATAAATATTAACAATCATAGAAGGTAATAGGGGTGATGAAGGGGTACAGTAAACGGAATTCTATTTAGTCCGTCAGTAAGATGATCAAAAAATAATGGACACGTATTTTTTCTTTGGGCAATCAACCAAAAGATGACAAAGTTATAGCGCGTCAAAGTTTGGGAGTAGGGGCTCGTGACTTCACTTTTGAGTGAATTTTCACTTATAAGTGTACTCAAACGTGACGTCATGCGACTTTTCAAATCAATATATCTCTGCAATGTTTATATTATGTGAAAAAAGAAAAAATACGTGTCCAATATTTTTTCATAATCTACCTGATAAACGAAGAAAAATAAATTAGTCATCATCCCTATTATTAAATTCAATAAAATTAAGAAAAAGAGAAAAACAAATAATAATAATAATAACAACAAAAAAAAAACAGTAATGCCAAATATATAGGTAATGTCAAATAGCAATGTCAAATAGTACTTAATAGAAACAAAGTCA